CTGCGTCCTGCATGAACTTGCAGTAATGCCTTCTGATAGCACATAAAACACTGTTAATTTTCTCTTGCACACAATTATACATCCTTTTGGCCACAGGACAGCAACAGAGCTACTTAGAGATTGACTTTCTCACATTGACCGTTCAGGAGCACACGCTGAACTTTAATAGCTGTGGTGGCAGGGATCCTGCAGACCCTTGCTTATTCATGGGAAATCCTGAGGGTCTTTTGAGGGGGTCTTGGATGGCCACGGAATTGGCTTGTTTCATTTTGGCTAAGCTAAAAACCAAAGATTCAGTTTTAAAGAAAATGATCAGTTATGTTTTTAGCCATAAGTACTTGGCACTGGGTTTCTCTGAATGTCTTATTGTGTGTTAGAGACTTTATCCCAGATTCCAGCAATTCATGCATGGAAGGAAACCAAGTGAGTTCCCAAAGAAAAAGGAAAGAACCAGCATAGGGAGTTGTCACCCCTCCTTGTCCAAAACAACTTTCTACCTAGGTTCGGTGGGGAGGGGGTGTTTTTCTCAACCCAGGCTTGAGCCAGACCCCCTCTTTAAACTAGAAAACATAGACACCTGGTTAAAAACCAAACCAAACCAATCCCTGATAGGCATAAGGAAAAATGCATTTGACCCATTGAAATCAGCAAAAAAGCTATGGATTATAGAAGCACAAAATATTAAATCTAGTCTCAACCTTTTACTTTAAGGATGAGGAAAAGGAAACTCTCTGCACCATAGCCTCTGGGCTTCCTCTGGAGACAGAGCAAGTCACAGGTCTAGACTAAGAAATTTGCTGTGACTTATTGAACTTAAAACCAGTAAAAAAAAAAAAACCCCAAAACAAAAACCCTAGAGACTTTACTTATGACCCTGAAGCCAGAAAACAAAGTATTTCTTCACTGGTAGGTCCTAATAACAACGTTTTATCAGATTCAGAATAGTAACCCAAAATAAAATCAAATAAAACAAAGGTGTGGATTTCTCTTCTTATGAGGGCCATAATAGGATAAATGATACATCTGTCAACAACTCTATGTAATTGAAAGGCACCAGGAGTGTTTGGTAGGAAAACAAAGCTGTCACACATGTTGACCAGATTGCAGATCTTTCTCCCCAGGGGTCTTGTTTTGCAGAGGTGAGCTAAAATGATGCTCAGTGGACTGAGCTGAGAGAAGTGTGGGGGAACTGGGGGGTGGGCGGGTGGGGGTTGAGGATGGGGAGAGAGGCAAAAGGAGATGAGGAGAGAGAGATGAGGGAGCCAAGTGGTCTGAGGGTGAGAGAGGGGAGGTGGTGGGTGGTCTGAGGGCTGTCTGAATGGAGAGAGAACTGAAAAAATGAAGAAAACAGGTCGTGGGTGGAGGCAAGATAAGGAGGTGAGATCCTCAGGGGGAACCAAAAGGAAAGGCTGAGAAGACCATTCAGGCTGAAGGGCTGGGGTCTTATCTTACCCCTTGGAGGGTCAGAGATTGGTAAGAGGCTTTGGGAACCATTTGGGAAAGTGGCAAAGGCAGTAAGAAGGTAGAAAGCTTCCAAGCTCTCACCATCTGCTTGACAGTGGGAGGAGATGCAAGCCCAGGACACTGAGGGACGTGGAAGGAGTGCCATGGAGACCAGCGACTGACCTGGAGCTAGGAGGGGTCCTGCTCATTGAAAATTGATCTCTTTTTGGAAAAAGGCACTAGGATGTGACAGGGGTTCCTGCAGTGGTCAGGATAAGAGAGCCTGTTGTTGTTCAGTAGCTCCATTGTGTCTAGTCTTTGTGATCCCATGGACTGCAGCATGCCAGGCTCCCACATCCTTCATCATCGCTCGGAGCTTGTTCAAACTCACGTCCATTGAGTTGATGATGCCATCCAACCATCTTGTCCTCTGTCATCCCCTTCTCCTCCTGCCTTCAATCTTTCCCACTGTCAGGGGTTTTTTTGTTTTTGTTTTTCCAATGAGTTGGCTCTTCTCATCAGGTGGCCAAAGTATTGGAGCTTCAGCTTGAGCATCAGTGTTTCCAATGAATATTCAGGGTTGATTTCCTTTAGGATTGACTGGTTTGATCTCCTTGCAGCCCAAGAGACTCTCAAGAGTCTTCTCCAACACCACAGTTTGAAAGCATCAATTCTTCGGTGCTCAGCCTTCTTTAAGGTCCAAATCTCACATCTGTACATGACTACTGGAAAAACCAAAGCTTTGACTGACTAGATGGACCTTTGTTGGCAAAGTAATGTCTCTGCTTTTTAACACGCTGTCTAGGTTTGTCATAGTTATTCTTCCAAGGAGCAAGTGTATTTTAATTTCATGGCTGCAGTCACCATCTGTAGTGATTTTGGAGCCCAGAAAAATAAAGCCTGTTGTTGGGGGCACCTAAGGCGGGGAATCCAGTATAGGATGCCTCACTCCAGGAACTTAGCACCAGGTTGCCTTCATGGGAGGCACTTTTGACCCAAAGGAGAGCTTGGAGGAAATAACTTTTTAAAAGTCATAGGAAAAATACAGTTATTAAATATAAAAAGAAGACATCTCACCTTAACATCAAAACAGAAATGTTAGAGAAAGTTAAAGTATCAGCAAACTATATGAAGGTAAATTTTTTTTCTTTCATACAAGAGACCCACTGCCTGCAGTATGGATAGGTCCTTACTAAAAATAATTACACAAGGAAAAAAATGTAATTCACCAGTGCTTTTATCATTGAGGAATTACTCTTGAAAATCTTTTATTTTTCCTTACTGTCTAATCTATATAATCAGTCAGATAAGCTGTTGATCTTCATTATGCAATACAGAAAATTAGGTTCTGACTTACTTAAAAAATACACCAAATCTTCAATTAACTGCACTGAAGTTTCCTGCAAGACGCAGTGCAAGAGAAGTTTTTCTATTGAAATACGGAGGAAATGATTGCTAAACTTAAGACAACAGATTGGCTGCATGGGGAATGTTGGTCTTAATGTCTAAGAGGCCATAGGTGGGGAGCAGAAATGGGGAGCTGCTGCTGGGGAGATGGTAATAGGCCCAGAATAAATAACACATCTTATTTTTGTTGTTGTTGTTTTGTCTTTAGGACACACCACGAGGCTTATGGGATCTTAGTTCCCTGACCAGGAATTGAACCCACGCCCTCAGCAGTGAAAATGTGGAGTCTTAACCACTGGACCGCCAGGGAATTCCTGATAACACATTTTATATTGGAGCCAAAAGGGAAAAAAGTCCTCATTCAACCAGGAATATGGGTAACTGGAATTTTAAAGAAAGATTTAAAAAATTTGCTGATCTTTCTCTTTTTAGAGAAAAAAAAAGTATGAACATTTATGACATTTAGTTTTAAAAAGCAACTTCCCTGGGGTGGGGAAGCCAGTTCACATCTATCCTGAGCCACATCAGGTTGGCCACCATTTCCGCATCTCCATTTTTCAGTGTCCATGATGTCTGTCAAGCAGGTCCTCTGTGTGGACACAAGGGGGCCTGCTCTGAACCGAATTTCTCCAGAAATCTTAATAAACAATTTCTCAAGTGACTCCAGTTAATGGAGGTTTGATTACAAAAAGCAAGGTTTTTCCCAGAACTGAATACTAACCATCTCCTTGTCTAACTTTATACAGCTGTCTCCCATGTTCCAAGTCCTCTCATGGAGATAGTCCTCCCATGACCTGTGAGGCAAGCAGAACCTTCCCCAGGTCTCAGAGGAGGCAGTGGAGGCTCAGAGCATGGCAGGCATTTGTCCAAGGTGGCCCAGCCGGCGCTGCGCAGTCAGGGCCAGCTCACAGACCTCCTTCCTCCCGGGCCAGAGTGCCTCCCACTGGCGGGGGGAGTTGCAGCTGGCTTATTTTGGCAGACTTTTGCAATAAAACACTTTGTCTTTGGAATGAGCAGAGTGCAAGAAAAATGTCTCTTAGCAGGCAACTTCCCTGCTTTTTTTTTTTTTTTTTAAAACAGTAAAATGAACCCGGGCGCTGGCAGTTTCCTCTTTAAAAGGTGGCTGTGATGGATCTGTCTTCCTCCAGTGTTGTAGGTTCAGAGCTGGTGGTTTGCCAGCACATGACACAGACCATTTTATTACTGATATATGCACATGTCCAGGATCCTGTGAGTCAGTGAAAGTCCTCAAACCCCTTCACTCATGTGTTAATACCATGTTCTAGAGGGTTGTTTTCTATTTCTCCCGTGGGCCCAGGGATGGAAGGAGCATTGGATGGCTGGTTAATTTGGCTGTAAAAACCCAGTGGCACCCACCGAGCCTCTGTGTATGGTGACCAAGGAAGAAGAAAGGTAGTGGTGGGTACATCCCAGGCACTGTCCCTTCAACCTAAAGGAAGAAGGTTTATTCCAGATCCTCTTGGAAGCAGGTAGCTTGCTGCCTATCTCCATCATCCCAGGACTGCACATGAGATACATGAGGCCCTTGACTGTGAGGGCCAGGCCAGATGTCCAAGTTCATCGCCCAGTTGTGCTCATGGGCTTCTCTCCTCTCCGACACTGTTGTGCCCTTCTCTTGAAGACACATGCTCTTCGCTTTTGCAGCTTGGTATGTTGATCAGCTTACAACATTTGAAAGAGCCCAGGAAGTTAAAAGGTTAATGGTGGCAGCACCAAAGGAAGTTAAAGGAAATCTGTTGAGAAGGAGCTGGGAAAGGTGACCAGTCTCTGGCCACAGCCTCCTGGGGAGGCTTTCAAGGTCAGAGTGTGACCATGCCGGCAGCCACTTGGCAAAGACGGTCGCTCAAAGATCCACAGCTCTCCACTACCTAAAAGGCATCCCAGCGCCCTTGCAGCGCGGCAACGGCAGAGGGCGCTCGCTACAAGGCCGCGGCAGAAACCCCAGCAAAGAGCTGGAAGAGACAGTCTGTGTGAGGGCAGGTGTCACGGTCTCCTGCGGTCACCCTCCGATCACCCTCAAGCCAGACCCCCGGGAAGGGTTCGGCCCGCGACCCTCCGTCCAGAGGCAGCTCCCGTCTTCTCCATCCTCCAGGGTAAAACGCTTTTCCCAAGGCTTGGGCTGCCTGGCTTCACTTCTTAGCGACTAACCATGGACTCTGGCCCTTGAGGAGGCAGAGAAAGGCGCGTGTTTGAGGAGGAGGCCCGCTGGTGATGGGCGATGCCCCCCTGAGCCAGGGGTCCCACTGACCTGCGAGCTTGGAAAGGGCCCTCCCAGTTTGGACCCACCCTCTTTATATTCCCTTCCTTCCACCACAATTTCGGTTTGCCCTTCTGTAATTCCAGAAGCTAGCGTGACCCAGGATCCTGCTCACTGGAAGATTCTATGAGGAGGACGAGAGGAGGAAGGGGCCCCCTGTCTGCAGTGGCCAGCTCCTTCCTCTCTGCTGTCAGTTCCTTCCTGGCCCCCTGGGTCTTCTCTTCATTCTGACCCCTTGGCGGCCCCAGCATCCTCAGATGTACCCTCACTTAGCGCTCAGCACAGTCCTTGTGCTGCCGGGCACACTGTTAGCTCCCGGAGGACAGGCTTTCGGTCCTTAGTGGCCCCTCTTCCCTCCCACTGCCTGCACACAATAGGTGCTTAATAAACCATATTGAGAAGTCAGCAGGTCAGAGATGTTTATGAGTCTCAGCCATGGCAGAGAGACTTGAGCTAGGTCCCTGAGGGGCCCAGTGAAAGAGAAAGTCCTTCTCTAAGAGTTCTCTGTCCAGTATAGGAGACCAAATTTCCTCCTCTAATAGAAGGTGGAAGGAAAAAAAAACAAGACAGGGTTCTTGGTCATTTCGGAGAGGGAGACTCATCCAACAGAAGAACCCAGAAAGGCCTTCCTAGGGCCCTGGAGTCTGAGCTGGGCCTTAGAAGGAGGTAGAAGTTTGACAGGTGAGAAAGCAGGCATTCCAGCCGAGGGCTCCGCATAGGCCAGGGGTGTGTGTGTGTGTGTGTGTGTGTGGAGGGGGAAGCAAAGGGTGTGTGTGCAGGAGCCGGTGAGGAGACCTGGAAAGGGAGGCCCCACGGTGTGAGGCTTGCATCCCTGGCTCAGTTCTGCCTCCATCTACGTTTTCCTTCAACAGACACCCAGCTGCTTCTCGGAAGCAGGGCTGTTCCAGAAACTGAGGGTCTCTGCGTGTGGAATTCTGCCTAGGCCTGTCAAATCCAGCTCCCTTCCCTGCGTCCTCCTCCCTGGCCCTCCTCCACTACTGCTTCAGGGAAACTTCCCCCTTGAAAACTCCCCTCCTTGGAGCAATGAGCTGCTGGTTTTCCCCTGTCCCTTCCTTCCTTCTCTGCCCTCCGTCTCTGTGTGGATCTCCTCCTCTTTTTCTGGGCCCTCTTTTCGGTGGTGTGGATGGTGCTTGACATCTCAAGTTGCCCGAGAGTGTGTCCAGGTGCGGGGCTGGGGCTGGGGCCAGGCTGTAGGTGTGTGGGTGGGGCCCCAGGAAGGGCACAAGAGCCTGGAGTTAGGAAGGCAGCCGTGTCCCTGTACATTCGGGGGGCTTTGGGACTCCAGCTGCATGCCGGGTGGTTAAAGTTGTGATGTTGAGTCCCTGAAGAATGTGGCAGCTTGGACACCGCTGGGAGAGACCAGGTCTGCAGCCACCGCTGCCCCAGGAAAGCCAACCCCGCTCGCCCACTCCCCAGGGCATGTCCAGGAGTCTGGTCACTCAGGGTTACGAAGCACATGCATGCGGCACATGGATTTGCAATGCCAGCTCCATGCACAAAACTGTCACAGCTGAAAACGACTCTAGGTTGAGGGGCACAGCATGCTCCAGTGTCCCAGTCCTCCCAGGAGCCAACCAGTCAGTGGAATCAGGGTGTTTCAAGATGTCAGAGGTCACTTGTTATTGATACCTGGGGAAACTGAGCGGTGGAGAAAGGGCTGGGAGCTGAGGCTCCGGACTCCTGGCCAGTGCCGGCCCCCATCTCAGCTGACGCTGACCCTCCCCACGTCTGTGGCTTTTCATTCATCCAGGTGAAGCTGGGATCCCGGGAAGGGGGACCAGGTGGGGAGGAAGCACCAAGGGAGGTGGTGATGGGGCCATGGGCATGTGGGAGGCTGTGATGGGGCCATGGGGCATGTGGAAGGTGGTGATGGGGCCATGGGGTGTGTGGAAGGCTGTGATGGGGCCATGGGGCATGTGGGAGGTGGTGATGGGGCCATGGGGCATGTGGGAGGTGGTGATGGGGCCATGGGGTGTGTGGGAGATGGTGATGGGGCCATGGGACATGTGAGAGACTGTGATGGGGCCATGGGGCATGTGGGAGGTGGTGATGGGGCCATGGGGTGTGTGGGAGGCTGTGATGGGGCCATGGGGCATGTGGGAGGTGGTGATGGGGCCATGGGACATGTGGAAGGGGGTGATGGGGCCATGGGGTGTGTGGGAGGCTGTGATGGGGCCATGGGGCGTGTGGGAGGTGGTGATGGGGCCATGGGGTGTGTGGGAGGCTGTGATGGGCCCATGGGGTGTGTGGGAGGTGGTGATGGGGCCATGGGGCATGTGGAAGGGGGTGATGGGGCCATGGGGTGTGTGGGAGGCTGTGATGGGGCCATGGGGCATGTGGGAGGCAGTGATGGGGCCATGGGACATGTGAGAGGCTGTTATGGGGCCATGGGGTGTGTGGGAGGCGCTGATGAGGCCATGGGGTGTGTGGAAGGGGCTGTCTCCTGAGCGAGATGGGGCTTCCTTTGGCCCCGTGACTGCACAGGTACAGTGTCTGACCTTGGTGAGAATCCTTACTTGGACCTAGAGGACCTGTTATCCTGTCGCTCAGGATGGGGCTGACTCAGTCTTTTGTCTAGCTGGGTGTTTGCAACTCTCCAGGCAGACAGTGCTTGCCACCAGGTGCATTTGGTGCCAGAGCGCGGGGAAGGGAGCAAACTAGAGAAGGTGCTTCTCCAGAGCAGCTCTCTGCAGGTCACAGAGAAGGTCACCAACAGTGCTGCGATCTGCCCCGTTGGTCAGGGCTGGTGCCCCAGTCACTCCTTGAGCAGACGGCTCTCACAAGGGGAGCTGCAAGGCCCCAGGACCAGCGTGAGCATCTCTAACCTCCCTGAGTCCACCAGCCCCTTGCATGGCCCTCCCTGGTCCATCTCTCCTGTAAGACACCTGCCTCGTTCCTAGAGCTCCTGCTTGCCAGCGTGAGTGTGGAGGCCCTGCTACTGCTTTTATTTATTTATTTGTGACTGTGCTGGGTCTTCATTGCTGCGAGGGCTTTTTTCTAGTTGTGGAAGGCAGGGACTACTCTCCAGGAGTTGTGACTCCCAGGCTCTCAAGCACAGGATCAATAGTTGTGGCGCATGGGCTTAGTTGCTCTGTGGCTTGGGAGGTCTGTCCAGATCAGGGATAGAACCCTTGTCTCCTCCATTGGCTGGTGGATTCTTTTACTACGGAGTCACCAGGAGGCCACCCCCCATCTCCCACCCCACTGCCGCAGCTACTCCTTGACTATTTGTTTCCATGCTTCTGACATGGAGTTGAGTTGGGTTAAGGTCCAAGTAAAGAGGCCCGGTGGAGAAGGCAATGGCACCCCACTCCAGTACTCTTGCCTGGAAGATCCCATGGACTGAGGAGCCTGGTGGGCTACAGTCCATGGGGTCGCAGAGTCGGACACGACTGAGCAACTTCATTTCACAAAGTAAACGAGGGCTTCCCCGGTGGCTCAGTCAGTAAAGAATCCGCCTGCGATGCGAGAGACCTGGGTTCGATCCCTGGGTCGGGAAGATCCCCTGGAGAAGGGCATGGCAACCCACTCCAGACTTCTTGTCTGGAGAATCCCATGGACAGAGGGGCCTGGCAGGCTACAGTCTGCTGCTGCTGCTAAGTCGCTTCAGTTGTGTCTGACTCCGTGAGACCCCATAGACGGCAGCCCACCAGGCTCCTCCGTCCCTAGGATTCTCCTGGCAAGAACACTGGAGTGGGTTGCCATTTCCTTCTCCAAGGCTACAGTCTATGGGGTTGCAAAGATCGCACACGACTGAGCGACTCAGCACAGCAAGAAGTAAATGAACAAAGATGAGGATGGAAGCAAAGTAAGGTTTGGGTTTGCCCAGAGCTTTTCAGGGTGTTCAGCTAACACAGTATTTCAACTTCTGGAACTTTCCAGGGCATGTTTGGCCCTATTTCAAAATCATTAGTGGGTTCTGATTGCTCCAGTGAGACCCTGAAATAGAATGAGGCAGTGAGTCTAGAAAAGCCAGGGTACACTCTGATTCCTTAGGACCTCGGGTGAGGGGGTGAGGAAGCCAAAGAAATGGTGAGGAGGGTGGCATTGCAGGAAGCCCAAGTCAGTAGAGCCAGGACAAGAGCATGTCTCCAGGAGCAGAGGATGGACAAAGCTGTGCTGTGACCTACAGGGACCCTGACTGTGCAGATGCTTTCCTCCAGAAAATTACAGTTATCAAGGTGCTACTGCAGAGCCCAGGGACCTGTGCTCAGTGCTCCGTGGCAGCCGGATGGGAGGGGGTTTGGAGGAGAGTGGAAGCATGTGTATGTGCGGCTGGGTCCCCTTGCTGTCCACCTGAGACCATCACAGCACTGTTCATCGGCTGTACTCCAATACCAGATAAAATTTTTTAAAAAATATATTTTATGACTGCTCTGGTAGAAAGATAAATATAATCCTGGCTGGAGTCATGATTAAATACTCAATTTTTTTCTTTTGGATTTAAAAGAAATGAAAATATTAAAATATTGTCTTACCCCTGAAAGCCCCCCAAAGGCCCAGGCTTGTGTTCACTGTGTCTGGTGGAGCAGCTGGCTCTGGGTGGGGTCTGGGGAGTGGGCTTAGGCATTATCAGGGAAGTGCGGCATCCTGGGACCCCCTCGGTAGGAAAAGTAACTTGTGCCAGCTAGCAGCTGGGGCCTGGGGCCCTCATGCTCTGCCGCCTGGTAAGGGGACAGATGACCACAGAGAGCAGCTCTAATTCAACTGCTTCACTTTTCAAACAAGGAAGCCAAGACCCAGGGGAGGAAGGTGTCTGACTTCCAAATTATCTGAGTGGACATTTGCTAAGAGCACCAGTAAGGTCCCTGGGGTTTGGGCAGCATGTGGTCCTATGAAGACAAGAGTCTGTGAGTGCAACCTCACCCCACAATGTGGCAGGAGCCCCGCGAATGTGAAGCTCACTAACTTAGACTTCATGTGACTACATGTGGACAGTGTCTCTGCTTCAATGTGCTTTTGTACTGTCTGTGATAAAAGGATATATATTTATATAAAGACAAAGTGTAAACAAAATGGGGAGGGGTATTTAAATTACTCAAGTACTTTGGTATTTTCAAGCCCTTTAGAAGCACCAGTTATGTTGTAATACCTAACAGTAAACCTGTGTGCTACCCCATAGGTAATATTCGCCTAGTCATTAAAATAGCTTTGTTTTATTTATAAGCAGTGAGACCTTTATAAATAGTGTACTAAGAACAGTACAGAAAGCAGTAAAATTCTATTTCTTAAAAAAAACAAACAAAAAACCCAGAATGCCAATATCTTAACAAGATTTGCTTGAGTGTCCTTTGTTGGAACAAAAAGACTGTTGGGGCAAACTTTTCAGCTGCTAGTTGTGAGTGGACCTTGCGAATCTATAGCAAATGAATGGCCGTCATCAACAATAGCTGGTATTAATGACTGCAGCTCAAAAGGAAGGAAAACAAACCAAAAATCAAAAGTACTAGCACTTAGCCCTTTGTAACCCAGGGGGTTTGAAGGGTTTCAGCGAAACTGACCTTACACATGTACATGGAGCTCCCATGAACGTGGGGTACATTACAAAAGACGTCGCTTAATACAGTCCTGGCCCTTCCTCTGTTGGGCTTAAAATGACTCAAACCATTATATTTCTTCCTTTTTTTTGGCCACACTGCAAGACATGTAGAACTTTTTGGACCAGGGATCAAACCCTTGTGCCCTGAAGTGGAAGTGCAGAGTCTTAACCCCTGGGCCACCAGGGAAGTCCTCAAACCATTATATTTTTGAGGACCCCTGCTTCTGGGACTTGCTGATTTAACAAGAAAAGAATGTAATTAATTTAGTGATGAATCAGGATCAAGAATTTCCATGTTTCACTTTTTTAATAGTGAAAATCCATAAGAGTTTAAAATATTCTGAGACACACCTAGCTTAGCAAACACCATGGACCTTCTTGTATCTGTGAAGTCACACACAAACCAGCCAGCACCTAAGTGCTGGTTGGCCCCCTTTGGCACTGGAACACAATAATTTATTAAGCTTCAATACTTAATAAGTGTGCACAAATATCATGCAAACATACAGCCGTACTCACAAATGAAAAGTGTATTAGAGTCTTAGACGTATGCAAAACATCTTGTAAACAAAAGGGAAGAGGTTGGTATTTTCTGTACAAAATATGCAGGTTTTCCTTTTTTAAAAAATAATCTGTAAGATGCATCATACTTCGGGCATTTTCAAAAAGTGAAAACTGTATAAAAATAAATATTCTATGTACAAACACACACACAGGCCAATCCCAGGTTAGAGGCATCACTGCAAAACAAAAACAAACACAAAACGACATGGTGTTAGTGTCTGTGAGTGTTTATTTCCCTTGTGGGAAATGAAGTAGATCTTGTTCTGGGTTGGAGGGGAGAGCTTTGGGTAGGGGACCCGGGGGAGCCAGGAACCCCCTCCTCCAAGACCCTGGTGCTGACTGGCAGCAGCCTGAGGGTGGGAAACTAATACCTTTTCTTTCTAGTCATTCCCCTTATTGGTCACTAGAGGGCACTTTCTCTCTATGCAGCCTTTGGAGGCCGGTCTGTTGAATTATTGAATCTTCCCAGAATAAATTTATGATGTGAATCAACAGACATCAGGCTCTCTAGCAGCTTCTTGCTTCTCCCAGACATTGTACCCCTCGAGAGTGGCTCTTCTTCCCCTGCTAAGCTCAATCATTTCTATCTCCTAACCATCCACAGCAACCCTGAAGAAGAAAGGTGTGTCCCTTTTTCTTAGGGGACACACCTCTTTCCTGTTTCTTGGAGCTTTTAGCTAGTTCTAGGGGAATTAACCAAGAGGATGAAGTGACAGACAGATTCCTGGGGAGGCATCTCCCTTGAAAGCAGAGCTTTCCCTCTCTCTGGCTAGGGGGTGTTTTAGGTACCTGGGTGACTAGATGCTCAACCTACAGCATGGTGTCTTGGTGGTTTCACTGCTTTTACCGAATCTTGTGAGCTAATGAGATGGTGGACACCTAGCCAGAGGAGTGATTCATCTCGCTGTAAGTGTGAGTGCTATCACTGGGCAGGACTGGATTAGTTAAGCACAGACTCTTGGACAGGTAAGGATCTCCAGCTCTTTAATGAGAATGAACCAAAATCTTGAGACAGTGGTGGTGGAGGGCTGGTGAAAAGTCTCTGAACAGGAGGAAGGTGAAGGGAGGCCATAGGTGGGACTGCATGGCAGGTGCTGCCTTTTCCAAGACCAAGTTGGGTTTCTGGATTAGAAAACCAATGGTCCTGGTCATGCCAGGGAGGCTTGCACACTGGGGGCCCTGGATGAGTCAGGTGGCTATGTTGAGGGCACAACCCTGTGGTGTCAAGTGGCTTTAATGATGGCAAATGCCAAAGGCAAGTGTGAACAAAGGAAACTTCTCTGTTGGTAGGACTATGGGACACCAAGAGAGGGTGGGCAGTCTCAATGTGCAGAAGCATGAAACTCTGACTATTTAAGTTCAAGGCGAAGGACTGAGTGATGAGCTGGCAGGTCTCTATGAGGAGGTATAGAATCCATATGACTTTATACTTAAAGTATAGAGATTTCCTACATCTGGATAAACATCATCATATGGCTTAAATGGCCTCTTATGAACACTATGAGACTAGCTAATGATAACTGATTTTGAAACATGGTTTAGAACTCCTTGCAGAAGAAGTATGGTATAAATTAACCTCATGAAGCATAAAGATGTCATCTGTCTGGCTACATGGAAATTCCATACACTGGGTTTGCTGATGCCTTAAAAACTATTTTTAAATGTTCTCAAGTGCATGCAGTGAGTGGAATTGTTTAATGGGCACCCTGCTTTTGGGACTGTTCCTTTTTGGAACCATGTCCTGCTGCCTCATCTGCAGGAAGGCCTGGAATGGAAACCGTGCATGCTTTATCCCACGGCAGAAAATGGAGCTCACGTACAACTCTGCCCTGAGGCCCTGGAACCCCGGGAAAGCTTACCTTGTTCCAGCAGCCCTGGACTGGCAAGCCATCTTCACCCTGCAGTGAGGAGGAAAGGCAGACGGCTCAGACTCACGGGGATGGCCCAACAAGCAGCAGGACAAGGGGAACAAGGGCCACAAACACCGTGTCAGCTGATCAGGGTGCAGCCCACCTGATATTGTCTGGTTCTCTTCTCTACCCCAGGGCCTAGCCTCGGAAGGAGGCAGGAAGCAAGCCCTGTCTGCCTTCAGGCCAAGCTCACATGTAGTTACAGTTCAAAGCTGAGATGGGCTGTCCTATTGCCTGTGGGCCTGGTGAGCAGAGGCGACCTGAGCATGGTGGAGAGGACAGCCCGGAGGCCTGTTGGTCTCCAGTCTGGCTTTACCGGGTGTGGGGTGCCCGTGGGCGAGTCACTGAGCACCTGGAGGCTTCAGTTTCCTCCTCCATAAAACCCGGGGAAGGTGCAGCTCTATGGAATGAACACCCCCCTCTCTCTCATTCTTTGATTTCTCTCTCTTCCTTAGCAGCTGGGGGCGGACATCCAGACAGCTCCCATCTGGTGATCAATGAGGAGGAGGACGGTTGATTTCCCAGGCTTTCAACATGGGGCTGAGGTGCCTTAAGCAAGGAGGCAGGGCTCGCGGCACAGCCTTAGTGTCGCTGGGGGCTTGGGGGGATGAGCAGTGGTAGGATAAGAATCCACCAGGTGCCACTTGTCCCCCTGCTGGCGCACCCACTGAGTACCTGAAGCCCCAGGACATCCTGAGTCTCCTCGGCCGGCTGTTCCGGCTGCTCTGGTGTGCCCTGGGGGGAACTAGAAACCCCTGAGGAGCAGGCAGGGAGGGTGAGGCTGAACCAGGGCAACGATCTGGTTCTCAGTCTGAGTCTGTTAGAACTGCAGCCCAGATTCTAGAACTTCAGGTTCCAGGGCAGAGAAGGAGATGCACATAGGGTTTCAGGAGACCCGAGCAAGTGGTCAGCCCCCGAGGGGCTGGAATGGGAGCACCCATGTCTGAACCTACGCATCCACCCATGACAGGCCTGGAAACCGCTCACCTGGAGCCCAGCAGACAGCTGGCCCTGCACCCGGGGCTGAAGAAGTCTAGTTACTTTGTACTAAAAATCCTGATCAACAGCGCAGCTTCCCCGCCGCCCCCACCCCCCACCCCCGCCGCCCACTGCCCCACACCCACAGTAACACAATGCAGGAGACGGCAAACAACGCAAAACAAGAAAGGGAAGGTATGTAAACTTCTACAGCAAAATTAATAGACAAATGACACATTATTGGAGATAATGCCAGTTTGCATTAAAGGTCAAATCAAGGTGACTTTCACCGTCCCTTCTGGGTTGGGGAGGTTCTGCAGGGGTGGGGGGCGGTGGTGCATCCTAGGGTTCAATGAAGACCTGGGTCCCATTTCCCAGCCCACCACAGTGCGACACTTCACATGGACTCGGAGGGACAGGAGCCTCCGCGGGCCACAGCGGCTTCCCATTGGCACGTGGATGGTGGCAGGGGGAAGAGAGGAGGGCTGGGCAGGCAGGGAGGGGTTGCAGTGGCAGTGTGTGGATGAAGAGCGGGGTGAGGAGCCAGGGCTGCAGCCGGCGGAACTCAGATTTCGGGATTCTGGAAAGGGCTGTGGCAGAGGGGATGACTGGCTGTTGATCAATGGAGGTGCCGTGGAGGGCATGGGAGATTCCATGGCTGAGAAAGGTGCCTGTGTGATGCATGCTGCATGCTGAGGGTTCAGGAGGCTGGGTGGGGGACAGGAAGCAGCCACCTGTCAGCTTAATCTGCCTCTCCTGGTCCCTGAAAGTCCCTTCAAGGGGCTCTGTGGTCACCTGTCAGGGTAACATAGCATCATTTCTTCCAGCGTTTTCTCCTCTGTCCCAGGATAATTCATCTGTGACCCTGGAGTGGGGATGTGAGGCTGGGAATTCTCATCTGACAATTACTGGCGTGAAAATAGCTCCATGAGCTTCAAACCTCCTCGGGAAATTTAGGGGGGCAGGAAGCTTGTAAACAAACCGCCGTGGAGTGAAGGGCCATCTTCTGCTTCCCCCATAGTGTGCTGAAAGGATCGCTGTAGAAGCCTAGAAGGTCCCTGCCTGGAGAGGGACTGGAACCTGGGGAACCAGAACTGTAGCCACTTAGGCAGTTCTTACGCTTGGGAGTGTCCTCAATGTCTCCCCTTCCTCCCTGTCTCCTCCCTTCCCCCCCTGTCTCCTCCCTTCCCTTCCTTAACCAACCTTTCCATGTTCTTCTAGACTTTTTGGTGGCAAACCACTGAAAAATGGAAAGAAAAAAAGAAAAAGAAAAAGAGGAAACCAAGGAAGGGTCTTGCAGCATCCTCTGGGATTCAAGCAAAAAAGGATGAACCCTCTAGGATCTAGAATCCTGATTTTGGACCATCCCTTGCTACTGGGGTGTCACCTGGACAGTGATCCCAGTGTCACCTGGATAGGATCTGTGCTGGAAGGTCAGTCAGAATACCCCCTCCTCTGCTTTGGTTCTAGAACTCCTCATTCTGCCCTGTGTTTATAAGGGTGTCCATCTGTCATGAGATGCTGGAGTGGAGAGGGATGTGGTGCCAACTTGGGCATCTCATTCAAATGTTCATCCAACTAACTGCAGTGTATGAAGGCAGAGAAGTCACAGTCCTGAGAGCTAATGCAGAGACTCTACTTCCCTGGCTTCCTTTCTGGTGGCAGGTTTGTCTAGAAGCAGTTCTGAAAGGAGGGTCCGATGCAGCTAAAGCTGGCATTGGATGGGCAGGACCAGCTCACATTAAGGTGATGGGCTTTTGAAGCTGCTGCAAGAGGAAGACAAAAAAAGCCTCCTGGCAGACTTTGCATGCAAGAGGGGGGTGTGCGGGAGCCCCCGAGGGCCAGCCAAGGCAGGGTGACCCTCGGTGCCTACAGAGTGAAGAGGTGGGAAGCAGAGGCCAGATGGATGGAGCAGGAGTGTGGAGGGCAGTTGGAGAGGCACACAGGCATAGACTGCACACGTGGGGAAGCCCATACTGGCCATGCAGGCAAGGGAGGGTGATGCCATACCAATGGGCACGGGGCATCCAGTCCGTCCAGCCCTGGTAACCCCGGCTCCCCTTTCTCTCCTTTAAAACCTCGGTGTCCCTGTTCACAAAACCAACCACGATGGTTATTTCGGTCAAGGCTGGCCAGCTCCGACTGTGGCGTGGAGAGACCCAGTCCTACCCTGGCCAGGATGCAGGACCCTTAGGGCGTCTACAAGTAAACTGCAAACCCCAGTTGATTCCCGCCTTCCCAATTCAGCCTTTGTGCTCCAGGAACGTTGAGCTTGGTGACGTGTCCAGCCAGCCCCCTCTCTATTTAGAGACGTACTTGGCGTCAACACATAGGAGTTTCAACTTAATGCATCATAATGTTAGGGCCCTCCAGTGGGTTGAGGGACATTTGAGAAGCCCCGCAGATGTGCCATGAATCATTCCTCATTGGCTGGTTTGGGAAGGCTTCCTGGGGGTGTCTGTCTACTGACCTTGGTCTGCAGTTTTGCAGGTTTTGGCTGGATGGCTGGTGGGCATTGAGAGGTTGTATATAAAAGCCCCTCTCTGGCCTCATTCTGCCCCATTTGGGACAAAGACAACCCTCAGGAGATGCTGGCCCTGGTGTCCTGCATCCTGACCAAGTGGGGATTCAGATGACTTGAACTGCTGGCCACAGAGGTGGCCCCAAAACAAAGAAGGCAAATGGGGGTGGTTCACAAATGCTACCCTGGCTCCCAAAGCCACCCCGGAGCTAAGAGCCAAGGCCTGCTCCCAAATCCCTTTCCTTGTGGTGTCTCCATTTCCACACATCAATTGTTCAGCATCTTCAAAGGGAAGGGATTTAGCCGGAATTGCTTGCAGCTGTGGTTTCAGGGCAACACCAACAGCAGGGAGAATTTCATCGGCCACATGAACAGACGGGTTTGGGTAGTGTTAGTGGAGTCATTCGGTTTTCATCTTAGTTTATTTGCCTTCTTTGTTTCCAGCTTGCAAACCTCCAGGAAAAATGAGAACAACCAAGTGATAGATGGAAACATACCAATGGACAGGGGGCATCTAATCCAGGCGCTCCTTGGTCTCCCTTATCCCCCTTAGGCCCTCTAGAGCCTTTCTTCCCCCTCTCCCCCTGTAAATAATGGTTTAGTCCAAGAAAAAAAAAAAAAACAACATCAAAACTTTAGGATCATTCATGTGTTAAGGTTAGAGACAGAAAAAAAAAAAGAGGGGAAAATAGATTCTCTCAATTAGGATAGTCTCTTTAACAGGATTAGGGGTCAGTGTCCACCCCACCCCACAAAGAACCTGAGTATTTGGCTAAGGCAGGTGTGTGAGGGGGTCAGTAGGGCTGAGAGCCAGAGGTGGGAGGAAGTGCAGATGGATGATACTAATTCTGAGCCCAGAATGCATCTATATAATGGACAGGGGAACCCATTTCCTTCTCTTTGAGGGTTCATTTTTTAAGGGGTCTGGGACTTCCCTGGAGGTCGAGTGGTTAAGACTCCCATCTTCCAGTGCAAGGGGTGTGGGTTTGATTCCTGGTCGGGGAACTAAGATACAATGTGCCACACAGCCAAAAATAAATAAATGAAAGATCATCATAGATCACTCATATTAGAAAAAAAGGGTCTGCCCTGACGGCTTTTGTCCCAGTTAGGTCCATCCCTTTGATACCCTCTTAGGAGGCAGGGTGATTTTGTTCAGAGCCCTGGTGTGTGTGTGTGTGTGTGTGTGTGTGTGTGTGTGAACCTGGCATGCAGGCATGTGCAGCCTACATGGTTGTGCATGAGCCTGTGTGTGTGTACACGGTGTGTGCATGCATGAGTGTGTGCTCTCACGTGTATGTACAAGTGCATGTGTGTATGTTGTGTATCTAGGTTCTCAGCTGAGACCTCCCATTCTCTGGTCCATCCTGGTCTGAGGTCATGGGCACCTACTTGTATATGGATATGTTGACTCAAGGAATTCATTTGTTTCTGAAAAGCGTCAGCAAACATCATCTTTCTAAATTGAACCCTATTTTACATGTGCCAAGGTCACTCTCCATTTAAAGAAGGGCTGTGGGAAACTCTGTGTAATGAATTTGAATTGGGGTCTTATATGTTGGATTTCCTTATAAGGGACCAAGCGTGCCCCTGGGAAATCTCCCTGGAACTCTCCTCTATTGAAGGCCGGTTGTCTCAGGGGGGGCTTCCACTGTGTGTCTCTGGGTGGGTAGCGTAATGGTCAGAGAGAAGGCTTGCAGCTGAACGGGATTTGCCTCTTACCAGCCACGAGACTCTGGGAGCTTACTTAACCTCTCTGAGGCTCAGTTTCTTCATCTGTAAAGTGTGGATAATAACACCTCCCTCAGAACGTTGTTGCGAGGTCTTTGTGCACATTTAGTGCTTAATACTGGCATATAGGGATAAAGGGCTTCCCTCATAGCTCAGTTGGTAAAGAATCTGCCTGCAATGCAGGAGACCCAGGTTCGATCCCTGGGTCAGGAAGATTCCCCTGGAGAAGGAAATGGCAACCCACTCCAGTAGTCTAGAGAATCCCATAGACAGAGAAGCCTGGCAGGCTACAGTCAATGGGGTCGCAAGAATCCAAGAGTTGGACACGACTTAGCGACTAAACCACCATAGTGATAAAGAACTCGCCTGCCAATGCAGGAGACGTAAGAGACACAGGTTCAATCCCTGGGTTGGGAAGTTCCCCTGGAAGAGGAAATGGTAACCCGCTCCAGTATTCTTGCCTGGAGAATCCCATGGACAGAGGAGCCTGGCAGACTACAGTCCATGGGGTCGCAAAGAGTTGGACACGACTGAGTGTGTGCGACTTAGCACACATGCATGCACTGGCCTATAGTATGTGCTCAGTCATGACAGCAGCTTCATAACAAGAGCAGTAGCGATCATCACTTCTCGTCAGCCAGTGTAGGAGCCAAGGCTGCCATCAGAGGCTGGACCTCCTGTCTACCGCGTTCCAGCAGTGGAAGGCTACAGGGTTCCTTAGAGGGAGGCAATGGATAAGAATATTTAAGACGTTTCTCCAGGCCTTTGGAAATTACCCACACTTCTTGATTCCAGAGGTTACCTGCAATTGCCAACACATCCTTCTAATTGAGTTTTCTAAAATGCAAATGCCTACTTAGAAAATAAAGATGTGTTTAAGAGGAAATGTGTCTATGCATCTTAAGTGTCATGGCATTGGCTCTAAGATAGGCCCACCAATGAGGAACTCATGGAACAGTTAACCTGCAGACAGTGGACAAGCGAAACCACTTGCTATTTGGATGAAGAAGCCCCATGGGAAACTTTCTCAGGAAGGTGTCCTTTATACTCTGGGTGAGGCCAGCACAAAAGTGAGCACAGTTCCTTAAGTTCAGAGGGTGAGCACAGCTCCTGGGAGTGGGGGTCTGCAGGTCCTAATGATGGGCCTGGCGGGGCAGAGGGTTAGCCAAGGTCCCTTCAGGATGGGAAACTTGCACTCTGGGCTGTCAGATTCTAAGGGCACAGGAAGTGGCCTTATTGGGTGCCCCTTGAAGACATCAGAGTCGTAACTTCACCTACATCCTCTCTGCTCCCGTTCCCAAAGAGGACACGAAAAGGGCCCTGGTGCAGAGATGTGTCAAGTTGGTATGGGAGGGGGGCAGGCAGAATCAAGTAGCAGGGCTTTCTTAAAAAATGAACAGAACTGCTTTTAGATGAAATAAACTGAAGCTGGAGGAATGGAAGGGAAAGGATGAGGCTGTGGGATCATTATAATGGGTGAACCTAGCTAGAGGGAGCAAGATTCAGGGAGTAAAGGGGAGAAGCAGGCCCAGGCTGAGAGAGAGCAGATGGGGGAGAGGAAGGAGGCCAGGGGGCCTGGGGAAGCAAGATGCAAAAACGCATGTGCACATACATGCATGCAAGCAAGCATGTACACACACGTACACGCATGCACTCCCCCCCAACACACACACCTGCACACACACACATTGCAGACGGCACCTCTTGGAGAGTGACAGAAGCTGCACGAATGCTTCCAGACCTTTCAGTTGGCTGGTTTGCAGGAAGCTCCACAGTGAAACCCAGTCTTCCTGATGCCCCGATTGCCAAATTCACACCACCCTTTACCCTGTGATGAATTTTTTCATCCTAAAAGTGGCTCTCAGGCTAAATTCACAGAGCTGTTATGGGACAAGGAGAATGCTCCTAGTGACAAGGACAGAATCTTTCCCCTGGCATGTGTGGCCCCTTAGAAAACTGCCTGTCTTGGCCTCTGGGCCTTGCCCACCACTATGAGGACCATCCTTCTTCCAGGAGAAGGAAGGAGGCCCCAAGACCATCCTCTGGTGGGACTCAGAGTAGCATGGTCTTAAGGCTGTGTCTTGGGTCACTCGGAGATAGGATAACAGACCTGGGGCACCCATCCGAGCCTCTCTGATGGCGTGCCCCAGGTGAGATGTGAGGCAAAGTTTGGGAGCCCCTTCCATAGCCAGTGGGCATGAAGGGCTTTGAACATCTCCAGCTTCACCTCCACAAGCAACAATGAAACTTCCAACCTGAACATAATCTAAGCACTTCTGGCCTTTTCCCTGGACCAAAGTGCTAGAAAAAACTGGTCATGACACAGAGCTGACTCTGCTTGGACCTTTCTTCATTTTGGAGGCTTTTATCACCAAGCCCTCATCTCTCCCCTCCAAAGTTCCATTAGGGCCAGTGGTATAAAGAGGTCTGAAAGAGGAGGTGAGCTGTTAGGGGTACTCTCCTAGGACATTTTGGCATCCTGAGAGTCAGATCTCTTGGATGGAAGAACAAGCTGGTCCTTGATTTGGAAACCTACCCTTTGGAAGAAGTCTGGTTTTTTATGAGGCACTCCAAGGAAGGTTCATGTAACTTATCTGTTTTCTGGACTTGATTTTTACTAAGTGACATATTGCTAATTTATATGTGGGACAGGGGAGAAGTGTATAAAACCTTAGAATAGGAACTGGAGAAGAAATATTTTCCCACTGAATTATGGGGCCTCAGTGGCTCATTCAATGACCTCAGTTCTTTAAGCATCAGAGCCACCAGCCTCCCACCTTCTCTCTATCTGTGACAAGGGCATTGAAATATTTTATTTATTTATTGGCTGCACTGCACAGTGTATGGGATCTTAGCTCCCTGACTCATGCTCCCTGCATTGGAAGGGCAGAGTTTTGACCAGTGGACTGCCAGGGAAGTCCTGACAAGGGCATTTTCTTGCCTCGCTTCTGCTTCTAGAGCAACACAGTCACCACCACTGGAAGGATTGGTTTTGTAGCCTTCAAATGGCCCAGTGCCTCAAGCCAACTGAAAAAGTCTTAAGAAAGAGGCTTAACAAGTATTGATTGAACATAACAAAGAAAACCAGAACACTGCAGAAATAAATTAGAAAGGAGGTTAGTATGCCAACTGAGAGGTGGAATGATCAATTATTTTAGTGGCCTGAACTCTCGGATGCCAGTGTCGGAGGTAGGCTTTCCAGGCCACCTTAACTGGCTGGCACATTTCTGGAAGTAGGTCTGTTTATTCCAGTGGTTTATTCCAAGGTTCTCTGATGGGGTGCTCCAGGTGTGATGTGAGGCAAAGTTTAGGAGCCCCCTTCCATAGCCAGTGGGCATGGGGGGCTTTGAACATCTCTAGCTTCATCTCCACAAGCAACAGTGAAGCAACAATGGGCTTTTCATGGACAGTCTGATAGGGGTAGCTTTGCCTTTCCTTTCCTGTTCATAGAATATATGGGACAAATGGATTGTTTCTGACCAGCTGACCAGCTGCCAGAAAGGAAACTTTAGGAATATGGAACTGTTCAGTAAATCCATCTTAAATGGAAGAGACTGGCACTGATGCCAGATACAAATGTAGAGATTCTGCATGTTCTATTCATGAACGCTCTGTTATCAGTGTTCAAAGATCAGCCAGAAGACCGCGCTTCTGCAAGTCCCCTGCTCTGTGTCTAACTCTCATGGGGACTCAGAACATGTTATCATAGTTTGGAGCATTGTTTCTCCTTCTGTTCTTCCCACTCTTCTACCTCTAAGATCCTTGAATATTATTCCCACTAGAAGATGCTCTTGGCCTTCTTGGGGATGTGCACACCACTGAGAACCTCCATGATGAGGAAGGCAACAAGACATTCTAGAAAGGAAGCCAAAGGCCAGCCCTTGGTCAGATGTCGTGAATGACTGCTACTGGGCACCAATGTGCCATGTGGCCATCAGGTGGCTGTGGGTGCCATGGACACTCAGAACTGTGTCCTGGTGAAGACGGCAGAAACCAAAGGAGGAGCAGGGTCCTTGAAAGCCATGACACATTTCATAGTCCTGCTGACTCTTTCCAAGAGAAACAATGGCTGGGATCCTTTTTAAAGGCTTGGCTGTGTACAACAGTTGTCTGCTTGTTCTTGGAGCTGGGATTTATTTTCTGTCTCACCAGTGACCTGGGATGCCTGGTAAAACTAAGTGTCAGAAGACTAGGACTTGGCAATGATGGATGTAAAAATCTCGTTTAGGGGCCCATTATCAGGGCAACCTAGAGAGAGGAGGGCTCATGACTCCTGTCACTGGATGGCAATGCTAATCTGATGGCCGCCCTGGGACTCAGCCTCCCCATTCCTCGTGGAAAAATACGTGCTTCAATTTCAGGACTAGGTCCCTAGGCTCCCTGAGTACCACGGATTAAGATACCCTCACTAGAAAGTCTTTTAATTTAGAATGATTTATCAGGAAAAACTATATTTCCACGTTGAGTCAGGAATCCCCAGTTGGTCATTCCAGCTCGCCATGAAGACATTAGTAATCAGAGCCAAAGTGTGAGGACTCAGACTCACCCGGTTTCCTTTGTCCCCGGGTGGTCCATGTAAACCCTGCAATAAATCCGAGAAACAAAGACACATTAAGGAGAAAACACAGGATGGCCATACAGTCCTTCCTTCCAGGCTCATAAAGCTCTTTACTGGTGCCTAATTCATCAGAGACAGGTTTCATGAGCCCCATTTTATAGAAGGGGGACAAAGGAGAACACCTGCTCAAGGAACTTGATCTAGAGACAGATAATGAGTTATGGGTAAAGTCAAAAACAATTTCTGGTTTTCTCACTCTGTAGCCAACACCCTGGCCTGGGGTCAGGTTCTTCTAGATGTCGCATGCCAGGTACGTGATCTGGGAGCAAACACCGCTCCCAGATAGGCAGGTGTTTACATGGCTTTCCCGCCTGCCTTTTTTTAAAAAAAATTCGAGGATAATTACTTTACTATAATTGTGTTGCTTTCTGCCATCCATCAGTATGAATCAGCCATGGGTATACATATGTCCTCTCCCTCTTGAACCTCCCTCCCACTTCCCACCCCATCCCATCCCTCTGGGTTGTCAGAGTACCGATCAGATTTGAGTTCCTAGATCCCACCTGCCTCTTGCTAAAAAAATGACTCCAAAGTTCCCGAGCCCCTCTTTTCAAGGTGCAAGCTGCTCTCTTTATTATTTTTCCTTCAATTTTTTAAATGGTGGTAAAATATGGTGCTACTGTTAAATAACCTAGCTTTCAATGCAGGAGAAGAAGAGATGTGGGTTCGATCCCTGGGTCGGGAAGATCCCCTGGAGGACGGCATGGCAGCCCACTCCAGTGTTCATGCCTGGAGAATCCCATGGACAGAGGAGCCTGGCGCACTACAGTCCATGAGGTCGCACAGAGTTGGACATGACTGAAGCGACTTAGCACACAGCATAACATACACAAAATTTACCTTCTTAACCATTTTTCAGCATTCAGTTCAGTGGTATTAAGTACACTCATATTTTTGTGTAACTACCACTACTTTCCATCTTCAAAACTCTTTTTACCTTGCAAAACTAAAGCTCTATCATTAGACAGTAACTACTCATTCCACCTTTCACTCAGTGTTCTACTTTCTGTCACTATGGTTTTGACTACTATAAATACCTCATATAAGGGAAGTCATACGGTATTTGTCTTTCTGTGACTAGCTTATCTCACTTAAATGTCCCCAAGGTTCACTGTAGTGTAGCATGTCAGAATTTCCTTCCTAAGACTGGAAAACATGCCATTGCACATATATACCACATTCTGATTATTCATTCATGTATCTACGGACACTTTGGCTGCTTCACATTTTTAGTTATTGCAAATGATGCTGCTGTGACTAAACCTCTCTACAAGACTCTGCTTTCAATTCTTTTCCCCCTTGTCTTCCGCTGGGGAGGGATGTAAAGCAAAGACTGGCTGGAGGTGCTGAAGCACTGCCGAGCATGGAGCCCAATCAGTGTACGACCTTCAAGTGGGTGGGAAACCAAAGTCCTGCCTCTCGCAGGCAGCTGACTTCTATAACCCAGCAAAGAGAAGTCCGTTGCAAATGGGAAGCCAGCCCCCTGGGAAGCTGCCTGTCTTGGGAGACGTCTCCCTGCCGTCTAGTGATCTGGACATGGCTCTGTCCCTCCGTGAGGGCAGGGGCCGCGGCACAGTCACCTGTGAGACCCTCACTGCATCGAACACAGAAGCCTCCAGGGAAGGGGCTCAGCCATGTGAGTCAGACGGTCCGCACTGCTGAGGACCTGGTTCCCCATCGGGGCCGTGTGCCCCAGGGTTTGCCTGGAGCAGAGCCCAGCAGGGGAGTTCTAGAGACTGGGTTGGTGGCAGCTGGCTGCTTCGTCTGTCACAGAGATGAGAATTCTCCTAACTTGGCCCTAGATTTTTTGCTCCAGGCCCTGGATATTCTGTTTTGACAGTGCTTCTGTGGTGGGGGGACCCGGGCAGGTGGAGCCTCTGATCCCACGAGACTTACAGGAAGCCCAGCTGCTCCCGTTGGTCCTGTCATCCCAGGGTCGCCTTTGCTGCCCTGAAACCAGAGAAAGAACACATGAACCTTCCCTGACGGGGTAACAACCTTCCAGCAGCCATTCTCTGTTTTCATACGAAACCTGGGCAACCTCTCCAGTCTCTTCAAAGAGGCTCCCAGGAAGTAAGGGCTGGGTGGAGGGTGGGGTGACTGCATGGACTACGTGCCCTGAGGAGGGGGCTTGGGAGCGCCTCTCAGCCTTCTTCCACAGATCCTGGCCTCCGTGGACAGTGTGTGTTTGTTGGGGCGGGGGTACCGGCTGGCCGGGGGGAGCTGCAGGGGAGGAGACCAAGGAGTAGGACATGGGCATGGAACGGGAGATAGGGAGAGAGAAGGAGGGGGCAATGGGGAGAGAAAGAGAGCTCCGCTTTCTCTCTGAAGCTGCAGGTGTCACCCTCAGAGCAGCTACCCTGGCTCCCCAAATGACTGCAGAGCCCACATCTCTCTCCTGAAGCTCCCTCCCTGCTGCCCCCCAAGTTGTGTGGTCTGAGAGCTAAAGAGACAAGAGCCTCTCCCGTGGGCAGAGTCAGCAGGATGGGCTAACTGCTCTTACAGGCAGAGAGCCCCGCAGATGCCCACTCAGGGCTCCAGTGCCCGTGCCAGCCCTGCGGTGATGCCAGGCCCTGAGAGTGTGGAAACCAGGCCTGGCTGGGAGGAGCTGGAGTGGGGAGCTTTCCTCCTCCAACTCCTGCACAAGCCCACCGCACTAGATGGGGGAGAGTGACCCGCGAGAGACGGTCTGATGCACAGGTCTCCTGGCTTCTTGACGTCTCCAGGATTTCTAACCCCACCTGGTACTACGTTCCGTGCTGTTTCCCTAAATCACTGCAGAGGTCAGGCGTGTCTGGTGACAGTAGGGTCTGGGGCCTTGCCAGTTACCTGTGACCGAAGCCAGGTGACCAGAAACTGAAGGGAGGAGGCTCTCCAAGTCTCTGTCCACTTGTAGTTACAAAATAAGCACCCATGGGCCTTCCCTGGCAGGGCAGTAGTTAGGACTCAGAGCTTCTACTGTAGAGGGCATGGGTTTGATCCCTGGTTGGGAAACTAAGACCCCACAGGCTGAGTGGTACAGCCAGGAAAAAAATGAGCACCCCAGGCTTGCTGCACCCCACAGGCTGGGAGGATCATCAAGAGAAGACGGGCATGAGGCGCTGGTGGGGTCTAGGAGGAACAGATGGGGGCTGAGATGGCTGGGCTGACACGGTGGCCCTGTGGGTTGTAGGAACCAGGACTGAGGACCCGAGGCAGAGGAGGGGCAGAGGGGCCCCTGGTTCTGGTGGTCCAGGCTCCCGGCTCGCTGGGCACTCACCCTCTCTCCTTTTGGTCCCGCTGGGCCTGGAACTCCGATTGGTCCTGGAGTACCCTGGGGAGGTGAGAGAACGTGGAGGTGAGGGACCTGACGCCGAGGGGAGCCCGGGATCCCCGCCCGACGCCTGGAGATGAGCAAGGTCCAGAGGCCCAGTTTTCAGGGTTGGCGAGGCCCGGCTCGTGCAGAGCGGTCACTGGACTGGGCCGCGTTCCTGTTTGGTTTTGGGGGCCTCGGGGAGAAAGGTCTCCCCCCTGCCTCAGAGCCAGATTTGAGGAAGGAAACCCTTTCGCTTCACAACCAAGCTTGCCAAGGCTGAAAACAGCAGGAGAACGGTTGCTTAGTTTGCTCCCAGAAGCGCTCGGGAGGGAGTTGACGCCATCCCAGGGGTGAGGAGGCTGGGGGCTGGAACCCCTTTGCTGACACAGCTCCACATGCAGCAGGAGGGTCTTCATGCCACAGAGACCGATGCAGACGCACACACAGAGGCAGGCGTGGGAGGGTCATTCAGCCATCGTCCACCCCCACCCCGCCCCCACTGCGGGCCCTGGCCTTCAGCCTCAGGCCGGGCCTTCTGTCTCCATCCCAGGCCCTGAGGGACAGGCTGGATTGGAGAGATTAGTGGATGTCTGCTGACGCTGGCCTGCGGTGGAGGTGTGCCCTATGTGCCCCTGACTCAGGGCTGCAGCCCCATGGGGCAGCTGGAGGGATCAGAGCTGTGTTGCTTAGAAACAGAGTGGGGCTTGCTAGGGCGTAATTAAACATCTTCTCCAGGCTCCTAACTTACAGCCCTGCTAGGTGAAACCTATAATTCAGAGCTTCCTATTGCTCAGCCTCAGTGATTGTATTTCTTGCTCAGGACATGAGGACTGGGCCTGGGCCTATGGGCGGTTCCCGGTGGTGCTGGGATGTAGCTGTGACAGGTGGTGGGGGTAGGGGGGGAGCAAGTGAGGAAAGGCTGATTTACTTTATGTGGAAAAAAAGAAAAGAGCCATAAGATGTTCATGGTGGCCCCTTTGAGGGAGGAGGAGAAGCTGTGGACGTCTGTGACGGAGTGTCAGAATAGCACTCTGAAGTCACTGGTCAGCTTCAACTCCTTCCTCGAAGGCCTATAAACTGATATTGGAGAAGTTTCTTGGTTTCCCTAAGGATCTGTTTTCCCACCTGTAAAATGGGAATGAGAACAGGAGTGTCTGCCTCCCAGCCTGCTGCGAGGTTAGAATGGATGAAAACATGGCATGCATTTGGTTCTGGGCCTGACACCTAGGAAGTGCCCAATAAATGTTAGTATTGGCAAATAAACATTTTCCTTTAACTTTCTGTTATTGATTTGATGAGAAAAAAACCTTCAGGTTCAAAGGGGACAGAAAATATAAATGTATACATATGCACTGCTCCCCTCTGTCCAATATGAATAGAATAAGTAGTTGAGAGGAAATCATGGTTTCTCTGATTTCAGCCACAGATAATCCCTCTAGCTCAGACTGGCCACCTGGGAAAGGTGTGCTAGGTGCAAGGAGGATAAAGAGAAAGGGACTGTGGCAGATGTGGTGAAAGGTGTGGATGTAAAATGCTCTCTGAACACTAAGCTTGGACTTGCCTATGTGCTCCTCTATGCCACACCCGCCCTCACCCATCAGTGCTGGCCTCACCCACATACATACCAGACTGGTGGCTGCACAGGACTAGAAAGCCCTTGTGGGCAGACAGGAGATGGACAGAGCTCACAGTATGAAGACAGCACAGCATGACGGGCACACACAGACACCGTTGTGTTTGGTGGGGGTGAGTCATGGCCCAAACCCCCAGGGCTTGAGTCCCAGGCTGAACTCAGCATTCCTTTAGGAACAGATTCTTTGCTACTGGAGCAGCCTCCCACCCCACATCCAGTGGTCTTGAAACTCAGATTTGAGGACCCTGTGTGCATACTATGAACAGGGAAATGGAGATGAAGGCCTATTGTCTTTGATCAAGAGGCCTGAATAAGCACTTCTGAACCGAGCACAGATTGCACTTTCTGGTGTCGGTGGTGGGATAAGCCATGATTTATGGAAAAAAACGAGGCCACAGCAGGACAGATGAAAGGGCTTATAGGCCAGGAGTGGGGTGGGGTGGGGTGGGTGGAGGGGTAATGGAGAAGTGACACTCACCGGTGGCCCAGGCCTGCCGTCCAAACCTGAAGCTCCCTGGACAAAGGGAACAGTTTGACCAGAAGAAGGGGAAGGGAGGAACGGGAGGGAGAAAAAGGGGCCAGGGAGGGGAGAGGTGAGTGAAGCAGTGACTCTGGACAGACATAAATGCTGGTCATCAAACAAAATGGGAGAAATAAGCTTGGGAGGACAGGTAATGTATTCACACGAAAACCAACAAAAACATGGAGACACTGAGTGCAGTGTGGCCAACTGCTGAGCAAGCTGGATGGAGATCAGTGCCGATGGCCATCCCCATCCTCTGTGCCCCCTGCTCCCCTCTCTCCTTTCATCCTCTCTCAGAAACCTCTCTCCCAGGAGGTTGCAGTGCTCCAGGGAAAGAGATACAGAAAGTAAACTTATGGAGAGGCGTCTGAACCAGAGCTAGTGCATCCTTTACGACCAGTCTTACTTGGGGGAAGATGTGGCAGGTGAGGCCCAGGTAAGGATGGTCTTCCCAGCCTCCTCTGCATACCTGTTGATGTGAGTCCACACTGGGGGACCTCAGGAGGCTCAACATTGAATTACAATATCCAGTAGATGCTGGCCTACTTCAGCTTCAGCTAGGTGGGAGGAGTTGGGCCTTGAATGATAATATTCATGTTGCCTGACATTTCTCTGGCACTTTACAGTTGGCAAAGCTTAACACAAACTCAGCCCATTCATGTTATCCCAGACAGGGCCTCTTTTATAGAGAAAGGCTTCAGGAGCAGCTGACTGCTCCTAGGACAGAGGTCTAAGGCCATTTGCTCCTTGGAATAAACTGGCTGGCAGTCAGGATGCTATTAAGACCCACTCACTAGGCAGCATCCAGTGATAGCACAGTGGGAATTAGAGCTCTTGCCCCCGTTCTGGGCTATGATGCTGCTCCTTCAGCCCACCTAGGAGAGCTGATGATGCTGACATGACAACCAGGGAGAGAGTAGCTAGGACACTCTAGGCTAGTGAAGACTGAGTTCTGGAAAGTGGCTTCCAACTGAGCCTCAGAAATGAGCCTAGGCCTCAGTATTTTAAAGGTGGGGGAATACCCCCAGGAAAGAGGGGGGAAGGGAGCTGTTTCATCCTGGGGGAAAGATATCAGGTGGTAGGATCCCTCAGGGTGTGGCTTCTTAGTCAGGGGGCTCCCCTGGTGGCTCAGATGGTAAAGAATCTGCCTGCAGAGCGGGATACCAGGTTCAGTCCCTGGGTCGGGAAGATCCCCTGGAGAAGGGAATGGCTACCCACTCCAGCATTCTTGCCTGAAGAATTCCATGGACAGAGGAGCCTGGTGGGCTATACAGTCCATGGGGTCACAAAGAGTCAGACATGACTGAGCAACTAACACTTTCACTTTTTCACAGGGCCTTGCTTCTCAGTCCTAGGACCACATAATCCTGGGACTGATCTTGCGTATGGCCTAGAAAGTTGTGGTTCTCAACCCCAGCTACCATGTCAGAATCTCCTGGGGGTGATGTTAAATAATACAGATGCCTGGGCCCACCCCAGCCCAATTCAAACAGAGTCTCCAAGAGGGAGTCCTGGGAAATAGCACACTTGAAAACTCCAAGTGATTCCAGTGTACAGCCTGCATAGAGAATCTCTTCTGCAGGGTAAATAGGAAGAACTCTGTAGGACGTGCCTGGAAACACAGGTTGCTGCTGTATGAACGGAAACACTGAGGTGAAGCCTAAAAATAGAACTTGAGCTAAACATCCATATACTTTGTCTATGCAGTATTTTAATATGTATATATATATATATATATACATAATTTATTTATTTATTATTTTTTGCTGCATGTGGGCTTTCTCTAGTTGTGGTGAGCAGGGGCTATTCTTCATTATGTAGAATGAAGACTATGGCGCATGGGCTTCTCATTGTGGTGGCTCCTTGTTGAAGAGCCTGGGGTCTAGGCTCACAGGCTTCAGTAGTGGAGGCATGTGGGCTCAGCAGTTGCAGTTCCCAAGCTCCAGAGCACAGGCTCAATAGTTGTGGTGCATGCTCTGAGGCATGTGGAAGCTTATGAGACCAGGGATTGAACCTGTGTCCCTTGCACTTGCAGGCGGATTCTTATCCACTGTAAGACCAGGGAAATCTGTCTATAGAGTATTAATACCGAGTTATCTTGAGCGGTCTGGACCAGAGGGCATGAACTGGAGGTTTTGGGGCCGTATGTGGACCACTAACATATTTTACATGGGTTGTAGTATTGCAAATAATTTTGACTTAATATTAGAAAATGAGATAGTCCATCAAATGCCAGATGTCTAGCTTCCTTAGAAAAGTTAGAGTGTGCAGAAATACTGGACCCTCACTCCCCTAAGGCAAGTCAGCTGAACTGAGCAGGGACTGGGCTCTATAAGAAGAGACACTGTTTCCAGTGAACCATAGTCCCCACTACTCCTTATTGTCCCTCGAAAGTCCATGTTAGTTGTCTTTTATGAATATTGTTTGCTCTGTTGTTTTCCTAAGCCAGCAAAAGTACTTCTCTGTTCCCTTGTCTCTATCAAAAGCTGAAAAATTAAAGACAGTTGGATACTTTGTCTTTCGTCTGGTGCTTTCTTTGTTTACATTACCTGTTTGGTCTTCATGTCAACCTCTGACTGAATTCCCCAATGTTTACTAGGGTCGTGGGGGCCATGAAGGTGAACAAGGAGAGGTTTGTGGTTGAGTGGGGGACTGGAAGGCTCTCTAATAGTAAAAAACACTTAATCATTCCGGATACAGCTTAAGACACGGGAAAAGTGTCTGCTAAAGTCATCAGTTACTGTAGTCTGTCAGGCGAAATCAGCTCCTTAACTATTCCCACATTTGATGCAATAATGAGGTGTAATCATACCTTTTGCTCTTGCTGCTTGGTCGCTGTGATTACATTAAGCAGGCCTTCTAGCCCTGCCAAGCTGGGGCAACTGGGCTTCCTATCATTCCCCTGCTTTTTTACGGTTTCCTAGAGTGGGAGCTGGCCTTGTGCTCGGGACAGAGGAAGCCCCAGTAGCTGGGAAAAGCTCTCTTTGCAAGGCTGTGGCCTCAGTGGAGGCTCAGCTTCTGGCCCAGCTGGGCCATTGACTTCATCTGTGAATTCAAGTGACTCACTTTTTTCTCCTGACCCGTTAATAAAATGATTGCAGGGAATCCTAAAGTTTCCTTCCATATCTTGAAAAACAAACAAAGCAAGCCAACCTCACTGGGGTGTGAGGGAGGGTGGAGCCCAGGGCTCTGGGGAGGGCGGTGACATGCGTTTCCCTGGAGACAGGTGAGGCAGTGACCAGGCCAGCGGGGTTCCCACTGGAGCTTGGGGCGCAGGAATTCACTGAGCCCAGGCCCCACATCTGGAGATGCAGAGGCCTGCCAAGCAGCCCCCACCCTGACCTGGGGCCTTTAGCTGAGATCAGAGATCCAGGGAACCGAGACGTGAGTGGCCTTAGCCTGCTGGGACAGGAAGATCTGACTTTTTGCAAGCTTTTTGCTGTGGCCAGTGCTTAAGAGCAGAGAGCAGGGGCTCTCCTAGAGTCTGCCTGGGAAAGCAGGAGAGAGAGAGAGAACAGTCTACTGTCCCAGTGCTCTCAAGTCCTCTAAGCTCAGCCCCAATAAAGGGAGATTTTTATTGCCTCAAATGAGCACAATTAGGACTGAGCACAATAAGGCTGTTCTTGGGCCTCCTCTGGTTCTCCAGCTGGGTACTCCTTGGGGTGGGGGTGGGGACTTATTCAAATCCATATTCCTCCAGAACCTAGGCCAGGGCCAGCCCAGAGGAGGCCCTCAGCAAGAGTTCGCGCCCACGGTCTAGTCCAGGTGGGAAAGCAAAACCCCACGGAGTTCTGGGGAGCTCACAACTTATTGAACTTTGAGTTTTCCAGTGGTCCTTCCTGGGGGCCTGCTCAGCACCTCCTCAGGACCACCAGGCTGGGCTCCTCACACCCGTGTGCAGGGTCCACGATACTTACGGGTAATCCCAGAGGACCTCGGTCTCCTTTTTCTCCCTGGACGCCCTTTTCTCCTTTTGCTCCGTCTAGTCCTGCTTCCCCCTGTAGGGAAGGGAGATGGGTGAGATCACAGAAGAGCATGGCCCAGACAACTCACCCTTGCACTTTGGGGTCCTGGAGACAGGGGTGGGTGGTGGGGAGGGGGGCAGACAGAGGAGGGAGGAGGAGGAGGTGGCTCATCCAGGGGTGGCTGGCTGGGGACTCCAGGAATCACTGAATTCTTAGCCGGGCTCCACTCATGTTAGAGTCCCTTGTGTCTCAGTAGTAACTCTGAGGTCCCCAAAGGGAAAGGGGATGGCAAGAGAGGAGACAAACCCCCATCAGTTCCAGGTCAGGCACTGGCATAGATGACCATTTGCATAGCAGAAAAACTGGGATGCTGGGGATCCTGGCTGGCAAATACCTGAAATGCCACCACTGCATCTCTGAGTCTCCCAAACTAATCAGGGAAAGAAACTGTCCCCCGGAGAATGTCAGTGCAGGAGACAAGGCTTCCCCATGCCAGCGGCTTGCAGCCTCTTGTATCCATTTGAGATGTTGAGGGAGGGAGTTGGGAGAATCCCAGGCCAGAGTCCAGTGGGCTTGGTCCCAGGAAGTGGTCCCATGCTCTGCCACCCTCTATCTCCCACCTATACTTCAGGGTGAGTGAAGGGTCTGGGGTAGGTTACATGGAAAAAGGATCTCATCATTTGCTAAGAATCTAACCTGTCATTCTGTAGGGTCAATTGATGGATGGGAAAATTCTAAATCCAAAGCTTGTCCAGCATCAGTGATGGATACTAATGGGACCACAGGACTTTATTCTGTCCTAATTCTACCCCACTGTCTAAAGTGTCACATAATTCCGTCTAGGGAAGGGGTCAGCTGGTCTGCCTCTGAAGCACTTTCTCTCTTTTCTGTCCTCACCGACAGGGCTCCTTCCTCCACCCCCTCACCCAACACCTGCCACGTGATCTCTTACCTTTGGTCCAGGAACGCCTTGGAGCCCCTGCATTTGGAATCAGAATAAGGCACCTCAGAACTGCATTTCTGGTTAAGTCACTCTCATTGTCCACAAGTTGGACCGCAAAAGGGCAAGGGCTTAGGGTATAGAGCCTGGCCTGGGATCCCCGCCTGGGGTAGACAGAAGGGAATGCTAAAGGGGGTCTGCTGGGGCTTTCTGGAGTGAGGCCTGAGCCAGCCTTCCCCAGCCAGGTACTAACTGAGAATCTCTCTGTGGCCCCCACAGCTGACTCATGAGAGAATACTCAGTGTCATGAAAGGAAGATTCAGAGAGAACCCAGCAAAAGTGAAATAAATTGATATGTGCAATGTGCTTAGCATAGTATTAGGCACATAGCAAGTTTAAATAAATGTTGGCGACTGCCATTATTGCTACTGCTACTACTTGTACCAGTGGCAATGGGGTGACCCATCCTCATGGGGACTGTGAACCCCACAGAGACAGGGACCAGCATCTATTGGTCTGGGGGGAGGCTTAGGGATCCTCTAGGTATAATGCAGAGGGGTCCCTTTAAAGGTGCCTTATCACCTGTAAATATGGAAGGGCCAACCTAGGGGAGTCAGTTTTAAACCGGTCACTTTCTATTTTAATCCTGCTGGCTGGTTAGTCAGAATAGAAGAAAGAGAAGAACAGAAGTCTGATAGCAAAGGAACAGAGTGACCCTGACTTTTGTGAGGAAGGACCACACCCCATGACCAGACCTAGGGGCTGTCAAGCCTGTCAACTCTTGCCAGGAAACAAGGCAACGCCCAGGCTCCTTGGTGTCACAAAGATGATGCCTGTTTAAGGTGGGAGGGAGGAGGAGCATGGGGGTGTGTGGATGTGAAAATCCCTCCGTGGAAATAGATGATAGTTGACCTAAGGCTGAGGCTAAGCCCAGCGACTGCCATGGAGAGGGGACGTTAGGGGCCTAGTCACAGTGGACTGAAACACAGACAAGCCCTCTAAACTTACCGGAGGTCCAGGAGGCCCCTCTGGCCCTGGTGGCCCAGGAACCTAGAAGCCAAAGGGAAATGATTAGCCCACCCCTGTTATACTCTTAGTGGCCCTGCCTTTTGCCATAGTCTGGGGTCCGGCTGGAGTTGCAAGGGGGAAGACAGAACCGTCAGTACACGGTCTCCCAAAGGAAGGCTTAGAACAGGTCAGAAACTCATAAAAACTCATTTCCCTACACAATGTTGCGGAAAAGCCTAATGCCTCAAAATGTCTATTCTTCTAGACGTTTTTGAAAAACCAGAAAATCTGGCAGCCCCAGGCTCTTGTTCTCCCGTTCAGTCGCTCAGTCGTGTCCAATTCTTTGCTACCCCATGACTGCAGCGTGCCAGGCCTCCCTGTCCATCATCAACTCCCGAAGTTTACTCAGACTCATTTCCATTGAGTCAGTGATGCCATCCAACCATCTCATCCTCTGCCATCCCTTTCTCTTCCTGCCTTCAATCTTTCCCAGCATCAGGGTCTTTTCCAATGAGCCAGCTCTTCGCATCCGGTGGCCAAAGTATTGGACTTTCAGCTTCAACATCAGTCCTTCCAATGAACATTCAGGACTGATTTCCTTTAGGATGGACTGGTTGGATCTCCTTGCAGTCCAAGGGACTCTCAAGAGTCTTCTCCAACACCACAGTTCAAAAGCACCAATTCTTCAGCGCTCAGCTTTCTTTATCGTCCAACTCTCACATCCATACATGGCTACTGGAAAAACCATAGCCTTGACAAGACGGACCTTTGTTGGCAAAGTAATGTCTCTGCTTGTTAATATGCTAGGTTGATCATAACTTTTCTTTCAAGAAGTAAGCGTCTTTTAATTTCATGGCTGCAGTCACCATCTGCAGTTCTTTTGGAGCCCAAGAAAATAAAGTCTGCCACTGTTTCCACTGTTTCCCCATCTATTTGCCGTGAAGTGATGGGACTGGATGCCATGATCTTAGTTTTCTGAATGTTGAGCTTAAACCAACTTTTTCACTCTCCTCTTTCACTTTCATCAAGAGGTTCTTTAGTCCTTCACTTTCTGCCATAAGGGTGGCATCATCTGCATATCTGAGGTTATCGATATGTTTCCCGGCAATCTTGATTCCAGCTTGTGCTTCTTCCAGTCCAGAGTTTCTCATGATGTACTCTGCATATAGTTAAATAAGCAGGGTGACAACATATAGCCTTGACGTACTCCTTTCCATATTTGGAACCAATTTGTTGTTTCATGTCCAGTTCTAACTGTTGCTTCCTGCCCTGCATACAGATTTCTCAAGAGGCAGGTCAGGTGGTCTGGTATGCCCATCTCTTTCAGAATTTTCCACAGTTTGTGGTGATCCACACTATCAAAGGCTTTGGCATAGTCAATAAAGTAGAAATAGATATTTTTCTGGAACTCTCTTGCTTTTTCAATGATCTAATGGATGTTGGCAATTTGATCTCTGGTTCCTCTGCCTTTTCTAAAACGAGCTTGAACATCTGGAAGTTCACGGTTCATGTACTGTTGAACCTGTTCTTGTTCTTGCCTGGCAACAATTACCTGAAGCTCAAGGAGAGCTTTCCCCGCTTGGTGGGGCTTCAGTTCTTTGGTTTACCCTAGTCCTCACCACTCCCTATTGTTGTTTTTTTTTTTTGCATTTTTTTTCCCATTTCTTTTTATTAGTTGGAGGCTAATTACTTTACATCATTGCAGTGGTTTTTGTCATACATTGAAATGAATTAGCCATGGATTTACATGTATTCCCCATCCCGGTCCCCTCTCCCACCTCCCTCTCTGCCCTATCCCTCTGGGTCTTCCCAGTGCACCAAGTCCGAGCACTTGTCTCATGCACCCAACCTGGGCTGGTGATCTGTTTCACCCTAGATAATATACATGTTTTGATGCTGTTCTCTTGAAACATCCCACCCTCGCCTCCTCCCACAGAGTCCACAAGTCTGTTCTATATATCTGAGTCTCTTTTTCTGTTTTGCATATAGGGTTATCGTTACCATCTTTCTAAATTCCATATATATGTGTTTTTTGCTATTATTTTTTTTTTGGCTGTGCCATGCAGCATGTGGAATCTTAGCTCCCTGACTAGGAAGTACATCTGTGTCCCCCCAAACTGCAAGTGCAGAGTCTTAACCACTGCACCGCCAGGGAAGTCCCTCTCTATTGTTTTGAACCCAGACTTTTTGCATTCATTTGTTGCATGCTTGGTCCTGGCTGGCATTTGGGTTTGAGACCTTTAGCTTAAAGAAACAGATTGGTTATCTGGAATGGAAGGAGACTTACATGCTTCTCAAGACTATTCCTCAAGCTCCCCAGGGTGATGACAGGAGGGGGAATATGGGTCTCCATTTCCTTTGAAGGTAGGTTAAAGTAGAAGAGATTTGGACTGGACAGTGAAGGTGAAGGAACCCTGGGAGGTCTTCCTCTCAGAGGAGGATGCTGTGAAGGGTAGATTCTCTCTCCGGTGAAGATGGACATCCATTTGTCCACAGTCAGTTACCCAAGAGCTGGGAGGAGACCTGCCTGCTCTTTTCTGAGTGGGTCCCCCTACTTCAGCTTCTGGACTCTCCTTGGGCACCTCACCTTTCCAGGGACAGAATCCCCTGGAGTGAGGCCAGCATGGGGACCCTCTGCCAGGTGACCACAAAGGCAGCTGCTGCACTCGGCAGACAGGGAACTCCTGTTGTCCTTGGCCATGTGGAGTTTTTAGCTCCGCAATACTGTAGTCACCTTGTAGGGAATGCAATCTTTGCAAACTCTACCTTCTTAAAAAAATGTTTACCACTTTTTTTCTTAGTATAAATAAGTAAATCATATATCCTGATGGGGGTAGAGGTTATAAAAATCATGAATATATTAAAATTCATAGACCCTTACACGCATCCCTGAAAAGTCACTTTTACTATGTGAGAATTTAAAATATTAAAAATTTTAAAGGAATACAAATTCATTAACATAGCAACTAAAGAGAACGTATCCCTATGGCTGATTCATGTTGAGGTTTGACAGAAAACAACAAAATTCTGTAAAGCAATTATCCTTCAGTTAAAAAATAAATAAATTTTAAAAATTAATTAATTAAAAAAAGAGAATTGAAAGAAGGAAAAAGCATAAATATCTCTGAGTAATGCTAATATTTTGCTTTATTTCCTTCTATACTTTCTTGATACATAAAATATATTTGAATGTGTATCTATACTTACGATGATATTATATATATATATATGTATAAAATTTGGTTCTCTTTTTCACTTAAAACCCATTTTTTCATTTTTGCGTGTTCCCCAAAAACCTCCTTTCCATGTTGATGTGCTCTTCACCGAATGGAATAAAAATAAGTTCCTACTAGCCAGGGCTTGGAGCAGGGCTTGGCATAAGAAAAACTCTCCAACATGGGGACTATTATTACCATTAGTATTGTTGTGGTAAGTTATTTAATCATTTCCTCCTTGTTAGAAATGCAGGCTGTTTCCAATTTGTACTTTAAATACATCTGGAAGGAACATTTTTGCATATTATGCGTTTCCTGAATTTCAGAGCATTTCCTTAGGAGGCTATCCAAATAAATAACACACGTGTTCTATAATCAAGGCTGGGTTACTAAATGCTGACAGGGCTTGGGGACACTGAAGGGTGACTGAGGAGACTTCTCCGGGGACTGAGATTCTTTGGGGGTCTCTCTCTGCGGTGGTGTTGGGGTGGCGCAGGCTCTCCCAACAAACAGCCTGTCCCTCACGCATCCTTGATTTCTCTTGCTTTCCTGGCTCTTTCCTTGAGCCTGATCCCCTCTTGTCTAATGAGAAGGTGGCTTCCATCCTGACTACCTCTCACTCCACTGTTCTCTCCTTTGCCCTTCACCACCGCACTTCTCATAAGAATACTGTCTCTCACGTGCACCCCAATGTTCATCGCAGCACTGTTTATAATAGCCAGGACATGGAAGCAACCTAGATGCCCATCAGCAGATGAATGGATGAGGAAGCTGTGGTACATATACACCATGGAATATTACTCAGCCATTAAAAAGAATTCATTTGAATCAGTTCTAATGAGATGGATGAAACTGGAGCCCATTATACAGAGCGAAGTAAGCCAGAAAGATAAAGACCATTACAGTATACTAACACATATATATGGAATTTAGAAAGATGGTAATGATAACCCTATATGCAAAACAGAAAAAGAGACTCCGATGTATAGAACAGACTTGTGGACTCTGGGAGAAGGCGAGAGTGGGATGTTTCAAGAGAACAGCATCGAAACACGTATATTATCTAGGGCGAAACAGATCACCAGCCCAGGTTGGGTGCATGAGACAAGTGCTCGGGCCTGGTGCACTGGGAAGACCCAGAGGGTTCGGGTGGAGAGGGAGGTGGGAGGGGGGACCGGGATGGGGAATACATGTAAATCCATGGCTAATTCATTTCATGTATGACAAAAACCACTGCAATGATGTAAAGTAATTAGCCTCCAACTAATAAAAATAAATGAAAAAAAAAAATACTGTCTCTCTCTGGAAACTCTACCTCTGGAGCTTCTGGGCAAACTCCTACAGACCCTGCTCCAACGACCCATCCTCTGGGGTGCTCACCCAACTCCCTGAGCTGTCGCCATTCTAGTGCCCACAAGTGGAGATTGTTTGCTGCCCAGGAGCAGTCTGTTTATTTCCTATCTGCAGGCTCTAGCACTGGGAGTGGAACATGGCTGGTGCCATGTGAATGCCACCGAGGGACTTGATCAGTGGAGCGAACTTCACAACAGCGATCCTGAAGTGCTCAGGACATGTTGTTTCCTGCCCTCTTCCTGTGCCAGGCAGTTGTGAATTTCATTCTGGAGCATGGCAATGCTGTGCCCACTGGAGGCTGTGCTGTGATGAGGTCCCTGTCACAATCCCCATGACACAAGCCGCAGAGCAGTCACAACCTACCTCCATTCCTGGGTCACCCTTCTCCCCTGGTTCTCCTTTCTCTCCCTGTGGACACAAAACAACACGGCGTGGATGCCAGCACTCCGGGGAGTCTGGGATAGACACCCTCAAATAAATCTGTGACAAACCAGACCAGGACTAGGCTATGTCTAGGTGTCTGCAAGGATCACCTGGGAAGCTACGGGGGGTAACTGGCCTGAAGATGAAGACCAGAGCAGGGAGCCTGTGATCACTGGCTTCCTGAGTCTGAGGTTCTATTAACAGCACATGGGAGGAGAGACTGATATTCTGCATGGATCCTGTAGGGTAGAGACCCTAGCATAGACCTGGGACTTGTTTCTAACAGAATATGGCCTGTGGCAAAGGTGATGGTCTGTCTCTCTTGTGATTATGTTATAAGCTTAGGTACAAATTATACAGATGTTATACAACTGATAGGTTAAGACTGTTACAAGTATGTCTCACACACACACACATGCACACACACCTCTGTCTTGCTTGTGAGCACTGAGACGCTCCTCCTGGCCTTGGCCTTGAAGAAGCAAGCTACTGTAATGTACTCTGCCTACTATGAGAAAGGCTGTGTGGTTGGGGACTGTAGGTGGCCTATAGGAACTGAGGGACTCAGTCCTACTATAGAAAGGACTGAATTATGCCAACAGCAGCAAGCATGGAAGAGGACCCCAGCGCTAAATGGGAATGCAGCCGATGGCAACCTAACTGCAGCTCTGAGAGGCGCTGGGCGGAGGCCCCATGCCGGGACTCCTGACCCGTGGAACTGCCATAACACATGTGTGTTGTTTTAAGCCACTGAATTTGTGGTGACTTGCTGTGCAGCTACTGAAAGCAAATATGGCTCCAGAAGCAGAGCCAGGCCCACGGGGTGTTGATGGAGGACCCTCACACCACATAGGGAGCATTTCCTCCAGTTTGGAGGGGACACGGCAGGAGGCCACCAGCTGCCTGCCTGTCCCAGCTGAGTGGGCAGTCAGTGGCCTCCGAGGGCCCCTGCACTGGGTCAGAGGTAGGACTAGTTGACCTCAGCTTCTTTCTACTTCTAAGAGCAGAATTCCTCCAAGTCCAAGGTTCTGGCACCTTTGAACTCTGTTTGTCCCTGGAAAGGGAGGCCACCATGTTGTGAGCGGAGGGAGCTGGAGCCCCTGTTGACACCCATCTGCCCCTCAGGGAGCAGCTGCTCATCCAGAGGACCCTCCCACCCCCAGGCTGGGACGGCAGATGAGGTCAGGGCAGCCTCATCACACCAGGCGCCTGCTAGGCAGGTGACCGCAGTCAAGGCACCCGACTTGCTTGCCCTCATCAGCAGAGGCCTGCTGACCACCGTGATGCTTGTCCTCTCGCCTTACTATAAATCCTGGGAGCCCGATTGGGCCAGGAAGTCCAGTCGCGCCGGGTCTCCCTGGGTCACCTGGTTCTCCTTTCTCCCCAGTTGGGCCGTCTAGACCCTACGGATTGACAAAGATCTCTGTTAACCAAGGGCTAGGTCATCACACTGAGGTCTGAGGACCAGCTGCGGCCTGCACGTGGGACTCCCTTCCCCTGAGAGCAGATGTCTAGGGTGCTGTCCATTTCTCAGATGGAAGGTGTGAGGCCCAAAGAAGGTTCCTAGGTCAAACCCAGCTGGCCTGGGCAAGGTCCCTTGTTAGGGTCTAGGGCTCTCTCCTGGGTCTAGGGCTTCTGTGTGCTGTCCCAAGAGACAGTTTTACACCCACAACTTTATCTTCCCAACAACCCAGTGAGGTATCCAGGGATGGCATTATCATCCCCATTTTACAGATGAGGAAACTGAGGCTCTGCCAGGCTCAGGGACTTTCCTGTGAATGGGAGATGACAGAGCAGGACCCAGGTCTCTTGAGGCAGGAAACTAGCTTTCATAAAGTAAGGCTGGAGGAGAAAGCAGGCGAGCCCCTGTCCCCGGCTCCCGACCCTGGTTTCCAGCTGCACCGGGCACAGCACACAGCTGTATCATGCTAGGTGGGCCTGGCACTCACCGGTGGTCCTGGCTGCCCCGTCTCCCCTTTCTCCCCCTTCTCTCCTGGGCTCCCTGGGAGGCCGTCTTCTCCCTTCATTCCTGCAGGCCCAGGCTTTCCTGGGGGGCCTTGGGGACCAGGAGGGCCCACATCTCCTGGTTTGCCTCGAGGTCCCTCGAGAAAAGATCAGCAACACGTATTAGATACACCCATGGAGGATCGAGGGGAAGAACATGAAAGAATGGGGTGCAGGGGGCCCAAAGGACTTGGCTCTTTGGTGCTTTATTGGACCAGGCAGAGAGCCTGTGCAGCGTGGGTCTGCCTGGCTCCTCCAGGGGCCAGCAGTGGGGCTTGGGAGGCTTCTGCAGGTGGGTCCCCCCTCCCCTGTTCTCCCTTCCCCACAAGGTGTGCACCCGGGCTCCCTCCAGAGCCTTCTGCACCCTCACCCCCGGGGCAAAGACTATCTTTAGAGGTTTGTCTGGGCGTGTCCTTACCTTTTCCCCGTCGAGTCCGGGAGGGCCTGGCAGTCCAATCTCCCCCTGCAGCCAGAACAAGCCAAGGTCACTCTTGGACCAGAGGAGAACGGTAACCATTATTTATATACCACTTGGTGTGGCAGGTGTCCTCAGCACTCACGCAGAAGGTATGTATTTTCACTGACTCTGTTTTAGAGGTGAGGACCCCAGTGCAGAGTTGTGAGCCCAAGGCCTGTGGTTAATGAACAGTGGATCCCGGTTTGATTCCTAGGTAGGGAAGATCCCCTGGAGAAGGGAGAGGCTACCCACTCCAGTATTCTTGGGCTTCCCTTGTGGCTCAGATAGTAAAGAATCCGCCTGCTATGTGGGAGACCGGGGTTCAGTCCTTGGGTTGGGAAGATGCCCTGGAGGAGGGCACGGCAACCCACTCCAGGATTCTTGCCTGGAGAATCCCCATGGACAGAGGAGCCTGGCAGGCTACAGTCCGTGGGGTCACAAAGAGTCAGACATGACTGAGTGAATAAACACAGCACGGCAAATAACCAGCTGTACCACCTTAGCAAGCTAAGAGGAAAGAGCAGTGAATTCCTCCTGGTAGATCAGGTAAGGTTTCAGGGAGGAGGTGGCAGCCTTCAAGGTGGGATTGAAATATGAGGACTTTGAAAGGTAGGGGAGACAAGAAGGGACTTTAGGGCAGAAGGCCTCATGAGTAGAGGACAGAAGGACAAATGAGCGTGGCTTTCTGAGAAAATCCACAGGGATGAGGGCAGAGGATAAAAGGAAGCAGGAATGGAGGGAGGGGTGAGACTGGGGAGGGGCTTAAGTGCTGTGATGGCGGGTTGAGTCCCTGCTGTGGGCCCAGCTAGGGTGGGAGCTCATCTATACCCAGGCCTCACTGTAACAGAGGGGCCTGTGAGTTACAGGAGCCTGAGACCAGACAGTGAGGGAAGAATGGCAGAGTTGAGTGTGTGGGAGGGTCGGTGGGCAAGTGGTGCCTTGGAGCTTGGGGAGAATTACAGGTTGGAGTGGGGTGGTGGCCCTGAGAACATGAGGATACAGGTGGGGGCAGCCATAGGGTCCTGTGCTCAGAGACACATGCAGGGCTTCTGCAGGGTCTGCATCTGCCTTGTCAAGACAGTGTTACCTTCTCGCCTGGGATCCCTGGAGCTCCGGGTGGGCCGATCTGCCCAGGAAGACCAGGGGGCCCCTAGGAAAGGAAAGAGAGACCTGTGGGAGAACTTTATGACTGAGGACGGATGGCCTGTCTCCAGGGAGGTGTATGTGGAGGCTGATTATTTCCAAACATTTCATCAGCAGTAGGAACACTTTTTTTTTTTTTCAAAGAAAATAACAAGGAGACTCCACAGTGTAAGGCAGGTAAGCTCTGGGTGTGTTTAGGCTAAAGACAGGGTTGGGGATCCTAGAGTCACGCCTATCAGCCTTTTCCTCCCCTTCCCTCTACACCCTTGGGGCTCCTTGGGTTCCTAGAAGATAAATCTGACCTTCCCTGACAGTGATTTAGAAACGTCTCTGGGAAACAACCCAAATGTCCATCAACAGGTGAATGTCTGGTACATTCACACAGTGGAATACTATACAGCAGTGAAAAGAGCCAAGCACTGCACAGGCCATGCCATAAAAGAAAGAGACTCTGACACGTGATGCAGAGCAAAAGAAGCCAGATGCAGATGCTGACATACTAACTGATTCCATTCTTAAGAAACTCCAGAACTGAAGACAGACCTAAGCTAGGGTGATAGAAAGCAGATCAGTGGGGTGAGTGTGGGATTGACTCTTGAGTCTCAGGAAGGAATTTTCTGGAGTGATTGAGGTGGTAGATACAAGACTATATACATTTGTCAAAACTCAACAAATTCTACATCTAAAGTGGGTACATTTTATTGTATGTACAGTTAATTCGAGGTTGATTTTAAAAATTAAAAAATTTTTCCATGAAAGTTTTGTTTCAAATAGGTATTTCAAATAATATATTTTAATGTTTCCAAATGAAGCCCACTGACTTCAGAACCATTTGGTTAATACCAATCTCTGAGATTGAGGCATCATGACTGGTGCTTAATTCTGGATTTGTATCATCTCTAAGTGTGTTCTCTAGCATATGGCCATTAAAAAACATTGAATGACATAAAATGTGAGTAGTTTGAGAACTTCTTGATCTCTCCTCTTTTCTCTGACTTGGAAGTTAAAGCAGGTGGTGATCATTTTAACTGCAGATATTCATTGAGGGCCTATCACTGGTGGGCACCCATGCAGGATCCAGGCTTAGAATACACTGGTTTTCCAGATGCAAACAATGAAGTTGATTTCCAGGAAAAGTGTATGATCACTACTGATTTCTTAGGATTACACTTTATTACTGAAAGTTTGGGTAAAAGGAGAAACATAGAAATATCTTCCTCCATACCACTACTTTCTCGACGCCGTTGCAGAGAGAACCCAGTGTTTATTCTTTGACAGGAGCGCTCTGCTGAGTTGGTGAAGAACCACTCCAGATGACAGCCGTGATCCTGCTCAGGCTCAGGCCAGTCCCTGCCCCAGCACAGTAGGATCTACCCTAACCTTCTGGAGGGGAGACCTCCAGGCTTGGCTTTCAGGTTGCCCACCCCCAGCCCTCAGTCCAGCACCTGGGGCGGGCCGGGGAGGGAATCAAGGGACGAGGACTCACCATCAAGGCCAGTGTCCGGATCTCCTAAAAATCAACACCACGTGATCAGTTGAAGAGCAAATCAAGAGCCACCTGGAGGGTCCCTCCAAAGAGTCCTGGAAGGGTGGGCGCTGAGCCCCTTGAAGGAGTATCACAGAGGTAGACCCTCTTGGGGACTCTGTGCCTCCCAGACTCACTCCATCCTCACCTCTCCCAGAGGTTCGTAATCACTGGACAGAGAACACCCCACGAGCACCAAATGCTGTCTACAACAGACTTAGACATGCTTAAAGGGACTGCAAACTGTCCCTTTACCAGAGAGGGAAGAAAGAAGCATGTCTTCCTTCTAATCACTGACTGGGACCCTCCCTTCATCTTCCCCCTTCTTCTAAGACCCAGATTTAAGGCTCTGATGTACCTCCCTTTAAACACAGCAGAACAAAACACGGAGCTACTTGAAAATAAATTAGAGGGAAAATTGTTGGCATTAAAAAAAAATATGTACACCTTGAACATGGATTCACACAGGTACAAGGATTCCTTTAAAGGAGCAGTTCTCAATCTGGGGTGATTTTGTCCCCCTGGGGACATTCAGCAGTGTACAGAGACATACTTTGTTTTTTATAGCTGGGAGGCAATGACATAGGTGCCATCTATTGGAATCTAGTGGGTAGAGACCCAGAATGCTGCTGAACATCCTCCGGCACACGGGTCAGCCTTCTCACAACCAAGATTAACCAGCCCCAGATGTCAGTAACACCCCGCTTTAAAAAAACAATTTTATGGCATGAGGGATCTTAGTTCCCCAACCAAGGATTGAACCCAGGCTCCCTGCAGTAGAAGCATGGAGTCTTAACCACTGGACCAACTGTCTCTGGGCGGTCCCACTCACCTGGAGAGCCTCGTTGATGTTCCCGTTGTAGTCCACCATCTCTCCTTTCCCAGGTTCTCCCTTGGAGCCCTAGGAGACAAACGATACCTGTACCCAGGGCCTGGGTCAGCGGAGACCTCAGGACAGGTACCTCCTGCTCCTACAAATGGGATCAGAGCCGACGCTGGCTCCACAGGTGCATCCAGAGCTGGCGGTGGCTACCAGGGCTTCAGACATGCTCAGGGGATGCTCAGGGAATCCAGAACCAATGGAGAGCCCTGGACTAGACAGACCTGGGGGATGCTGAGTCTGACTATGGCTGCAGTGTCAGACATCCTAGCCAGACAACCTGTCTGGGGCCAGACTTCTCTTCCTGGAGAGCCCCAGATGAGCCACTTCATGCCGTGACCCCAGGGAGCTGAGATGTGCTGCCCTGATTCTCTGGATGAGAGATGCACATACCTTGGGGCCAGTAGGTCCCTGATCTCCAGGTGCTCCAGGGTCCCCCTGTTGCAGGACAAAATTAGAGTGAAATAGGCATTAAGCAGGTACAGAGAATCTGATGTCCCCAGATGGTCTGTGTGTTGGGGCCCTGGAGGGGCCGGGAGGCTCAGCTCAGGGCAGGCCAGGAGGGCGCAGGGCTCCATCTCTTGCAGGATCCACCCCTCGGGAAGTGCCTCCGCCAGCACGCATGCCCCTCTCCCTCTGAGCTCCCTCCAGCTTCACACTGGAAGGTCTTCTTTCTGTCCCGCGTGAGCTGTTGGTGATTCTATCCTTGTTTGTCTGGCCACCTCTCCTCAGTCCCCTAAGTCAGCTACCTCCTAGGGAGCAGAGATCAGACCCTCTGCCCCTCTGTTTCCATCCTGCTCAAGGAGCAAGGGTTCAGAAACTTTGTGCCAATTGCCTGGGTGGTCACCAATCGCCTTGGAGAGCCCCGGGGTTTCCTATCTGTCGGTGGAAGACCCAAACTGTGGGAGGAAACAGGGGGTGCCAGGGTGAGGGATTAGAAACACCCTGCCTCCTGGAGCAGGTTGGGTGGGGGAGGATTTGTACTTGTTGGAAACAGGACAGAAACGTGGGGAATAAACGAAAGGTGGTGTAAATTGTGAAAAGCAAAGCAGAGTTCCACACTTGATCTGGGAAAATGTGAACCCTGAACACAGCTTTAAAAATGAAGCCAGAAAGTAAAAATAAAGGGAAAACAAACCCTTTAATATAACTCAACTTCTGCTGACCCTCCAGTGGGTCAGCTCAGGGGGCGTCACCTCCAGGTAGCAGCCGGCCCCTCCCCACACCCACAGGCTTGCAGTGCCCACAGCAGCACCAGGCTAACCTGTCCACAGGAGCCAGAAAGAATGGAGCCCCACCTTTACCAGCGGTTGGAAAATAGTAGATGCAGGGGCTCTGGGGCACTGCATTCCCCAGGTGCAGCATTTCATCCCTGGCCCATGCCTGGCCACGGTCTCAGAGGAAGTTCCCCAAAGCCCAAGGTGAGAGAGATGGCAGGCAGGAGTCATGACAGTCAGCCCTGTGCCTGGGGGCCCAGTGGCAGGGACGGCCAAGACTCTCTCTCCCTCTGAGCTCCCAAGCTGACCCTTATCCTGCAGCTCTTAGATCAGGGCCCTCTGTACCTTGTCTCCTTGCTGTCCTGGGGGGCCTTCCAGGCCATCTGCTCCAGCTTCCCCCTAGGCAACAGGAGAGAGATGGGATGAGGATACACAGGGGGTAAGAGATGGTCCGGCCATTCATGTTGTAGCAAGTGTATCTGGGCTTTATCTCTTGCCTGCTCATATCTACTAACTCCCCCTATTCCACCTGTCTGACTTCCCCACCCTTGGGCCCTGCCCAGGCCCACCTCCTCTAAGCAGCCCTCCTGACCTATTCCTTTCCTCCTCTGACTTCTGTGTTGCCAGGCCCTCCTCGGTTCTTAGTCAACACACACGTGTCCAGCTTGTTGAGGCCCCTAACTATGGACCCTCATCAACTTCTGGCTGTAGGAGGCAGGTCACTTTGGAGCCTGGAACACTCACCAGATCCTGCCTGGGAGACAGAGGGGAGTGGGAAGGCTTAGGCATGTGGGGAGGGGGCCCCAGGAGGCCTAGGACCGGAGGAGCAGGGAGAGGCAGGAGTCTCTGTGGCTGATTCAGAGTCCAGGCTACGGGCCTTTCTGATTATCCAAAGACCTGGCAGCCACTGGTCCTTGACTCAGTTACATCACAGCCATTTGAGTCAACGGCTCCTACTTCCATCTGCCCCAGAAAGTGCATCTCTTTTGGAGGGTCAAGGTCACTGCTTGGAAGTAGGAGCTCGGTCCCAGGAGCTTGGACCTTTCTAGAATCCACTGGAAAAACCACACACTTAGAGGAGGAGAGAAGGCAAGGTGCCCAGGATATAGAGTCCCTCAAACGGACTAGGGATAAGGACCACAGGCAAACACTTGGCTTGAGCACCAGTCCAAGGGAAAGACTCACCTTTGGCCCTGGGGGTCCAGGAAGCCCTGGGGGGCCAGGCTCCCCTCTGCCTCCTTCAATGGAGTTGCCAGCATCGCCTTTTTCTCCCTGGGGGTGGAAGGCAGAGTTACCATCACTAACTTTGAGGGAGGTGGTTGGTCTCTGTCTCTTCTCCCCTCATAGTTCAAAGGACTAAAGACAGCAGACTGCCCCTCAGTCTGTGCTGAATGTTGGGGAACGGTGGGCTCCAGCATGGCTGGGGACCAGAGGCTTTCAAAAGCCTGGCCATGGGATTTGAGGAGAGAATGGAACTGGTTACTAAAGTGGAACAGGTGTAAGCTAGAACAAGATCCCCATCAGGACCAGGATCAAGGTTTCTCAAAGTGTGTTTCAGTAAACACTCCTTCAGCAGGTTGGGAATATTCAGAATGTGACAAAAAGGGGCCTGGTGGCCAAACAATGTCGGAAAGGCAAAATGAAACGAAGCTATCCAGGCTCCTTCACCACAGGGTGTCAGGAGCCTCTTGGACAGGCCAAGGTGCTTATGACTCTCTGAGGAGCCTGCTTTATTTATTTAAAAAAATTTTATTGGTGTATGGCTGACTTATGTTAGTTTTAGGTATACAGTAAACTGAATCAGTTATACATACATATATTATATATACACACACACACACACACACACACACACACACATATATATATTCAAATTCTTTTTCAGATTCTTTTCCCATATAGGCCATTACAGAGTATTGAGTAGAATTCTGAGGGGGCTATTGTATACAGCCAAACTTATTTGACTTCTTTTTCTTAAAGGGAATATCTGTGGAGCTCACGTACTGTACACTATGCTTTCAGAGCAGGTGCAGAGAAATCAGACCAAGTCATAGCTAATAAATTCTTTGACTTTGGGGCTTTTTGGGGAGAGTCAGGACCTCCCATGTGGTACCCCATGCTTCTGTCCCCCAAAACAGAATCTGGCTGCTTTTCCCCAATCTGGGAGGGACCCCTGTAATGCTGGGGCCTGTGTGAATGTGCAGGGTGGGAAATGCGGGTGGGGATGGATGCTGGATTTCTACACAGAGCCCACCACTCAGAGCTGGTTGCTACCCACCTTCTGCCCCAAGAGGCCGAGTGGCCCGGGGGACCCCGCAGCCCCCTTCTCACCCTGTGGAGGGAATGCAGACAGTTTGGGTTAGGAACTGTTTCTCTAGTATGTTGGCGAAGGCACCAGCCCTCCAATGTAGGGTCTTGACTTTCTTCTCTCCTGCCTCCCTGCCCTTACCTGGGCTGTTCTCTCAAGGACTCACTTCCTGCTGGACCCTATCAGGGACCTGACTCCTTCCTTGGGACACTTCCCACTGGTATCATTGTCCTCCCAGTCCTGTGCGGGTGGGGCCCTTGGCACTTACGTAGGGAGAGGAGCCAAGAGCATTCCCTTAGGGGGGTCTCCTAGGGAGACGTGAGCCATTCAGAATGCCAATATTTGGCATTCTTTTTTAAAAACTGCTTTGCTCTTTTTCACGTTTGTGATGTCTAGCAATTAGATGTTCCTGGTCTTTAGGGAGAGCTTTCTGCCCACCTCCTTCCTGCCTCTAGGGATGACAAAAACCATCATACTAGAACTTTTCCTTTGGAGGAATATTTTGAGAAGTATGCCTCAGGTTGAATTGTGTCCCATGCAAATTCATATGCTGGAGTCCTAACTCCAAATATCTCAGAATGTGACCTTACCTGGCAATTGGACCACTAGAGATATAATTAGCTAAATTATGAGGTCACCCTGGAGTTGGGTGGGCCCCTAATCCAGTATGATCGGTGTCCTTATAAAGAAAAGGGAACTTTGGACATAGACATGCATTTGGGGAGAATACCATGTGAAGACGAAGGCAGAGACTAGGGCGATACTTCAACAAGCCAAGGAAGACCAAGAATGGCAGCAAGCTACCAGGAACCAGGAGAGAGGCATGGGACACCCTGCAGAAGGGTGTCCAACCCTGCTGACACCTGATCTCAGACTTCCGGCCTCAGAATTGTGGGCCAATCAATGTCTGCTGTTGAAGTCACCCAGTCAGTGGTCCTGTGTTAGGGCAGCCCTAGTAAACAAGCGAAAGTCGCTCAGTCGTGTCTGACTCTTTGTGACCCTGTGGACTATGTAGTCCACGGAATTCTCCAGGCCAGAATACTGGAGTAGGTAGCCGTTCCCTTCTCTGGGGGATCTTCCCAACCCAGGGATCGAACCCAGGTCTCCCACATTGCAGGTGGATTCTTTACCATCTTTACCATCTGAGCCGCCAGGGAAGACCAAGAATACTGGAGTTGGTAGCCTGTCCCTTCTCCAGTGGATCTTCCCGACCCAGGGATCGAACCTGGGTCTCCTGTATTGCAGGCGGATTCTTTACCAGCTGAGCTACCAGGGAAGCCCAGTAAACAAGTACCCTTTTCTAGTCTACCACCAAAAAACATTTTCTCGCTCATGACTTGGGTCCCAGAGCCCCGCTCTCATTGCAGAGATGAAGGGTCTCCGTGACTATGGATGACCACTCAGTGCAGCAGTGGCAGAGCTGGATGCAGCACCCAGCTCTCTTGATGTTTCTCCTTCTGTGTCACAAAGACTTCACTTGGATTCACAGTGTCCTGCATCAGGAGGGCCCTCAAGAGCGCCCCTCCAGGCCAGCATGAGAAGCTCCACTTGCTATAGTCTGATGGTGGTTCTCATATGTAATAATATACACTGAGGGCCCTGGACTCATAATTCACTCAGATGGCTCAATGAACTTTTCAGCGGAAGACACAAAGGATGTTGCATCAAGTCTAGCTGTCATCCCCTTGCCACCTGCCCCAGGGTAGAAAATGTGAATGACAAGAGGAGGGCATGGCAACCCACTCCAGTGTTCTTGCCTGGAGAATCCCCATGGACAGAGGAGCCTGGCCAGCTACAATCCATGGGGTTGCAAAGAGCTGGACATGACTGAGCCACTAAGCGCACACAGGGAAGAGAGGAGGGCCAGGTAAAAGCCGCAGGGGTGACAGGGACGAGTCCTAAAGCCCCAGCTCACCCTGCAGGGCCTGCGGCTTTAGCGGGGGCATACCCCTGTCTGGGACGGGGGGGTCTAAGGGGAAGGGTGTAGGGCTGCCCTGCTGAGGTCCTGGGGGGTGGGAGCAGGGGAGAGAGGACCCCCCCTTCCTTCTGCTGGGCTTTCCTCTTGGGTACTCAACGGCTTTCAGGGAGAAAGGCTGTGCCCTCGCGTGTGAATTTCTGAAGACTTGCAGGCCACCCTGGCCAGAATTCCCTTCCTCCCGGGGACGCATGCACCCACTGCACACTGCAAGCAGCATGGCAGCCATGGGGGCGGGGGTGGGAATGGGGGGACCAGGAGAGGCCGGGGGTGAAGGGAGCACACACTCAGAGACACGGTATCCTACCCTCTGCCCCCTCTTTCCCGGCAAACCTGGGGGCCCCGGCTTCCCTGTTGCTCCTGGGTCTCCCTTTGGGGTAAGAAGAGAAAGTCACTGATAAGAGGATGGGGTGGGAGTGGTGAGGGGTACGAGGGGCAGTAATCATAGATGAGTGTTTCCAGAATACCTGCCCCATAAGATGCACCTCTTAAAAAAAGGTTGTCCTTCTCAGAAAGTTTGAAAATGTGCAGAAGTTACTTCGTTTTTGTTTAGTCACTCAGTCGTGTCCGACTCTTTGTGACCTCATGGACTGCAGCACGCCAGACTACCCTATCCTTCACCATCTCTTGGAATTTGCTCAAATTCATGTCCATTGAGTCAGAGATGCTATATAACCATCTCATTCTCTGCGGCCCCCAAAAGAGTTTCCCAATGTATATTTAGCACAGTAAAGGCTCTGAGAAGGCCTGCAGGAAAGAAACCTGTGTAATAGTTTTAAACTCCGTTATTTCTCAAATGTCTTTGACCACGGAAACTTTTCTCACATTACACCTCTTGTTGGACTGGATGACAGACACAGCCCTGCGGGTGCAGGGGACCATGTCACCGCCCTCGGCCGCTGGTGTGAATGTAAACCAGATAGTTGCCCGGGCCAGGATCCACAGAGGGGGAAGCAAGGCATCTGCAGCGCATTCTTGACAAGCAAGCCCCCCCCGTGGCGGGCTCTCCTCTGCTCAGTCAGGTCCCCAGCCCCGGACCAGCCTCGGGGGACTAGGAGCAAAACCACAGCAGCCCCTCCCACCTCCACCCCATGACTGATGCTCGGGGCTGCCTGGAACATTTCCTCTGTATCAGTACCTTGGCTCCTGGGATCCCAGGTTCACCCTGCGTGGGAGAAAAGAAGACTCTGGTAAAGAATGTGAGAGAGCCAGATGAGTGAGGCCAGGAGCAGAGGAGTGAAGGCATTTGGGGGCAGAAATGTCTGGTCAGCTCAAGGCTTTCCTCTGCCTCAGACTTAGGCCCCTCCTGGACTGTTCCTTATTCTTCCCCCAGGTGAGATGGTGGCAGGTGAGAGGCAGGCAGCCCAGGAGGAGGGAGAGGAAGGAAGGGGAGTTTGCTTTGGATGCCGTGTCCCTGTAAATGACCTGCCAGGAGATCCACATAGAGAATTTCTGCTTCAGGAGTGTTCCTGCCCACCAGCTGAATTCTGGAGAGCAAAGCAAAGCACTAGACTCCTTTCACGTTGGCAGGCTGGTGGGACCTTCAGCTGAGACTGGTAACCCTTTGCCAGTTACTTGAGTGGCTTAGTTAAACATCTGTTGTTCAAGCTGAGCATCTGGCATACATGCTGCTTTAAGGGCAACGGTTCTGCTCCTGCCTTGGTCCAGTGGCCACCCACCGAGCCCCTGAAACCCCAACTCTGTCCTCTCTCCACCCCTCCCATCATGCCCCTCAGGTCTTGAGTTACAAGGTCCACTGACCCTCATCCCAGCCACAGTGGTTCCAGGAGCCCCCTGGCAGAGAGAAGGAAAGGCATGGGGACTTTCTCACCTGAGGGGGCACACAGAAAAGGTGGCCAGCCTCCTCTCCCAGCCTCCTCTTGGAGTGACATGAGATGTGGAGACTTTGGGCTGCTGCTCAGGTCCATGGGGAAGGGGGTTGCTGAGCTCAGCTCAGAGAGAGTGGCCTGAGAAAGACCCTCTGTGCTCATCCAGGCTCCCTGGGCTTCCAGACCCTCCTGGGAGACTCAGAGGGCACCATGGCAGGCAGCCCCTGGCTGGGCTAGATGGGGGGCATCCCTGGGTGGAATGGGGGTGGGGATACAAAAGGAGGAGGAGGAGATGGGGAAGAAAAGGGGGGAAGGAGAGCTGCAGGGAAGTGGACAACAGCAGGTGGCTGAGTTTAACTAAGCTCACTGGCCCCTGAGGCTGCCTGTGGGACTCTCCTTAAGGGATCCCTCTAGCTCTAAGACCCAGTGGACTGGGGAGCAGCTGGAAGTGAATCCCACTTTCTTATCAGCTCCAGACCACCAACTTTGAGGTAAATAAGCTGCCAAGCACAGCACTTATTAAATTTCAAGTGAATGTCATTTTCAGGGGATCCTGACTCCCACAGACAGCTCTGGCTGTCTCAGGAGTTCAGCCAGAGCTGAGGGTACCTGAGAGGTTCTTTTCATGACCCACTGATGCCCAGGAGGAGGCCTGGCCATGCTGGGAGACTGCCGGTGAGTGATGGTTCATGGGTCAAAAAGGAGCACCCCTGCCTGAACAACAGACCAGGCAGCAAGGGGAGAGGATGAGAAGAAATGTGCAGCCCATCTCTGTTTGTATAGGAGGACAGGATGCAGAAGGAGGAGGTGCTAGGGGAGAGCACTGGGGCTGGGGGAGCTGCTGGGGAGTCGGGGGGAGTTGCATACCTTTGCTCCGTGTTTGCCTGGCATCCCTGGCATGCCCCGTTCTCCCTGCAGGAAGAAACAAGAGAAACAATGAGAAGAGGACCAGACTCAGGGCCCAAGGGCTCAGCCCTGAAGCATGGTCTGCGAGGATGTCAGCGAGAGAGGTTGCTCCAGAAGCTTAGAATAACCGTTCAAATCACATCTGCCAGGGATGGCTTCACCCCATCCTCTTTGGGCCAGGTCTCTAAATTCTGCAAAAGGCCCAGAAATTTTAGCTTCCAATGCAAGAGCCCTCCCTCACCCTGACCCCACCAGGACCCCTGGGCCATAGGCAGGGGTGGTGGAACTGGACTCAGAGAAGCAACCGCAACAGACAAGATTGTGCCCCAGGCACTAAATTCTGGAAAATCCCTCTTGTGGGAAAGAGCAGAGAAAGGCACAGCCATTTATTGCATCTGTGTCTGGCACTGAGTGAAGCCGTCACATCCATCCTCTGTTCAATCTCTAGGAATCCCCTCCAGTCAGTGTGGGAGTGGATGTTATTCCTGTCCCACAGGTGAGCTTTGGAAGGCCAGGTATGATAGTCAAGGTCATGCGGAGCAGAGATTTGAACACAGGTCTTTTGTCTGCCAAAGCCCAGGTACCCATTTCTCTCAGCCAACCCCAAGCATCAGAAGTTTCTATTGCTTGGCAACCGCAAGCATCCGTTGCTCCCATTAAACACCTTCTGCAGGCCAAAAGCAGGGCAAAACCCTCTCTTCTGGAGGGCCCTCAGGTCTGTGCCCCACAGGAGTGAGGGGTCAGAGCTCAGCCCAAGGGCTGTGTCTACAAACCCTGGCACCAGAGAAAAAGGCTGAGCCCGGCTGGCCTGTGACCACAGTTCTGCTCTATGGCCAGCAGAGGGAGCCACAGGACTTCATCAGAATTCTGGGAACTAGCTACAGCGCATAAGCTGAAATCCCCAGTTTCCATTCCAAACAACTCAACTGGCTTGACTCAGCCCAGAGGGACACCAGAGTCCCCTGGGGTGGTGGTGGGTACAGGCGGGAGGTCAGCTTGGGCAGCCCTGACTACTCAGAGATCTCCCGTTTGAACCCCGTTCTTTCTCTTCCCATCTTTCTGTCAGCTTTCCTCCAATGATCTGCCCTCACATTTCCCACCTCCAGTGAGAGAGCTGAGTTGGGTGTCTGTGTGACCTTGGATAAGTTACTTTCTCTCTGGCTTCAGGATCCTGCAAAGTGAGGACTAGACACCTCCTACTCACTCCTGCTCCTGGGAGGACCAAGCCGAGGAGCTGACGCTGGGTGTGTTGGCAGCCCCAGAACAAGGTCCGTGGGGGAGGTGATGTTAGCTCTGGGTAAAACTGTGGTTCTACAAGGGGCTCAGTGGGTCTCCTTCTGCCCCAGAGGACAGCCTGGGGTGCCTCAGCAGCGCCGGAGGCTGGGGGCTGCCCACGCTCCATCTCTGGGTTTCTGTCCCCAATCTCCACGCACGCTGTGCAGATCAAAACCTGGAGTGAGGGTGTCTGATGTAATCGGGGTTGTCTTCAGATCCTGAGGGTATGTCTGTGAAGATACAACCGCACTCTCCGGGGAAATCTGGGCCCCTCGGAGGAGGCAGTCTCCTCGTTAGGATGGCTGACCTTTGCCCCTCCCCTCCCTCTGGGTCAAGTCTCTTAATTCTGCAAGTGACCCAGACTCCCTTGATCCCCATCTCAGGGCCTCCCTCACCCCCACCCCTCTGCTGGGCAGGAAGCCAGGGCGCTCCTGGCTGACCCCACCCGCGGCCTCATTCCACTCTCATCAGTCTCCTTCTGCAGGGTTTGTCTCCGGGGGCTCACCCCAGCCTGACCTCTGAACCAGGGTCTGGACTCAGCTTGCACCAGAAAACACTGATTCTGGAAGATGGGAGAGGTGAGAGCTGGCTGAGTCATTATCAAGGGTGGCTGCGAGCAAGGGCATCCATTTGCAGGGGTGATGGGGGGTGCGGAGCAGGGAGTGTTTCCGGGGCCATTGCTAAAGGGAGGACAATGACACATGTGTGTTCACAGAGCTTTTCCTCGCGGCGTGTCTTTGTGAGAGCATACCTAGAGGCTCCTTCGTTCCCATTTTCCTACATGAAAGTTTTTTGTTTGTTTGTTTAAAAGGTTTAAGTTTGGAACTGTGCTGAAGAATTTAGATCCACTAACTCACTAACATCTTAGTTGGGGAGAGAGCTCTCATAGTTTGCCAAAACCCAAGGGCCCCAATTTATCTCCTGTACCTCTTGTCCTCCGAGCAGGGAGCCTGGAAGCTCCCCCAGGGGGCTGTGGAAGTGGGTGCTCTAAGCATTACAAAGGGTCTTGCCCCGGATGCCCGGAGCATGGATGGTGGCTGATGCTGTGGAGCCAGGCCTGTGAAAGGCTGGCTCTTTTAACCTTGGTTCTGGGAACCAAGGACACTGGATGGCTGGCCTGAAAGGGGTGGATTCCGGTCTCAGTGGCTAAGTAAGTGTGAGCTCACATAGGTAGACGGGGGCTGCCCTGAATGACCCTGAAGGCTGTCCCAGCCACCACTTTTACGATGCCACTGACTCCTGCTGCCCCTGCCTGGAGTGCCTGCCAGCATCAGTAGGTTCTGTATTCTGGTTCTGTTTCCAGGTGGGAGGACCCATCCTTTGCCCAGATGATGGGATGGAAGCAAGCTCCTTGGAGCACAAACCAGTTGTGTTCTGCTCTCTTAATTGGTGATTTACTGTTTGTTGAACAAATAGGGCAGGGACTTGGCAAAGGAGGCAAGAGGTGGGGGACTTCCAGGTCAGTTCCCCAGGCGAGCAAAGGTCAGGCCAGAGAAGCAGGGGGAGACACCAGACCTCCCTGATGTGAGGCTCCTGCTGTGGGTTGGCGGGGGGCGGCCCTGGGCCTGAGCAGGTCCACACAGACTCTTTGTTCTCCGCAGGGGAGAAGTGTGGGGAGTGCAGGACTCGGGGGAGGCCAGCAGGTGACTCAGGCCTTCTGGACCAGGGCCCTTTCCTGGGCTGGAAGAGCTGGGTGAGGAGAGCTAATGTCCTTCTCTCCCCTGAAGAGTTCCCAGGGCTCCCTTCCGGGAGGAGGGCAGCTCGCTCCCTCTTCTCGCCCCAGCCAGCCCCAGCCAGCTCCAGTCTGGAGAGGCCTGGGGCCACGGAAACGCCAGGTCCTTCGGTAATTAGGGCCAGCAGGAAGTGATCTGGGGAATTACCGGGGTCAGGCGCCCCATCGAAGGCCAGGGCTTTGGAAGGGCGGCTGGGTTGTAATCTCGATTTGAGATCGGTTGATTTTGTAGTTGGTTCCAAAAAGAAAAGTCAGCTCTAATTAATCTGGGGACTTGGGAGTGCAGGAGAAACGGTGCAGAGAGCACAGGCTGGGGGCTGGAGGCAGGCGGAGCAGTAGTCCTGTTGGCCCCCATGAGGCCTCAGAGGTGGGGCCCATGTCTCAGCTCCCTGATCTGCTTTAATTGAAATGGTCTGGATGCCCTCCCGCCCCCAAGGAATTCCTGGCTTTGAAATCAAGTGCTGTCCCCACTCTGCATCGACAATTTCCATCTTCAGGGCATGCTCTGCTGCCTGTCAGCATGGCATGGAGCCTAGGGTTGCCGGGGTCCTCTGGGAGTCAGGGGGTGCAGGGAAGTTTTAGGAGGTTTTTCCACTGGGGTGCACAGCTCAGACAGCCTTCTCCTGGCTTTATTGGAGGTCACAGGACAAGGTCAGCCCCCTGGGGAAGAATTCCGGTACAATCAGCGCCAATGGGCAAAGCACTCCCCTTCTTTGGTTCTTTGAATAAAATACACCAAGTACCCCCAAGTTCTCTGCTTTAGATGTTCACAGAGAGCCTGGGAGACATGGAGGAGGGCCTGAATCCAGCCACAACCTTCTCACAAGAAGGAAAACAGGCCAGCTCCCTCCTTCTTTCCTTCTAGTGGAGGAGTTGGGAGCGGGAGCAGGCGGTAGTGGTAGGGTATTGGAATCATAGGTCCCCTGGGCTCATAAAACCCAGGTAGTAAAGTCATCCAGAACAAGACTTTGGGGCCAGACAGACCTGCTTCACTGCTTTGTAGCTGTGGCCCTAGGGGGATTCACCTCTGTGAATTTATAGATGTTGCCCATCTATAAATTGGGGATAAGAATAAAACGTACCTGACAGGGTGGTTATGAGGATCTGATGAGATGATGCAAGCAAAGTGCTCCTACACAACCTGGCACGAAGAGGCCCAGAAAGGTAGATATAATACTTCTAGTTACGTTCTTCAGAAGTGTGTCCACCCACGTGATGCTGTGCTGACTGGCAGGTCAGAACGATCCTGCCCTTTCGTAGAAGGACTGAGGTACTGGGGTGGGTGTCCTTCTGCTCCTCACACCCTCATTCCAGCACCCTAGCCAGCTGACCACAGGGCCCATCGGATCTCCTTCCCTGGGAGTCCCTCTTTCTGGGGAGCCCCACCGCCTCCAGGAGGTGTGACCTCAGTTACAAGCTGAGTAAACATGAGGCTGTCACATCCTGCCTGCACTGGTCTGAAGATGCACAGCCCGGAGCTGACAGGATGGGAATGTGTGCTCAGCTCTGGTCCTTCATGCAAACCCCAAGGCTTAACACCCAGACCGCCACATGTGTCAAAGGCACCCCCCCTACTGCCAAGATGGACAGGCCAGTTCTGACGTGCTTGGAGATAAGCTCTCACCAGGTTTTGTGATCCATACACAGTCTGACAATACTCATCAATCCTCTTGAAAGAGAGCTAAGGTTGTGATGCTTTAAACACACATTTTGTGTCTTGCAACACATTTAAAGTAGATCGGTGCCATAAATTTGGATCAAATAGCTACCACATGGGCGCACAACAATGCTCACAGTGTCTAGGCTGTGGGGCTGGGTGTGAGTGGGGCTGCGGCAGCACACGGCCTGCTGGCTACACTGGGCTGTGATCTCGAGGAGCTGGTGGAGATGCTGCCCTGCCGGCCTTGGCTGGCCTTTGAGAGCATGCCAGGCTGGAACCGGCTGCTGGGGTGGGTGGTGGTGGTAGTGGTGGTGGATGGAACTAATCAACAGCAAACTTCACAGGACCAGAAGCATCTTTGCTGAGAGTTAAATTCCACCCCTTACTGAAAGAAAGGCCTCCCCGCAGGTGTGTCAAGTTGCTGGGACAGATGTGGAAGGGCCACTGGTCACCCCGTGGGGCCCCCTCACACCCTGAACACATGGGGTGTCCCGCGGCCTCGCTCCCAGCTCTGTGTCCCCACTGGGTGGCACGGGGTGCTGGGTGGGAGCAAACTCTCGTCTTCCCAGCATCTGTGACCAAGCTGCCCTTCGTGTGGGTCCCTCCTTCCAGGCCTCTTTCTAGGCAGAGAGCAGAGATGGGAAGAGAGAAAAGAGATTTGGTGGACAAAGGAAAAGAGCCAGAGGGTTACCCCTCCACATCCCAGAGAAACCACAGGAGAGGGTGGTCTATGCATAGTTAGCTTAGCCTGGGGTGACACCCCCCTCCCCTGAGTAGACATTTCCTTCTGCACTAGGGCGGGAAGACTGGCTCCTGGGTTCAGACTCATGAGACCTAGCTTCTAATCCCAGCATGATTATCACTAGCTGTGCAGTGTTGGGGCTTCCCTGATAGCTCAGACGGTAAAGAATCTGCCTGCAATGCAGGAGACCTGGGTTCAATCCCTGGGTCGGGAAGATCCCCCTGGAGAAGGGAATGGCAACCCACTCCAGTATTCTTGCCTGGAGAACTCCATGGACAGAGGAGCCTGGCAGGCAACAGTCCACGGGGTAGCAAAGAGTCGGACATGACTGAGTGACTAACACTTGACTTGTGCAACGCTGGGCAAAGTATTAACCTCTCTGAGCTCATCTCTTGACAGTGGGGATAATGCATCAAAAACCTGGGCCAAGGTGAGATGAGATGAGTGAGAGACAGAGTGGAAGGACTTTGGCTGAACCAGGGATGTGAAGTACTGCTGCCCTTGCCCTTGGGCAAGATTCTTCATTTAAGAATTGAAAAATGGGATGAAACACTTTAAGGAGAAAAGTAATATCTCATGGAAAAAGGACTCTTCATCTAAGAATTCTGGTGGGAAGAATACTTCTGCCTGGGTATGGTGATCACTGGGGCTCAGGCAGTGGGAACAGGCACTTGTAGCCTCCTGAGTATCACGTGACCTTGAGGAATGACCCCCAGGTTCTTGGGGGTGGACTCTGCTGCTGGCCATTGGCCTCCAGTGCACCCTAGCCTCCGTTGGACTAGGATGCTGTGGCTTCAGTGATGACAGGACAAGGGTCCCAGCAGAGTGAGGGCTAGCACAGAGACGAGAGTTCTAAGACCACCTGGTGGCTCCAGAGCTCCTACTGAGAAGTCTCAAGGACAGGCTGGGAGAAAAGAAGGTGGCAGGAGCCTTCCAGAAATGCAGAGAAGCCGGCAGCCTCACAGCTCCCCCTGGATTCCATGAGAAGAGGCTGTTGTGGAAGGGGAGGAGCAGGTCAACAGAGAAAGAAAGTATGGGGAACATGAGCTGAGCATGAAGAAGGGCCTTCTCAGAACCCCAGGAGACCTAAGAGCAGTGATGCTTCTGACAAGCACTGGATGTGGATGAAGAAAGGCCTGGGCATAGACTCGAGGGGACTGACTCATAAAGCCAGGGTCGGGTGGGAGGCTGCTCCTCTCTAGGGGGTATGGAGCCAGCTCTGTTCTTAGGAAGCTGTAACTTCCCTGAGCAGGAAGGGATTTCAATCCAGTCTCCCATCGGATATAGAAGCTTCTCTTAACACATGACAGACCCATAGTTTTCCAGCCTCTCCTTAAATGCCTCTGGTGACGGGGAGCCCCGTCCTTCTCAAGGTACCCACCGGCATTTGCTTTATCCTTAGTCAGGCAAAAGAAGAACATCTGTGCTTTCTCCAGCAGCCCTGAGCCTCCTCTAGCAGCCCTGAGCCTTCTCTCTCAGGAACAGGCTTCCCCGGGATCAGAGGCTGTCCCTCTGTCAGTAGGACCACACTAGTTTCCTCTGCAAATTCCACACAGTCAGGGCTGAACGATTCCTCCCACAAACTTCACCCAGAATGGCCACAATCATGGAACCAGGCCCCGTACCATCATGACACCTTAGCCCCAAGCTGACGCCTCTCTATCCTCAGGGCAACAGACCCTACCCCCCAGCCCCAAAACCTCCTTTCTGAATGAACCAGACTTCCAGTTGGCAGGGGAATGCAGATGCCTGCCATGGTAGGGATGCCAGCCGTGATCATCCCCATGACCCCCTGGGGAAACTGCTGCCCTGAAGTTTCTTCACAGCTTGAAAAAGCTGGTCTAGCTGCTAATGGGAAAGCCGACCCTGTGCTCCACCGGGAGGCAGTACATTTTGTGAGTCTGCGTGAGTGGATGAAAGCAACCTCGGGGGCTGTAATTTCCACTTCCTGACACAGTGCAAACTTCGCAGTTTATGCAGAACTAATGAAAGATCTCTCGGATCTTGCCATTTCACCCACCAAGTGCCCACAAAACAATGCAGTGAAGGCCCCTTCTGGGTTACAGAGCTACAGAGCCTGTGGAATGTGCTCCTCCAGAGCTGATTCTTCCCTTTCCAGAATCCCTCCCCTTCCTCGTCCTGCCTTTCTTTCCTGTCTCTCTTCTTCCCCTGGAAGGCGCCAGAGCCTCCCAGCTGGGGCCTGGAGGGTGGGATGGGCTCCTTATGACACAAGGCATCATGGGAAGGGCTGTGACCTGGACTTGAATTCCTGCTTTGCCACTTATGAGCCACTTAGGTTGTACCTCAGTTTCCTCATCTGTTAAATAGGAGAAGAAGAGTACCAGCCTCCTAGGATTAGATATGATGCAGGTCCCACTGAAGGCCAGCCTGGCACACAGGAGACATTCAGTAAGTGGTGTATGGTGTTAAAATTATTTTTTACATTATTAAAATTACTGTAATGACCATCTCTGAGCCTTGGCTCAATTGTTCCCTGTCTAAAATGCCATTTCCCTTGAAATCTGCTGCTTGAAGGAGCACAGTGGTAGATTAAAGATGGTCACAAAGGCTCTGCCACCCTCCCACAGGAAGAACCAGGGGCTGAGTCCTCTTGCCCCACTGACTTGAATGCTTTGGCAGCGTTACTTGCTTTGATCAATAGGACCTCAGAAAATGTGATGCAAGAGATGCTTTCGAAAAGCACTTGTGCACTGGGACTTGCCTGTTTCGAAAGCTGACCTGGGCCTGCCATGCTGTGAGGAAATCCATCTGCCCTACACTAGGGGCTGAGAGGCCACGTGGAGTAGAAGAGAGGAACCCAGGCCAGAGCTAGCGCCAGCCCCAGGCATGTGGACGAGGCCGTCTTGGCCCCTCGGCTGTTCCAGCCATCATCCCATGTGACTGCATGAGTGAGCCCCGAGGAGACAGCTGGCCAAGCCACAGAATCCTGAGAAATAATTGTTTTAAGACGGTAAGTTTGGGATGGTTCGTTACACGGCAATAGATAACTGATACACTTACCCATTCACCAGGATTGAACTCAGAGGCTGTCCTCTCTCAGACGACTTCCCCCAAATCCTCCCAACCTAGAATGAATCTCCCTGGACCCCCTACCCCAATATTGACACAGCACTTGGGATGGTAGTGATTAGTGCAGTTGCCTTCACTAGGGTTATTTGCTTAGGAATCCTGTCTGTTTGGCCTGTGAGCAGCCAGACAGCAGAGTTGGGACCTTCCATATCCCCTACCACACTCAGAAGCTCTGCCTGGTCCCCACTTACTAGGCCCTCAGTGGGCAGGTGAAAACCTGTGCCTCTGTGTGGACACAGCCACTCGGGTTGGCAGGGGACACATTCCTGGGTCTGAGGTCCAGTGGGGCCACTGACTTGCCCAAGTCCCTTCCCCCTCTGAGCCTCCTACTTCCTCAATGGAGACACAAACCCGCTGATCACTTAAATTCAAGACTTTTGAGGCCCTTGCTGATGTGTGTGCAAAAGTGTGTATGGGCCAAGTCCAGACCCCGTGTGCACTGAGGTGAAGCCCCACTTGGATTGTCACTTGGTGGGGGACGGGTCCTCCCTGCCCCCTCCTTCTTACCTTCCGGCCGTGGTAGCCCTGGATCCCTGGGTCTCCCTGAGGGGAACCAAGAGAAGGACATTAGAGGGGTTTTCTTGCTGCACCCCCCTCCTCCACCTTACCATCCCCCTTCTTCCCAGTGACTCCAAATCCTCTGACCTCCACCTCCAGCCAACCTTGGAACAATAGCAGGGACTGTTTGACTTCCCAGAACCAGTCCTTGTCTTGCAGAGGCTGAGGGAGGAGAGACGGGTCGGCTCGGCAGGGGCACAGGACCCCTGAACCATGGGCTCTCTGTGGCACCTGGACAAGTCACTTCCCCCAGGACTCCAGCTTCTGCAACTGTGAAACGGCTGGCTGGATCAGTGCTTTGCAACTTCTCTTTCCTAGAGCCACAGGGACTCCAGCTTCAAAGGGAGACTCGACATTGTGGGCTTCCAGATAAGGTTTTGAAAGAAACTGGATGACCCCAAAGGTCCTTTCCAGTTCTGGCCCCTCAGGAGCCACTGTTTTACTGGGATGTTGTGACAATGTCCTGGGCATCTGAGTTCCCAACTAGACCATGATCTGTTTGGAGAGCAGGGCTGCATCTTCCATACCAGCCACAGCACTTACTTGGCCTGAGCCCACGAAAGTGCAATCCTTGTGAAGCCCATCAATTCCCTCTCAGCTCCTTACTCAGTACCTGTCAGTGCGCCAGCCCCTACCCACCAGGGAACTTCCCCACCCACTTGATGCATCCCCCATCACTCAAGGGCCCTCACCTTTGGTCCAGGAGGCCCCGGTAAGCCCTGCAGAAGCAAGAAGAAAGGTGAGTGGAGATGGATTCCACTGGCAAATAGTGAGGGCTAAACACATTTAGATGGTGCAGTTGGTAAAGAATCTGCCTGCCAGTGTAGGAGATGTAAGAGACATGGGTTCGATCCCTGGGTCGGGAAGATCCCCTGGAGTAGGAAATGGCAACCATTCCAGTATTCCTGCCTGGGAAATCCCATGGACTGAGGAATCTGGCAGCTACAGTCCATGGGGTTGGAAAGAGTCGGGCACGACTGAGTACGCACACACACAAACACGTTTACAGAGGAGGCTGCAATGGGTTCTGGATGCACTGGAGAACAGATCGAGGGCCCTCAAAGGGTATCTGAAGCCTGCTGAAGGCACGTGGGGACAACAGGCTCAGTCCCTCTTTGGAGCCACATGGGTTCCTCGGGCACCTCTGCTGTGCTGGCCTGCTGCAAACTAGGTCAATGGCATCATGTGAAATTGATAGTGTGTTTGGTCCAGGGCCCCACCCACCTACCTCCTAACTAGAGCCTCTCCCTGGAAAGCTGACCTTGCCCAGCAGAGCTTGGGTTTTGCCCCTGGCCCTGCCAGCTTGCAGGGGAGCCCTCTGTCTCCCCTGGGGCACTGTGACCACAGGAGCCGGCTTGGGGGAAGTGGTGTGAGCTCTGCAGGAGCCTGAGGGAGAGGAAAGGGAAGGCAGGCTTCAGCGTGGTCTCGGGCGTGGGTCTGCATGGCAAACACTGGCTGGAGAAAACCATGATGCCTGAGTCTGGCCTGTTTCAATTGGTTTAAAAGCATGCGTTCTGGTTTTTTTCTTTATAAACAACCTAACAAAGAAAACTGCCTGGCTTGGGTTCAGGGATCGGGAGCCCAGTGTGTTCGGGTGAGGGCTGTCAGGAAAGAAGTGGATTTTGAGCACTTTTTAAAATCTTGGTTTATTTTCTTGGCTTGGTTTGTTTGGTTCAGTTCTCTAAATTCCACTTCCTTTTAGGTTTTCTGCTTTTCCATCCATCAATCCATGAAAGTGAGACTATCTTCCCTCCCCAGAGTTCTGGGGAGAAATCATGGAAATATTTAAAATCCGTTATGGGGATCAAGCTGAGCAGGAGAGCTGGCTCTCCCAGAAAGGTAGGTTTTCACCCTGCTGTGCTGCCTTCTGGTCAAGCCGGTTGCCCTGGTTGGCCAGAGCAGTCACCCAGCCTAGGGGGACTCTACACAGAACCTTAGCCTTGGAAGCTGGGGTAGCCGAGGGCCCAGGTGTGAAGCTGAGTGACCTGGAATGTGGCCATATTCATCGTGGGATACTTGACAGAAGCACCCCTGACTCAGCAATTCCACTTTTGGGAATCTATTGCCATGAAAGCATCAGAGATGTGCACACACATTTATGTTTAAGGATATATATTACAGAAGGGAACCCATTAACTACCTTGTAAAGAGACCCAGCAGTCCTAAAATCCGTATCATGGGAGACTCCTGACATAAGAAAGGGCATGGTATATGAGATTAAGTGAAAAGAGTAACAGGATACAAAGTGTTAGGTTATTCAGAACATCACCAACCTGAAAAACGTTTATGTGCAGAGAAGTCTAAGGAGAAAAATGGAAAGGACTCTCCCCAGCGTTAATGAAGGGGAACCCTGGATATGGGAAAGCAGACAGTTTAAAACTTTTTCTTCATCTATGTTCAAAATTTTTCACAATGGATATATGATGCTTTTGTCATAAGAAAGAAAAACAACAAAAAAAAAAGCCACGTGGAAAAAACATTATAAAACAGACTGTCCTTAACCCCTCTGCCTCCAGTAACTGCTGACATTGGTCTTAGCTCTGGGTAGAAATGCATTTTCTCTAAAGAAGAAGTCCAGGGTTTTCTGAGTTACTCTGCTCTGGTGCTTTCTTGAACACAATAGGGCTGAGAAAGAGTTGGGGCTTGGCTAGAGCTTGCAAGCAGATGACCTGGTGGACACTGGGACTGACCTATCGCCTGAGTGTGGTCTTGCCCAGAGGAGTGTCTGTCAGCTCCCCTGGGTCCCTCCTGACAGTGGTCCAATCCACAGGCTCGATGCAGGGTCCTCTTGGCCGACCGGGTATGTAATCCACACACACCAGCAAAGGCGTGTCTGTTAGGGATGCTAGGCCATCAGATGCCCCCTTCCTACCACCTTTAGGACACATCACCCCAACTCAAGTTTTCCTAAGCCCAGGGGGCAGGGGACATCCATCAGAGTGGTCCTGGAAACGTTCTCTCCAAGCTCCTCTCTCCTGAGGCTGGGAGAGGCAGGCCTGCTCATGGTTTCCCCTGGGAGGCAGTGGCTGAAGCGGAGCACGTGGTCCCAGGACGTGTTTTCAGAACCGGAGAGCAACTGGTGAGCGTGACAGGGATGGGCAGCTCCCTCAGGGGCCAGTCACGTCCGGCAGCCTTGCCAATGCGTTTCTGCCCTTTCAGCGGGGGCCCAGAGTCCCACCGGTTACCCAGTTCCCAAACTTGCAGAGAATTCAGGGGATGAATCTTGAAGGAGAGGAGGTGGTGGAGAGCAGGAGGGGTACTTACGGGCGGCCCCATGGGCCCTGGCAGTCCTGGGTGCCCCAGAGGTCCGCTCGGTCCAGGAGGGCCTGGTGGCCCTGGCGGGCCTTGGATGCCAGCCTGGCCCTGTTCACCCTGAGGGTGGTGGAGACAAGTGTCAGAGGGAGAGCCTGGGGCCGCAGAGCCGTCCCGCCCCAGTGCCATGCACCCGGTGAGGCCCCGCCGTGGGCTCTGGGGGAGGCGGCAGGGGCGTGACGTGACGGTGCGGTGGTGGTGACCGCATGCAGAGGCCAGGGGCAGTGAGGAGGTGGCCAAGACATTAGGCCTCCAGAGGAGAGGCTTCCAGAGAGGATTTGCTGTGTGAGCTGTTGGTCCCCTGGGCAGAGCCCTGCTGGGGTGGCAGAGGCGGAGGAGCGGGTGAGCGCCCCCCAGCCCAGCTGAAGTCCTGCTCCCAGGTGGGTCAGATGAGCAAGGTCCCGCCGAGGTGGCGGCGGCCTCAGCCTGCCTCGACCCCTCCCTGCGTGGCGAGCCCACCATCTCTGTGCCCTGGCCTCCAAGCTGTCAAACGAGAACAGCTGTTCCTTGTTTCCCATCACATTTTGCCGTCTTTGATTATCTGGCCCAGAGGATCAACTGAGTCTTTAGGTCAGAGGCCACAGAATTTTGTTTAGCTCAGCAAACAACTGGGCAAGAGATTTTATGTTAAAAAAAAAAAAAATATATATATATATATATATATATATATATATATATATGGCTTGGTAGCTTCTGCTGAAAAAAACGGAGCCTGGGTCAGCTAGACCCACATTCCTGTGGGCTGCCATCAGCTGGGTCTACGGGTCCCTCAGGCCCCACCCTTCCAAGCCATTCTGTGTGCAGCCTGCTTTGTCACTTGTGTGATCTGTGTCTGATCTCAGTGGACAGTGGGTTTGCAACCCTTTGCTTGGTTGAGTTTTGAAGGTATAAAGTGCTTCATGCCTTTCTGGAGTCATATTGTTATTCTTTTTCCTTATCCTGAAGCCTTTGTCACCCCACCCCGTGCAGGTGCCCAGGGTGGACCCAGAGTCCAGGGAGGTAGGGATGGCATCGTGTTCCCTCAGGAGGAGGAGAGAGCCTGGTCCATGTGACCCAGATCTCGGGGCTGGGGGCCAGCCCGTGTCATCCTCGATCTATGCAGACCAGTGTCATTAGGTTGCTTTCTCCATGACCTCTCCGGGGAGGTTCTGGGTTCAGCTCTTGCTGAGGGCTCCAGTCCTGCAGACAGACTCAAGTAGAACAGCCTGGGAGGTGTGAGTACTCCAGGCTGGGATGCAGGAGACCCAGGTGGCCAGACTCCAGGCCAGCCCACCCTTCTCAGTGTAATCTCAGTAATCCTTTATGACACTGTACATAGAAGGGGGGCCTGATGATGCTTGCTGCAAACCCCATACAGGAAAATGATGATTATAAATAGGAGTGCATGACCTCAGAATGGGAACTCAGATTTTAGCAGCATCTGCTTGAACCATCTCACCAATGGGATATCCTAGGACAGAGGCCACTAGCAGTGCCACTCTTGGCCTGAGCTACATCCTGCCACACCCTCTAAGAAACCACTTAAGGATTCCGAGAGTCCATGGTGGAGAAGGCAGGTGCAGAGATGGGTCACAGTCCCATTTTACAGAAGAGAAAACAGAGGCTCAGAGAAGTTGAGCACCCTGATCAAGGTCACATGGAGAATTTGGGGGGAACTGGAATCAAAACCCAGAACTCTAGACTTTTCTATTCATTCCAAATAAGCCCCCAGCAAAAATTGCTCACCATCCAGCTTTCTGCACTTTGGCACTGACCTTGAATGCCATCTGCTAAACATAACATGTTTTCAACTAATGTTAAACTAGATGTTTAAGCATCTTACAGAGCCTGTGAAATCAATACTGGTTTATTGATTGGAAATGGACAATCAATATGTCCACGGTGGCCGAGAGCATAAAAACCTTATTCTCTAGGCAGAATCTGCAGCAGGAAAGACAGGGGCCCCTATTCTCTCTCTCAAAGCTCTGGCTTCTCCTCCTCCTGCTCTTGAAGAGGGCGGCAGCAACATGGCTCGGCCTCTGTCAGTTTGTTCTTCTGTAAGATGGCAATGATGATGCCAGTTACACTGCCTGGCAGCCCGTGTGGGATTGCATGGGATAATCCGTGTAGAATTCTTACAACAGAGCTTGGAACCCAGCAAGGGCTCAACACACAGCAGTCAATGCAACTAGGGCCAGGAGGTGGGTGATGGGGGTCGAGGCAAATGGCCACTCTGAGAGCAAGGACTTAGCTCTCCTGAAACGGGGTCTGACATGGGTAGGGGTGGCTGAGAGTTGGGTGGGCCTGGTGCTTCTCTGAGCTGCCAGTGGGTCCCCTGAATAACCAAGCGTTGGGTAAGCGCTCGGAGCACACGGAGGCTCTCGAGGATTTGGCTGGTGTAACGGGATATGGAGGCTTGGGTAGCACATGTGTCACGTGTCCCTCTGTATTTTTAGCCATTAATTGGAGTGATCTTTCAGCCTTGTTCAATCAGATGCCTGAACATTCAGGCCCCTGGGCTCCTGAGTCAGGCCAGTTGTTGGCTCCAGGCCCTGCTTTCAGGCTTTCAGAGAGCATCTCAGAGCCCTGCCACTTCCAGCACTCCTGAGACCTTGGGGGTAACCTCTGATCCCCAGTGTGAGCAAGGCTAGGGGTGAGGGTGGGAGCCATGGAATTCCTGGCCTGGCATCAAGCCGCAATGCCTTTGCCTAGATCCCTGGGTCTGTGGTCTCTTGTTCTTTGTTCTTTGTGATCTGGTCCTATCCCAGCCTCCTTGGCTTAGTAAGGCAGGAAGAAGGAAGCAGTTGCTCACAATGATTACACCTGTTGGTTGTGAGCTACATTTCCTCTGCAAATTCCCTTGCTTCTCAAACTCAGGTTACAAGTGATCGGATGCTAAGCAATCTGCATTTCTAAATATAAAGGGTGTAGGTCCAACTGAGAGAGCCCTGGTGTGGAGTCTGAAGACCCAACTGCCAGTTCCCACTCTGTCTCTTGCTGTTTTTTGCCACCTTGGGTACAAATTCACCTCTCTGAGCCTCAACTTAATTTCAGCACTTAAACTCTGCCAGGAAGTATTCCCAGTGTTCTGCATACACAATAACCCTATATAGTAGGAACCATTATTATTCTCATTTTACAAATGAGCAAACAGAGGCACAGAAAGGTTAAGTAACTTGCCCCAAATTGCATAACTAGTAACAGTCGGAGAATGTAGGTGTTCTGCAGTTTACCGGCTGTGTGACCTCAGGCAACTTACTTAACGTCTCTGAGCCTGATTTGGTCATCTGTGAAACAAGGATGATCATGCCTAACTCATACAACCATTGTGAGAATTAAATGAAAACAGGCTGTAAAACGCATAGCCCGGCGACTGGCACACAGTGGAGGCTGCTGTTGTGAGCAGCAGTAGTGAGATAGTAGCTGAGGCTTCTGGGCCTGGATGTTGTGTATTTCCACGTGTATGGCATTTGTAGGTCCGTCTTTGTCTAATTTAATGTAATGGGAGTGCAGTGAGATTCTGCTTTTGCCAACAGCCCTGGTGGCTCAGATGGTAAAGAATCTGCCTGTAATGCAGGAGACCCAGGTTTGATCCCTGGGGCAGGAAGACCCTTGGAGAAGGGAATGGCAACCCACTCCAGTGTTCTTGCCTGGGAAATCCCATGCGCAGAGGAGACTGGTGGGCTACAGTCCATGCGGTCGCAAAGAGTCAGACACGACTGAGCGACTTTCACTGTCACAGCCCCAGCTGGTTCGTCAGGGTCCAGAGACTCGCCAGCCCCTGGGAAGCCCCTTGCGGTCTGGCCAAGGGAGGTGTCTACCTGGAAGGTCCGCCTTTTAATGACTGGGGGTGGAGCCAGCCGCACTGAATTGAGGAGAGGCAGCAGCTGAGGAGAAAGATGAGTTGGAAGGTCAGAGGGCAGAGGTCAAAGATCGCAGGTGTTCAGGAAGGTCGAAAGTCCGCCAGGAAGGCAGTGTGGCCGAGAGGGAGGGAGGAGAGGAAGAGAGAAGAGAGATTAGCGGGCGTGAGGCATTGGAGGGAGGGCGTGGATGGGCTGCTCGAGGCTTGAGGGTGCAGTTCTGAGCTTGCCCTTGGAAGGCACCCCATCCCTAGAAGGAGGCAAGCCCTTGGGGTGTTGGCAGCAGCACTCCCCAGTGGGGAGGGGGGCCCCCTGGCCAGGCCTCCATGGCCAAGCCGGGCCACGGAGGCCTTCTGACACACGGCCCAACGTTGCACTGCCAGGCCCACAGGTCTCTGGTCGTGGACAGAGGCTGCAGGGCTGAGGGGAGCAGACTCTGAGGCTCTGACTTTGGAGCCACAGGATCAGCCTAAATTGGTACTTGAAGCCAAGCTGGTAGGCGGCCACCCCTGGGTTCTTTTTTCGGCTGGACGAGAAGGGCTGGTGTCAGCAAATCTGGGGAAGATGGTCAGCCGCAGCTCCTGGGGGCTGAACAGGAGGAGGGTGTGACCAGTGCGGGCACCAGCTAAGTGCTACTGAGGCCTCACCCTGGGGCTTGGAACATCGAGGCTGGACAAAGACGTTTTTGGCATGTTCAACCACTTTTTTGGGGGAGTGGGGCAGGGAGAGGCAATCATGTTAGCTAATGCAATTTTCATTTCTGGAAGTTCTGGCTGCTTCCAGTCTCTCTATCCAGTGGAGTTGAGTGCCCCACAGCTTTAGGAAGAGGTTAGAACCCAGGTGAAAACAGAGATGGCATATAATCCACCTCTTGTTTCTGAAAGCACTGTAGCTCACACGAGGTGGCTGGGAGGAGCATTAGGAAGCAAGGGCTGCTTGGGCTGAGGATGCACCCAGCCAGGGACCTGGGAACCCAGTCACGGCCTTTCTGGGTCATTGCCACCTTCATGGGCAGCTGCCTCGCGGGGAGCCCCAGCCTTCCCACTGGGGCCTGGGGACGTGCAACATTGTGCTCTGTGTCCATGGAGCCTCTCACCAGAGGGGCCCAGAGATCTTCCAGAACCTACAAACCTTCAGAATAATTATCTGGTTGGAGCGCAGAGCTGCTAGAGAGCCACTTAGGTGCTCCTGGGGTGGGATAGGGGGTAGGGGGTAGGGGTAGGGGGAGACAGGGCAACGGCTGTGAGTGAGTGCCAGACTCAGATACCAGATCCCACTCCCAAGGCACCCCAGACACCCACTGCCCACCCGGCCTCCCACTCTCTCCCTGGGGATGCTGCAGGCTGGAACAGAGGCTCAGACCACCTGGATCAAGTATCTCGTGGGCTTGAAGGCCTGCCACCCCCCTCAGGCCTGCAGACCCCTCAGAAAGGCAACAGACCCCCTTCCCGAGAAACACCCTGCTTTCCTACCACTTCCAGATGAATGGAAGGTGCCAGCTGCCTTGCCCTGCCCAGCAGCTGGATCCCCACCTCCATTCTCACCCAGCCTGACTTGTTACCCACCCTGGCGCAGTCATAACCCTGGGTTTCTCTGCCGCCTGTGGCCAAGGTGTCTGGAGCTTTCCATCCCTGCCAGCTCCCTCTTCCTGGGTTGGGCTCAAGGGCAGAGCCCCTCCCTTCCCCTGCCCCCATCCTCAGAGCTAACGACACACTGCCAAAGCGGCTACAGTCGTGTTGTCTTTGCTGCTGGGGGATGCTGTCTTTCTTTCGGGTAACATAACAATCCTGTGAGCCCATCGTTTCAAATAAACACAGCTGACCTTCTATTATTGTATCGGGATCAGGCTGGCCGGAACACCAGGGCCCCTGACTCCCTGGAGCACATGCCGCCGCCAGGCTGGCTCTGTCTGCCCTGCTGCCGGCCTGCCTGCGCCCCTACCCAGCCTTGGTCTCAACCCTACCCCAGCCGCTCACATTCAAGGCTGCACCCTGGCCCCTGCCTCTCTCTGGCCTGGGAACCAGAGGTCAGCACCTAGCAAGGCCCTCCCGGGGCCTTTTGGAGCCAAGCTGGTTGACTCCGAGTCTGGCTAGTCTTTCTCTCCACTCCCTTAAGCCCCCGTGGACGGTCAGGTTGGCCACACTGCGTGTGTTGGGGGCAAAAGGAAGCCCGCGACAGGGGAATGGACACCAAAAGATGCCTGTCATCCCCATCCCCGCTGCCGGAGGGTGATCCACAAAATGAGGGGTGTCCCGGCTCACTGGGGCTCCTGCACCTTCACTGCCCCCTGCCGCACCCCCAAGAATGGCTCTCAATGTTACTGCACACATCAAGGGCGCTCAGTAGGACTACAGCAGGCTTTGGGCTCCGTATCCTGCGGTGCAGCAAAGGGACGGAGGAACCAGATTGGGGCTGGGGAAGAGCAGGACACCAGCCCTGAAATCCCCACCCCACTTGGAGGGGCTTCCCTGTCTCAAAGGCTAAACAAAGACTTTACTCCTGCACTGATAGTCAGCTTCCAACTATCTCCCAGCACGCAGGTCTCAGTCATCTGAAACAATGACTAACCCAAAAGTCCCTGATTTAGCCAGGGCAGGCAGCCAGCCAGCCAGCTGGCCAGACAGACAGACACACAGAAATGCCGGGTAGGGAGCCAGACCCAGACTCACACAAGTTGCACAGCCTTATGTTGAAGGCCACTTGCAGAGGAGCGCACAGCCAGGGACTCGGAGCTCCAGATACACGCGTACTGGGGGCTCCCAGGCCCAGCCAGCACAGGGGTAGATACACAGAGACACATAGCTCTGCACAAACACACACACGCTGATCACCAGGCACAACCCTGGGGGCCAGCCAGACGCACTGCCCCCATCACAGCGCTGCCCTGTCTGCTGAGTGCAGATGGTCTCTATGCGCCCGGCCCCAAGCTCTGTAGGGAAGAGGAGGCTAAGCTGGGGGCTGTGCCCCAGGGATGGATCAGTTTTCGGGGCTCACTTACCCGGTGTGGGTACTCTCCACACTGACCCTGGGGAAGAGAGGGAAGGAGAGGAGGTGTCAGACACTTGTTGGGAGGTGGACCCTGGGGGCAACCTCAGGACCCGGGGACACACCACGCAGAGGCACACACGCCACCCGCCTCCGGGCTCCATCTGACTCCTTCCCTCATGCCTGCTTGGCAGCGGGGAAGAAACCCCCAGGGCCGGCCTGCATGTGGCCCCACAGAGCCAAGGGCAGGACTCTGCCACCATACATCATATGCCGTGACGGTGGAGTCAGGGGTTATGCTCCACGCCTGGCGAGGGGTATCTTCCAGAAAGGTCCATCCTCTGGGTGGGCCCTAGACAGAAGTCCCTGGATGGGAATAGTGGACACCGAGGCAAGGGCAACGGAGTCCTTGGACAAGACTTCTTTGATTTGGGGTGCCAGATCCCTGCACCATTCATTTGGGGGAAAGCCCAGCAGAGTCCCCATCAGAAACTCAAGGAGACAGAGCACATAGGAGGCTGGGAAGAGGGCTAAGCCAGTAGTTTACAAAACAGACCCTCTGAAATCCTAGAGCCTCATGAGAGGTGGTCAGGAAATACTATGGGGGTGGCAGGTGGGATGCGTAGAGAAAGAGGCTAAGAAGGGCCAGGCTCCAGGCTGTCCCTTTCCCTCAAGAAAAGACCCCCACCCAGGGCAGCCTCCCTTCTCTCTCATATACTGTGCCACAGTGGGTTCCCTGCTTCTGTTGATAATGACTGAAGTTTGAAAATAACCCTTGCTACCCGTTGGAAGACTGCTTCTTGAGATGAAAATTCTAGAAAATCCCCATCGGCTTACCTTTTCTCCTTTTTGTCCTTGAGGTCCCTACAAAGAGATGAAAATGAGACAGTCAGAAACTGAGGCTCAGGACTCAGGGCCCAAAGCCTCTCTGCTGGAAAGCCCTGGGGTGATACACCAACCGGCTGTCCCCAGGGACCCGCCAGACCCTGAGGGAAGGAAACGCGCACAGGTGACACAGGTGAGTGGAATAAAGAAGATGGGCAGAATCAGAGACGCAGACCTGCATGGGATTGTGCAAGAAACTTTTTGGAAGGCCTGAGTCCCAAAGGCCGGGCTTAGCCACCCATGCCTGGGCTTCCTGTGCCTGAGACAGTCCAGCTGTTGGGGCCCAGCTTCTTCATCCACCAGTGGACACGACTAGGTGTGCCCTGCTCCCCGCATTTGACTACGATGAAGAATAGGTGTCATTTTTCACTTATTCCTGCACCCACCAGGGTCTTATGGGCTGGCCACAGAAGAGGCTGCATGGGCGGGCAGGACAGGGCTCTGCTACTGCCAGACGCCCTGCACTCTCAGGCCATCTCCTCTCGGAACCGAAAGCACATTCTAACTCCTACCCTCTGCAGCCTCAGCATCAAACCCACTGAGCCAGAAGGGCTTCTGGGGACACAGGGGCTGGGGCAGCATTCCAGACATCAGGAACTTTGGAGGAAATTTTGGCCAAAGAGATGAAGCAGGAATTTCATCTCTGTGTTCTGGGTTCCTTGGAGGAATGTAAGGGCCTCAGAGCTCCCCTCCAGGGAGTCTGATCAAAAGCTCGCAGGGCTGAGAAAGGAGTCTGGATTCCAGGTGGACCCTGGTTCTCTGAGGGGGATGCAGCGTCTGGCTGGCTCTCTCAGGGGCCTGACCTGAGGCCGCGGCTGAGGAGGCCTCAGATGTGGCTGGTGTGGAGCGGAGAGGGAGAGGGAAGGTGCCCCTTGTTTTGAGGACCCCCTCGGGGGCAGGCTTTGGGACACGCTGAGCTCACGCCCACGCTGGCCCAAGAGGAAGGTGCTGGCATTGCTCCTTCTCCTGGAAGAGGTGATGGAGACGAGGTCCTGTGGTCCCAGTGAGCTGGGACCAGGAAGGTCCAGCTGCGTCCACTCTGCTGCGAGCTCTGAACTGAGCTGGGCCCCGGGGGGCAGGGCTTCTGAACTTGGCTGGAGTCGCAGGCAGTGCCCCACCCCCTGGGGCTCTGAGGCCCCTTCCAGCCGCCATCCTGAGGGCCTGTGAGGGCCCGTCTGCCAGGCTCGTCTCTGTAGGGCTTGGAGACCTCAGGATCCCCATGGACAGATCCATCTGGGTGGGTGAAAGGCCTCCTTTTGTCCCTGACTTGCTAACTGGGCCAATTACCAAACCAGGAGTTTCCCAGGAGGTTTGTGGGAAGGGACAAGTGGTCTCTGGGACAAACCATGTGGCATCCAAGCCCATGCAGTTGACCAAGTGTTTAGTATCAAATTCAATAGACTATGATGCATCTGCGGGGGAGTGAACTACAGGGGACCAGGCCACCTTCCCTGGGGACAGAGAGAGGGGTGTGATGAGAGATGAGGTCCAGGGGCCCAGCAAAATAACCCGAAGGTTTGGGACTGCAGAGACACGGAGGACAGAGTCTGGGTACCACAAATGGTGGCCCATGGGACAGTCACGGTCTCTGGGGATATTCTGCTGAGCCCACACACTTTTATTTCAATTAACTACCAATACCGAAGCACACAGACAGTACAACGAAAATCTGAATTTCGAGTTTAAGTATTTCAAGGTCCAGCAACACTTGGCACCAACGAGCTCTTGAAACTGCCCCTTTAGGGCAGGTCGGGGTCAGGGCAGTGTGCTACCCGTGGTGTTTCCACTGGGCCAGGCACTGTTTGAAACACTTGATGTGAATTAGCTCCTTCCACCTTATGACAGCCCTATGCGTGGTGGGACAAGATGTGAATTCGGAGTCCTGGTTCTCCCTAACATGACTGGTGGGACCCTGATCCTATCTACACCTTACACCAGGTGCTCGGGGCTACTGGGAGGCTGGTGGGGCAGAGGTGACCCCCTTTTGACAGGTGAGGACACAGGTTAAGCAGGTGAGGGTAAGCCCCAGCCCTCAAGCTGAAAGCCCGGCAGACGGTGAACCATCCTGAAGGGAGGAGAGTGGGAGATGGACGGCTGATAAGCAGGCCAAGATAATGACACTAGATGGCATGTGGGATTAATAGCTCGGGGTCCCTGTGCCAAGCCAAACAAGAGCCTAATAGCTCTGTGGCCTGTTGGGTTTTGATGGATGACTGTGAGGCAGACACCGATGTGGGTTCATGGTAGAAGAGATGGCCTCACCCTTCCCCCACTTAAATTTGTTCTGACTCCAGAACAGACTGGGAAGATTCATGGGTAGTTAACTGGGGTGGGGCAGAAGGATGGCAGGAGAGAAGCCCCTTAGAAGGGTCCTTTTCTTTCTAAACAAAGGGCCCTGGCAGCAAAAGGAGGCATGGTGGAGGGTAAGATCCTACCATGTGGGTCTCAATCCAATTCTGTTACTTACGAGCTGTGTAGCCTTGAGCACTATACTCAACCACTTTGAGCCTCTATCTCCCCTTCTGTAGAGTGGAGGATGATAAGCTGTTATTATGAGGATTAGGGAGCAGTGCCTGGCTGATGACCATCATTATTACTTCTGGGGTTGCATGGACTGTGTTAAGGCTCTGCAGAAGGTGGGAAGGAGCAGGAGGAAGGTGGGGACAGTGGTGTGTCTCTCCAGGTCAGCTCTCTGCCTGGCTGGGGCAGGAACGCCTGGATCCCCGGGCAGCCCAGAGCAGGGAACACTAGAAAGTCAGGCTCAGGGCTTCCCTGGTGGCTCAGTGGTAAAGAATCTGCCTGCCCATGCAGGAGACATGGGTTTGATCCCTGATCCTGGAGGAGCTCACGTGCTGTGGAGCAACTAAGTCCATGTGCTACAACTATTGAGCCTGTGCTCTAGAGCCCAGGAGCTGCAAGTGCTGAGCTCACAGGCAGCAACTGCAGAAGCCTGTGAGCCCTAGAGCCCACACTCAGCAACAAGAGAAGCCCTCACACCGCAACTAGAGTAGTCCCAGCTTACCACAGTTAGAGAGAAGCCTGTTCAGCAACGAAGACTCAGCACAGCCAAAAATAAATAGATAAAATTATTTTTTAAAAAAGAAAATGAGGCTCAGGATGTAGTGCTTGATGAACACCCCTTGCTCCCAGTGTGAGTACTGAGTATGAGTGATGGTTTGGGGGTGCTAGCTGCCAGTTCTGTGTGACACTGGCCAAGCAAGGACGCTCTCTGGACCTCTCTCTCCTCATTCTTCAGGTGGAGAAGCCCCCTGCCCACCTCTCCTTCCTGTGCTGAATAAGTGGGATGCGTGGCACCCAGCTGGGGAGTGACCCTGGGGCAGACACTCCCTCGGCTGGGTAGGGTTTGTTAGCCCAGGAGGGCCCTTGAGAGAAGGCTTAGGGTTAGGGTGAGCTGGTCTTACCATCTCCCCCTTTGGTCCTGGCCGGCCCTGGAAGGAGAAGAGCAAGTGAGTTGTTTGCAATCAGGACCCCCTCCCCCACAGCTGCCCCTCTCACGACCACCTGTGTCTGCGGCCACGTCAAAGGGGTTGAAATGAACAGAGAGGGGCTCTGGACGGGCAGCAGCCTCCCCATGAACTTGGGTGTGTGTGGGGGCTCAACCAGGATGGGAGACCCTGAGGAGAACACAGGAGGCACCCTGAGGTGCTGGGGTGGGTGTTCAGGGGGCGAGGGAGTGAGCTAGAGCCTGGGCTCCTTTCAGAATAGCAGGTCAAGCTCTCCAGCCCTCTTCTCTCCCCGCCTCGCTCCCTTCCAGCTCCTTCAGGAGGCCCGGAATCAGCAAATTCTAGGATGCATGTTGCTCCAGATGCTGAGGGCACAGCTTGGCCGTGGACTTGTGCCCACGGGGGTTGGGGCAACTCATTCTAACGGCCCCTCCGCCCCTTCCCACTGGCAGTGACTTTACACCCCAAGAAGACTCATTTTTATTTAAAGCGCCTTCTGAGGAGTCAGGGTCTCACAGAAGGACTAAAAGACCCCAGGCTAGTGATCTGGACTAACAGTGTGAAAGGGGCCACTCACCGGTTTGCCGTCGAGCCCAATGGGACCCTGAAAGATAAACAGGCTAGATGTGAAGACTGTGCATCACAGGTGTTCTGGTAGACAGGCAGCCTGGGGGTGGTTAAGGACACAGGCTCTGGACTCTAACAAGGTAGGGTTCATGTCTCTGCTTCACCACTGGCTGTTATGAGACCATGGGTAAGCCTTGGCTTCCCATTCTAAAATGGGGAATAAAATAATCTCCGACGTGGGGTCTTTGTGAAGAGTAAATGAAATGCCATCTGCCCCATCACAGCACCTGATGGGTGGCAGTCACCTTGGTACCAAAGTCCTTCTCACCCCAGAGGAGAGTGGATGGCATGCTCCTGGATAGCAGGGCCGGCCAGTACTGAGGCCTGCAGGAAAGGCCTGCCTCCTATCCTGCTCTCAGAATCTGTCTTAGGGCTTAGGAGGGGCTCCCCAGACATCCAGATGGCCAGCTGACTGCCCCACACCACAGGCGGATTGACCCTCAAATCAAGGTTGGAGGTGGCTTCCCTGAGATGCATCATCTTCCCCAGAGTCCATGGGCCAGCCAGGCTTCCTAGCCTGTGACCTCGCAGCCTATCTGGTCTGACACGCCTCTGGTTCCATGTTGATGTCCCTGTCCTTCTCTGCACTGTGAGTCGAGCACCAGACTACTCTTCTTGGTGCTTTCCGTGAAAGCCAGCGGGAGGGGGTCCTTGCTGATGGGGGTTTAGTAGTGCACATTCAGCTTGAGCACCAGCACTGCCTGAAGTTTATCACCCAGCCAGGACCAAGGGTCTCGGCAGATACAACTCACCAGTCCTCTCCACTTACCGGAAATCCTGGAAAACCTCGGGTGCCTGGCTGACCCTGAAAAGAGTGGGAGAGGAGTGAGGATGGGCGAGGAGGTGAGGAAGCCAAACCTTAGTCCCTGGTTCACCTGGGCTCCCAGAGCGTCCATGGCTTCCCTCCCACTCCACTGTGATCGTCTCTGGGAGACACAGCCTGGGAGGCAGGATGGGGAAAGATGGACATGGACCCTCATAGGAAATCTCCTCCAGGGACTAAGGGTGGGAAAGGGGAAAGCAGGTGGTCAGCCTCCTCGGGTCTTTCTGGGAAGTAGCTCCCTGAGCTCCTCACTGCCTGCCTAGATGCTCTGAACCCCTGTGTGGGAATGGGAGGGGGAGCAAGGACACTGGGGACTCAGTCTACAGCACACTGAACTCCTTGACTGTGATAGTCCAAGTCCTCTTCATTTACAGTTAGTGCTCGTGGCCACATATCTAAGGATGGTTTGGATATCAGAACTGACCTTCAGAATGTGTTTTCAGGGCAGAACAGGTCAGGTTGTCCACTGTCCAGTGTCCCTTCACCCTGGCTAATGGGGCTCTCCTGGTTGGACAATCTCTGGATTCCCCCTCCCCATCTTTGTGGGATGCAGAGCCATCATGCCCATTTCCCCAGGGGTGCAGAGTACATAGATTGGTATTCAGGTTGGAAATTTGAGGCAGGTTCATTGGCCACAGTCCAGAGGTTTATGATCCAGATTCAGGACAAAGGAGAAGAGTGGAGGTGATAATAAACCTGAGGCTGTGCAGATCCAGGGCTGCGGTGGTGACCAGGAGGTCCAAGGTGATAGAGAGTTGAGAAACCTGGATCCCATCACTCCCCTTCTGAAGAACTAGGCAGGGTTCTCTTCAAGGTCAGCCTCAATCTCATTCCGATGCACCATTTTAGCTCCTTTCCTGCCTCACCTTCCCACCTACTCTACCCAGGCGCCCTGGCTGACCTGCCTGTCCCTGGACACACCACATCCTTCACATGACTAACTCTAAGCTTGGAGTCTCCCCTTGGCTGAGCTGGCCTCAGTCTCTTCCCAAGTCTGGGGTTTTGAGTCAGGCAGACTGAGTTCTAATCCTGTCTCCTCCACCACTGAGGGCGGTGTGATTCAGAGCAAGCCGCTTATCTTCCCCATGCCTCAGTTTCCTCGTCTATAGAATGGCTATATAGAATAGTTACATAAATAGCTTTTATAGAGTTTCCTCATCTATAGAATAGCTATATAAACTCACAGGGTCATTCAACTATATCTTCAGAGCCTATTGAGATAGTAGCTGCCATCATCATGGTAAACTGAACTGAAATTTGTTAAACTGAACTGAACCTAGGGGCACCAGACACAGTAAGGTTGTTTTTGATCTGATATGTCTCAGGGTCAATGGAGGGTTGTCCTTGCTAAGCAGTAGTTTCAAATCAGACCCTATGTCTTGAGGAGGATTTCTTTGGGTCCATCTGCTGTAAACATGAAACCTCTCCGGGTTGCTTGGGTCCTCCTTGAATCTGTGGACTTGAGTGTCCAGAGGCCTCTGCTCAGGGGACATGCTCAGGGGACAAGGCTGGGTGGGACCAGGTCCCTGCAGGCAGAATCCATGCACTGGTCAGGCCGCCGGTAGCACACTGGAGCATGCTGCAGGCCTGGGATGGGCTTGTGGAAAGCATCCAAAAGGGCAAGAGGGTGGAGATACCACTCATGTAGCAGAAGGGCCCATGCTTCTCTCCTCTCAAGGATAAGTGATGCTAAGAATAGCACAAAGGAGAAAACCCGGAAACCTCCCAGTGTAAACTTTCAGTTATGCTGAACACTGAGAGGACCGAAGAAAAGGTCAGGAGGAAAGGATTCCAAGAAACATCTTCAGTCCCGCTCTGGATAATATTTACATGGTGGGGATAATCACATGGTTTGCTAATTACAGAGCTGTCCCTGGTAGCAGGGTGCGTCTCTTCAACCCAGAGCCAAGTCTGGGGCTAACCAAGGCTTTTTCAGGAGATCTTGGGAAGGATGTTGTCATTGACCAACTGGAAACTGGGTCTCCACTTCCTTGAGAGGTTGGGTATTGGTGAGGCACATGGAGAGGCTTGAAACTGGATTTTAATTTCTCTCTCTTCACATCTATGCCGAAGGTAGACATCTCTTCCAATGGTTATTGACTGACTGTATTTATTTGGGAACTGCCTGTGTGCATTCTTTACCAGTAACTCCTACTGCACTGTTTATCTTTTTCCTACTGATTTGAGTAAAGCTCTTTGACAAGAATAGTAACTGAGAGTCATATGTGTTGCAAATATTCTTTCCAATTTGGCATTTTGTCTTTTTCATGGTATACTTTCTGTCATATGGAAACTCTACATTTATGTCAACAAATGTATCAATATTTTCCTATGGCTTCTGGGTTTTAGGTCATGTTTTGAAAGACATTCCTCAGTTCAGAAATATAAATGTTTGCTCATGCTTTGTTCTCTAATTTTATGGTTGCATATTTTATATCTAAGTATTTGTTCATTTGAAATTTATTCTGATTTCTAAACTATTTGTAGTTGTCTCAGCATCATTTTCTGAACAATCTATCTTCTTTTTCTATTGGGAAGTGAAGTCTTTATCGGGGACCAAATTTCAAGATGCATTTAGCTTTATTTCTGTTCTGTTTGTTCTTTTAATTGCTCTGTTTCTACAATATGTTTTACTATCTAGTAGAAGAACTACACCTCTCTTTCCTATGCCCCTTTCTCTATTTTTCAAAAAGTTTCTGAAACTCTTACAAGATTTTTTCCAAACGAAATTGAAGATTATTTCGTTGAACTCCTAACCGCCCATCCCCCAATTCACTGGTATTAGAATCATGTTAAAATTATGGATGATAGATTTATTTGTAGATTAATTTGCTGATTAATATTATGTCCTTCTATACAAGAACAAGGGCTTCCCTGGTGGATCAGATAGTAAAGAATCTGCCTGCAATGCTGGAGACCTGGGTTCGATCCTTGGGTCAGGAAGATCCCCTGGAAAAGGAAATGACAACCTGCTCTAGTATTCTTGCCTGGGAAATGCCATGGACAGAGAAGCCTTGCAAGCTACAGGCCATGAGGTTGCAAAAGAGCTGGACACATCTTAGGGACTAAACAACAATATAAGAACAAGGGAAACAAACTTTACATTGCTTTCTAAAATCTCTTCCCTTAATTCAAGGCCAGGGAAGAGAGGGAGCCAGGTGGATCCCTATGTCTTCTTCTCCCTTCCTTTCTCCTGCCTGTATGTATGTAGGGTAAAGCAACATGGACAAACCAAAGTTTCTGGCTGGAGAGAAACTTCCCTCCTGGCTGACCTCTCAAAGAGGGTCAATCATGGATCTGTCCAGAGCCTGCCTCAATCCACTTCCCCCACCCCAAGTCGGAGCTGACTATCTTTTCAACAGGACTCTGTGCTAGTAAATACGCTGGGGAGAGGAGGGAAGAGAGCCTTGCTTTGTGCAGCATTTGCCGATTTCTGGAAATCTGTGATTCTGTAAATACTCCCATCACAGCCCATTTTAAGCCTTCCAGCCAGCCCCGCACCTGCAGCCTCTTCTAAACATGCTCAGTGCTGGAGCAGGAAGGATCAGGGGAGCTCTGTAAACCGCAAGTCTGGTCATGTCCCCCCTTAGCAGAACATAACCCAACGGATAAAGTCCCAACTCCTGGACATCATGTCCTTCACAATTGGGTCCTCGCCCACCCCGACAACCTCCTTCTCACCATCCTTGCTCTTGCTTTGTTCTAGAAGAAACTTTCCTGGACATCCCTGGTGGTCCAGTGGTTAAGAATCCACCTTACAATGCAGGGGACTTGGTTTCAATGCTTTGTTGGGGAACTAAGAATCCACATGCCATGGAGCAACTAAGCCTGCATGCTGCAACTACTGAGCTCACGGGCCCCAGTTAGAGTCTGTGTGGTGCAAAGAAAGACTCTGTGTGGCGCAGCAAAGACTCGACACAGCCAAATAAATAAATAATTTTTTTAAAAGAACTTTGCCCATTTCTCCAGTAGTTTACAGGAATTGTACCTGCCTTGAAAGTTCTACTCCTCCTTGATCACAGTTTAGTTACCTCTTCCTCCTGGAAGTCCTTCCTGCCTGCTTTCACCCCAGGTCAGGTGCCTCTCTCCGTGTCCCTAATTGTCCCCAGCTAAGCACCGACCACCTGGACTATAATCACCATAGGGTGGTTTCTCTCTGCAAAAGGGTAAGTGGGCTGCAGTCAGGTTTTCATCATCTACACGGGATCTAGGATGCAGTAGGTGCCTGACAAATATTAATGGAATGAATAAATGAAGACACATCCAGCAGGTGTATCAACCTGGTTGTAGGGTGTCTCCTTGCGAGTGAGGGCTGGAACTTTAGAGGGCTCTTCCTTGCCTCTGAAGAAAAGCTAGGGGCTCTAGGAAGGAACAAGCTCCCTTTGAGACGGTGGGCTTTCCTAACCTGGCTAATGACCTTTCCAGTACCTGTGGGGCCAGCCAGCCTCTCAGGGTCCCAGCTTCCAGCTCAACTTAATGGGGCCCACTGTTCCGGCAACTTGAACCATCCTTCACCAAAATGCATGAAGGTCCCCTCTTTGCAAAGACCATTTCTAAAGCTCCAAGAGAGGAGGCAGGTGAACCTTAGAGCAGCAAGGCTGGTTCTCATTAGCAGTGTATATTTGAGACCCTTCCTGGCTGAGTGGAAAGCCATATGTTCCCCATCATCCCCGGTCACAGAGGGCTTGCCCACTTGACCTCTGCCCCTTGACTGCATTGGTCCCTTGGTCTTCTGGGGTCCCGTACTCTCACTAGCTCCAGGGGCCTTGCTGGGAGGAGATGCAGGGGCTGCCCTGGTGTCTAGTGAGGACTCAGCGGGGGTGGGCCCCGCCATCTGTGATGGTCACACACACAGGCCAAAGTCAGAGGGCCCTGGGCTTGGTTAAGCCTTCTGGTGCCATAAAGCCTCTCTTAGCACCAACCCAGCACTCACAGGGAGGGCTTTTTCCACAAGGTAAATATCCTTCTTTTTTTTTTTATATAAATATCCTTCTTAAACAGTTGAACTTAAGACATGAAAGGGGGTGTTGGGGAAACGATGCTGGTATTGGAATGAGACTGACTGGGCCCAAACCAAGCTCCAGCACTGAGGAGCCAGGTGACCACAGGCCAGCTAAGCACCTTTCTTTCCCTCTCTCCAGCACTGAGGAGCCAGGTGACCCCAGGCTAGCTAAGCACCTTTCTTTCCCTCTCTGGGAAATGGGCTGGCAGGGCCTGCCTCACAGTTTCCGTGGGGGCTGAAGGAGACCAGGACACTCACGGACTTTCAGTTTAGGACCCAGCATGTCTCTGGGTGTCTATGAGAGGGAAGCAGCCGCTATTACCAGAAATAGAAAGTACTTCTCACCCCTGGAACCAAGTCCAGCGTGGAGGTTATATTTATGCACGCTGAGCCAGAGCAGGGCGGAAGGTGGGGGGGTGGTGCAGCTAAAGCAGACCCTGCCCTCTGACTGTATTCTCTGGATGTGGGGTCTTTTCAACCACCTCTACGTAGCCTGCTGAAAGCTGCAGCTAAGAGGGTGTGACAGGACCAGCCTGATCCACACAAACAGAGCGTCGTGTCAGATGGGGAGGCAGGCAGAGATGGTGGCCAAGGGGTAGGGCCCGTACTCTGCGTTACTCCCCTGTCCTCCCAACAGGCCCACCCCAGGCTTGGTCCTTGCCTTTGGAACCTAGGGCACTGTCTTTCTCTGTGACTTTCCCATCTCCTGACTTGCCCTCCAGCTGCATACCGCCTTTGTTGGGAATACCCAATACATGAGGGGGCTTATAGTCCATTGTGAGAGTGGCCACATGAGCCCAGAAGCACACATGATGGGAACTCTGTGGCCGGGTGGTCTGCTTCAGCAGCAGAGGGCAGAGGGCAGACTCTGAGCACACAGCCTGGCTGAGTGTCATATCCTAGCAAGGCCCCACTCATGTGTATGAGTGCAAGTCACTCAACTTCTCTGGGCCTCGATTTTCTCATCTATAAAATGGCTGTGCTCATAGTACCTCCCTGTGAGGTTCTCATAAGGGTTAAGCGAGCTGCTATGTGTAACGGTCTCAGGATCCTGCCTGCCATAGAGTAAGTGCAAAGTGTCACTCTTTAGCACTATTGTGTGGTCTGAGCCATGGAAACCTGTTGAAAAGCCTGTCTGTGCAGCCCAGGACCTTCAATCCCTGCCTCCAGCCCAGGCCCCCGACCAGCCAGCCCTGCCAGCCCCACTCTATCCTTTGGCTCCCCCTGCTAAAATTCCTGGGCTCCCCCACTCTGCTCCCTGCTCTCACCATAGCCCCTCCCTGACTGCACAGCCACAAGGGTCCCCTCCCTTGGACAGAGCTTAGCAATTTGCTCTCTGACCCCTCTCCTTAGTCTGTGGGTAGGAGACTCCTGCTTGCCATTGAACACAGGGGGATAAGTTAGAGGGCTTCATCCACCCACTGGGTGAGGCTCTGGGGAATCTGAGGCTAGGCCTCCGCATCCCTTCCCCCCTCCCATGCCTGGTCAGTCAGCAAAAGAGCCCAGCGGAGCATAGAGACCGCAGCCCGTTGCTATGGGGGAAGCCCTGGGGCCAGGGGTCCTGGGTTCTAATCCTTCTCTACCTGCGGGATCCCGGCCAAGCCCCTTCCCCTCCCTGTGCCTCAGTTTCCCCTTCTGAGAGGTCCCTTCTGCTCTGACAATTGGAGATTTGATTGAAGCCCCGTGGGCCAGACACTCTTTGAGAAAAACAGTCAGTCCTCCTTCCCACAGTCACGGTATCTTCCCGCAGCATCACCCAAGCCCCCCTTTTGGTCCCTAAGGAACTGTCCTGGAGGGGAAGCCTCTCTCAATTTTCCCAAGCCCCTGGCCACTGGGCAGAGGGTACTGGGACCCAGCACCGAGCACAAAAAAGAACTTTTGTGGGCGAGTGATGGGTAGGCTTTGCCAAGACCAGGAGTGGGAGCTTGGGTCAGGAAATCAGGCCTCTGGGGTAGCTGCTCCCTGGGCTTCTGGAAACAAGGCTTGTCCCCTGGAAAGCTGGAGCACCAGGCCTCCCCACCCCAAGCAGAGCCAGCACTTCCTCCCTCTGCCTGTAAACAGCAGGGCCGCCTCACAGCTGTTGTCATTTCGTGGCTAGAGGGTCGACTCTCAACCTTCCCAAGAGGGTGTAACTGAGGCAGATTTAGGCTACTTTCTTTAACATCGACAGCAGCACTGAGGCCTGGCCGGGCTGACTGCATCCCATATGGTGGGCATCACACCCAGAGGCACAGCCAGGACTTGCGTACCCCGCTCCCCACTCAGCCCTTCTCATTAACTCACCCATCCATCCATCCCAAAGAAGGGCAAAAACCACTTACAGGGGGGCCGCGGGGACCAATGATGGACATGCCGGCATCTCCTGGGGCACCCTGTGGGGGAGAGAAAGAGGGAGGAGGGGGAGAGGGAGGGGAGGGGAGGAGGGAGGAGCAGAAGGGAGAAGCTGGCAGGTGGGGAAGGCAGAGAGGGCGAGGGGGGACCCCAAGACCCAGAGACCACAGGATGATGGGGCAGAAAATGTGGAGGAAGATGAAGGGCTCACAGGAGAGGTGATGAGAAGAGGATGAACGAAACATTCCAGAAGGATCAAGAAGGGCAGTGCGGAAGCAGGAGGAAAGGAGAGAAGAGACACGAGTGAGAGCACATGATCAGGGACCAGAGAAAGAGGGCAGTGGGCCCCCAGGCCGGGAAGCGGGGAGAAGAGGATGTCGAGCGGTGATGGGGAAGAGGGAGATGCAGGGGGTGGGGGAGAGAGGGAGGAGGGAGACTCAGCTCAGCCACGGCTGCTCAGGCCCTAGAGGCGTCCCCACAGGGCCCGGCTCAGGATGCTCCCCAGCCTGCCCCAGCCCCAGCCAAATCTCACACCCCCGAGTCTCCTTCCCCAGGCCCCAGTGCCCACGCAGCTGCACCCCGTGACTGCCAAATAGCAGCCCCCTGGATGGAGCTGCTGTAAACAAGACACATACTTGCCGTGGGGGCCCAGCAGGCCTGAGCCCGGAGGTTAGGGCTGCCTTGGACTCCTAGTCCCGGTGTGGAGTCACACAGAGGGGTCAAGCCTGCGGCAGAGTTTTCAGCCCAGAGAGGACGGTGGATGCTGGGCTGGGGGCTCGAAGTGCCAGGTGGTCCAGCTGCCTCGATAAGCTTGTGTGTGTGCGTGTGTGTGTGTGTGTGTGTGTGTGCTGGAGCTTGGGGAAGTGTGACAGAGGAGGGTGAAGGGTGTATGAACACAGGCGGGGGTGAGAGGTGATGGTCTGGCAGAAGGATCCTGACGGTGCCCCGCCGGAGGACAGCAGGATGCTACTTCCCTCCAGGAGTCCAGGAAATGCCCAGGCCTCAACTGCAGGCCTTTCTCTGCCTCACGGAACCTCTCAGCCCACATATCTCCTCTGTGAACAGGATGCTGAGAGAAACTCTGCTGCCCTTACAGGGCAAGGGATGGAAATGCATTTGTAAAATGTCATGCCTCACATGCAGGTGAAGAGTGAATTCAAATTAGTAGCTGTTTATTCCATTGCAATTATATAATAATTTTTATACAAGGCAACATAGTGTGATGGGTAGGAGCCAGAATGCTTGGGTTTGAAGCCCAGCTCTGCTCCATGCTGGCTGACCTTGGGCTACTTAAGTTCTCTCTGCCTCAGTTTCCTTACCTGTAATGCAGAGATAATAGCGCCTGTCTCATAGGGTGGATGTGAAAATCTCATGAGATAATGGTGTAAAATGCTTAAAAGAATGCCTGGTCTCCGAAGGGGCTAACAAGTGTCTGCTATTGTCCTTATACTGTGATCCTGCCCCCTGTCTTTCTCCTGGGTGGTTTAACCATCTGTGAGGGTGAGACCCAGCCTTCATTATACTTGGAGGACAGTATAGGACAGTGGTTAGGGACCTGAGTCCGACTTAGAGTCAGGTATCCTGGGAATCCTCTCCAGCTCTGTCACTTTTAAGATATTTTAAAAATTTTTTAATTGTTCAGCCATGCCCTGAGGCCTGTGGGATCTTAGGCCCCCTGCAGTGGAAGCACCAAGTGTTAACCCCTGGACGGCCAGGGCTGTCACTTTCTGCTGTGTGACTCTGGGTATGTGACCCTGTCTCTCTGTGCTCCAGTTCCCTCTCATGTAAGTGAGACGACCAAGCCTCCCTGGGAGGGCCACATCACTGTTACCTGGGATGTTACTGTTACAGAGTAAACCGCTTAAAACAGTGCCTAACAGTTTGTGCGTAATACACGGTTGTTGCTGTCGTTACGGTTGTCATTTTTATTTCGGAGATAGGGAGGCTTGCAGAAATACACACTGTGGTGTCCAGGCGAGGAAGTGTGGAGCTGGGACCAGGAGTCTGCTCCTAGCTCTCTGGTCATCCCTAATCCTGTGGGACCTTGGGCAAGCCCCACACCCACTCTGGGCCTCATCTCGAGAGCCAGCTGGTTAGCTGCACTGCTCTATAACCCCTCAGAGCCCACCCAGTTCCAGGACAGGACTGTCTCTTCGGCGTCTCGCTTCCTGGGAGACTCCTCTCTATCGCCCCCGGAGTCTGTCTGGGTGTTTGCCAGGGAACTCTCTCGGCGGCAGCACAAAGAGAGTGTCCAGGTCTGAGGGGGCAGTGGTGGGCTGCAGGTGGGGGCAGAACCAGCCACATACAATGGCAGCTGGTGCTCCCCTCACCTCTGGGAAGGGTGACTGTCTAAGGCCAAAATCAGAGCCAGGAGGCCACGTGCGGCCCCCACGGGCTGCAGAGACCCCTCAGCCAGGGAAGTGGGACCTCAGCCCATGACTCCTGCCTGATGGGGTGGAGGCTGTTAGGGGACCCGGCCGTGACAGGCTGCGAGGGCAGAGCAGGCCAGGCTGGCATCCTCCACTGGGGCCTGTGCACCAGGAGGGGGGCTGGAATGGGGGGCTTCCGAAAGCCCCCACAAGAGTCCAGGGGGTGGAGGTGCCGGTGCAGAGGGGAAAGTGTGGACTCACCTTCTCGCCTGGCTGGCCCTTTCCTCCCTGGGGCGATCACATGCAACATGGGGTGCAGGGAAGAGAGAGGGAGGGAGGGAGAGAAAAAAGAAAGGATGAGAGGGAGACACACGCACAAGAAGTCGTGTTAATGGTATGACAACCAAACACAAGAAATCACCGTGAAATAAGAAACAAAATGCAGATGCTGACACTCGACAGGTCCTGAGTCTGGCAAGCATAGCTCGTGGCTGGCTCTTGTCTCAGCCCAAAGGCTGGCCCCAGCCAGATAACGAAGAAGGAAGTAGTGGCAGGGGCCGTAAGTGGTCCTCTTGACGTGTGTGTGTGTGTGTGTGTGTGTGTGTGTGTGTGTAAGTGAGTGAGTGACAGACAGAGAGACAGAAAGATGGAGAGCCCACCCAGGCCAGAAACATGTCTGAGGAGCCGTGGCCCCAGCAGCCTGGGTCATCTGAGGAGGGAGTGGCATGGGAGAGACTTTCTCAAGGACTGTAAGGTGAGGTGGAGTCTAGTTCTTTTGAAGGTCTAGCTGAACACCAAGCACAAAATTGCCAAGCTAAACGCGACAGGAGTCATTAGGGGTGGCCAGGCAAGATGCAAAGAGGAGCACAAACAGAAGGACACACATCTGGGAAGACAGAGGATGCATCCGGGATGCAGAGGGAAGTGGGTCATGGCCAAGGACCCCTGGACCCAGGGTGACCAGTCCACCCTCATTCATAGCAGCCAGGGGCGCCACCTTTGGTGAATCACGAGAACATCTCAGGCATATCACACCCACTGGCCACCCCAGTACTTATCAGGTGGCCCATGCCAGGACGCCTACTGAGCAGCCAAATGGGTCCATTGTCACATTTAAAACAGTACAAGCAGCATAAAAGCACCAAGGCAGTTTGAAAATAGCTTTGTGTAGAAGGAAATGGGGAGACCCCCTGTCGTTCTCTCTCCTGCCGCACTGCCCCCCCTGCACTGTGGTCAGAACAAGGCTTGGATGGACATTTCCTGGGGGGAAACATCCATAGGGCCCAAGAAGGAGGGCATGAGGGGGCAGGCCTGGAGGGGCAGCTTTGCACTCTGCAGGCTTCCCTGCTGGCTGGTGGCTGCATGCAGGGTAGAGACTCCTGAAGCTTACCTGTCAGGAGCAAGGACTTGGGTGTCTTGGGTACCAGACCCAACTCCACCCCAATCCTGGGTAAACTGAGTCTCAATGTGCTCATAGACAGGCTCTCAGAGGGCTGTGGTGGAGAATGAACCTGGCCCAGGCTTTCCCAAAGTGAGCCCCTGAGAAAGGCTGGCTGAATGTCATCCCCCTACTCCACACAGGACCCACTGAAAGCCTGGGGGACTCAGGGTTTGGAGTTAGAGAGCTGACGCCTACAGAAAGGGTCAGGCAGGAATGCCACAGTGCTGTGATCTGGGAAGTGGTGGGAGAACTGCACAACGGGGAGACCCAGAGCTCCCAGTCTCCCTGTCTTGACGGCTCTTGGGTGGCCCAAGGGAGCTCAAAGCTCTGCGACATTGTCCTGAAGCTCTGGAATGTCCTAGAACCTAGGCTTAGAACTTGGCTTCGCTCTAAGGATCAGACCCTCCTTAGAGCTGTGATGCCCATGGAGGGAATTTGGGAGGTGGGAGGCAGGATTCCATTATTAGGGTCAAGAGCACAGATCTAGAGTCAGGTTGCCTGGATTAAAGTCACTGATAAGCCACTTCCTGGACCTGTGGCCTTGGGACAGACGCTTAACATCTGAGCCTTGGTTTTCTCATCTGAGTGATGGGGGTGGACAGCGTGCCTGCCTCATGTAGTTCTTGGGAAGACCGAATGAGCTGATGCGTGGAAGGCCCTGAGCACAAGAGGCAGCACTTTCAAGTGTTAGCTGTGATCTGGTGGCTTTGCACACTAGGCTCACACCGGGCCAGCCTATGCACACAGGATGCCTGACCCAGGCTTAAGGCCAACCCAGGCCAAGAAGTGATGTGAACAAGGTAAAAGCATGTGCGTGACATGGAAAGATGGCACGGGGTTGGTCAGGGGCACTGGAAACCAGGGTGAAGGTTGAGGCTGGCTGTTGCTGGGGAGTCAGAGGTCAGTCGGGGAGAGTAGCTCGGGCCATGTCCTAGACTTGGGGGGCGGGGGTGTGGTTATCATTGCCTTAGGCGGCCACCAGGTGCTGCCTTTCCAAGCCCTAGGAAAAACCCTGGTGCTGGGCCCTCAAAGCCTAGCGCTAATCTTCCCATTTGTGACACAAGCTCCCTATCAAATCTTCCGTTTCACCATCTTATTTTTTCAGCAGGAAACGAAGGTTTTAACCCCCACCTCCCTGGTGAGGATTGGAGGCACTGCCTGGAAGGAAGCCCTGTCTTCATCACTAGCCTCTGTCTAGGGAAGATGCCTCCAGATGCTGGTTACACTGTAGTTTCTGTAGGACACTTTCTGTTTGCGTTTCCTGCCATCTTTCACTGCTCTTGCTGGAGGATGGTTGCAGGAACAGCTATAAATCTGAGGTGTCTGCCAGTCTGGGGCGGGGTGGCGGTTAGGGAGTAGAGTGGATGGGAGTCCTCGGTAGTGATTGGCAAAGAGCCAATTCGTGCCATTTTTGGATTTTTCCTTTGCCATGGCAGTTCTCTGGAGAGTTAAAGCCATTTTGCAAGATCTGAAGGATTGGAATAAACCATTCCCCTCCTCCTTGAGTGTCCTTTCTGCAGCAGCCTTGGGCGGGGAGAAGCGAGAGGTCCAACTGCCTCCTAGCGGGGTGGGGTGGTCTGCAGGCCAGGCCAGCACAGGGAAGCAAGCAGCAGCTGCCTGAGCAGGCAGAGATGCTCCAACTCACCACACGTCCAGGCATCCCAATGGCACCTTTGTCCCCCTGATGAAGGAGGCAGAAACAATTAGAGGTGGCCGGAGCCGGGCCAGCATGTGAGGGGCCCCGTGGCTAGCTACACACCCAAGATCTGGTTTGCCTGGGTGCTTGGGACGATTCCCAGGCATTGTGGGTGAACTTGCCCCTTGAGCCCCAGAGACTGTTCGGTCGCATTCTTGTCACGCTCAGCCTCAAGGGAGGGAGAGTGAATGGCAGCTCCCATCTGACAGAAGGGTGAATCACTACCCTTGCTCTGTCTCTGCCAGAGCTGGGGAACAGCGCCCATGGTCCCCAGCTCCTCTCCAAGCCCTGTGTCTGCAAAGACTACCAACAGAGTCCTGCCCCTCCTCGCCACCAACCGGCACCCACAGTGCGCCATGTGGCTTCAGCCGCATCACGAGTTTCAGCTGCTCAGAGAGAACGGCTTTGTTTTGCAGCCAGGGGTTATATCTCCTCATTCTGGAAACCTGCTTATTAAGTTTTATTCCTCACTCTTTCGGTAGAGAATATTTTTTTGCAATCATATATGTGCAGACTCATAAAATCCGGGGTAGGGCTTGGGGTTTGCTGGGAGACTGGAAGGATGGAAAGCCACAGGAGCTGAAAATCAGACGGTGTTTGTCCCGGTAGGAAAGAGCTGGGTTTGTGGCTTCATCTGAAGGGTGGGCATTTCTGGAGTGATTTTTGTGTCTGCTGACGCCACTTAGGCAAAATGTCCTGAGGGATAATTAACATCGTAAGATGTACATGGACACACCAGGGAGTAGCAACCAGCTCTGAATTAGGCTCCTGTTACACGTACACTGTAATGACTGAAGGTGTCTTCAGTAAAGTGTTCAGACTTTGGCAAACAGTGGCAGGGTTGCAGTGAGGGTTATGAGCATGGATCATAACCATGATCCATGAGCTCCCTGAAGCTCCCTGAGCATCTGGGCTTCCCTCCTGGGGCTGCTGAGAGGATGCCAAGAAACAATGGCTCTGGGAATCTAACTCTGGGTGCCTTCACCTGGTGAGTGCCGTGTAAACTGCATCTACAGGTACCGAGCCCAGCAAGGTTCCGGGGAAGCGATTGTTATAAGCATGTGTGTATCTCACACTTTTGGATTTCACAACAAGGGACCAGCATCAGCAGATCTTTTTGTGGGTCACTCCCAGGCCCCCTCATGGGGAAGCCTGAGTAGGGCTGTGACCCTTCCCACTGAGGACGCCAGCCCACTGGTCGTCGGTTGTGACAGGCCAATGGCCCACTTGCTCTTGTGCTTTTGAATATTCTTTCAGGATGTGTGTTTTGGTTTCATTTCTTTTTTAAAAAACTAATGGTCTTTGCAGTCCTGGCCATAAAACGCTTGGGTTAGGGATGGGCATGGAGTGGCCGGAGACTGGAAATTCTTGTGTGGCGGCCCCTGCTCTGCAAATTGCCCCCAAATGCTTTTTAAAGGTGGATGTTGTCAGAAAAAAACAAAGTCTGCCCACGTTCCCCCAGTCATCTGATTTCCCTCCTCCTTGGATTTCATGGGACAGATTGCCCTGTACTTCTTTGCTCCAGGGTTTGTACTTGCTGGGACAGTTTTCATTTTTCAAAGCTAAACATTCTCCCACATGTATTTCATTAAGAGAGTCCTTGCTAGATTTGAATTCTAGAAGTTACTGGTTTAGTCAAGAGGTTATAGCACAATTCACATTGAAAAGAGGAGAAACTGGGATAGAAAGATGCATAGGAAGCTCTGGAATCCAACTGAGGTGGCCTTCGGGGAAGGGAGAGAGGACAGCCTGGTGCCAGCCCTGGCTCCCCCTAAATGCCCACCTTGGCCATCTGGCTGGCTAGAGCATCTCGCCTGAGCCAACAGCTATCCGAGGACCCATGGTATCCAGTACTCCATGCATCGATACCCCAGGCTACACTCCACAGGGGAATGTCTTTGAAGACTTTAAAGATGGGTCTCAGATGCCAGTATGGATCACAGAAAACAGCAGTATGGGATGCTATGTGATAACATGGGGCCTTCAACAGGTCTACATCTGAGGCTTGGACAATCAGACCAGCTATTTGCCCTCTCTATTTCCTCATCTATAAAATGGGTGTAATAGTACCTATTTTACTGAGTCGGTGAACAAATCAAATGTATAAAGAGCTGCCTGGCGTGTATTAAGGTCTCAGTGAGAGAAGGCTATGAGTACTATTTCTACTTTTGTCCCAAAGCCCCCATGGTTACTGGACCCAGCTTCTCTAGCACTCAGAAATAGTAACTCGGGGGGAAAGTAAAGCTTTTGAGTCTACTCTTACCAGGGGACAAAGCAGGGACAGTGGCCTTCAATGAAGGTGGTATGCAGGAGGATAACCAGTAAGCCAGGGGGCTGCCTTCCCATCCAGCCACCCATTATGGGGCCACCAGTCTGAAGTCAGGTGCAACCCTGCAGGGCCTGCATGCTGTTATCTGCCTGCCTGGGGCCCCAGGAAAGGTGCTTCACCCTCAGCCGTAGGTTAGACATGCTGAAGAGAGGCCTCCCATCCAGACACACCTGGTGGGAAGTGGCCACCCACCCTCTCCTGTCCTTGGATTGAGGAAGAGCCTGTGAGAGAAAGGCAAAGCGAAAAACAAATGAAAGGTACTTACCGGGAGGCCGGGTCTTCCAGCAGGACCCTGAAATTAAGGAGGAAAAGTGAAGTTTAGGAAGGTCAGGGTATTGCAATATCTGATAGTTCCAACTAGCTGTGTGATCTTGGAGTCCCTTGTGCTCTATGAGCCTCTGTTATTTTATAAACAAAATGAAGACAGGGCCTTAATCACTAAACTTCCTTTCAGTTGTAGCATGCATTCAGTCACTCATTCATTTGTTCAGGAAAGCAGTTAGCAGAGATCTTCTCTGTGCCAGGCCCAGGGCCTGTGCAGGGAAAAGAAGACAAAAATGCTGCTTCATAACTATCCCTCAAGGAGCATCAGAGCTCCGGGCCTCACCAGCATGTCCCCTATCTCTGAGCCTCTGTGCCTCAGGGTCCCTACTCATGTGTTCTGGCCCTGGCCTGGGAAAGGGCCTGAGGGCTTGGGGCTTGGCCCTCCCTGTCCTACCACACAGGAGAAGCCAGACACCATCTCTGATGCAGCCGGTCTGCCTGGGACACTTCTGGTGGACCTGCCCCATCTGCGCCAATGGACCGTGACCAGGGAGCAGAGGGTGGGAAAGGGTGGGAGCCTCCCTGGGGGGACCCCTTCCCCTCTGTTGGGGTGGTGAGGGGAGCAGTGGGACTTCCTTCCTTTGATGCCTCTAACTGGCTTCAGGCTACCCTCTCTACAGTGAATTGGCCTTGAGAGTGAGCAGGAGGCTGGACCCCACCCCATGTGGCTCCAGGAGCCTGTCCCCACTGACCACAGCCATGTCTGTCTCAAACCCTTTATATGAATAACTCTAGGACTCTTGCCTAGCGAAATTCTGGGTGTAGACTAAAGACTCCCTATGATGGATCTAAAATCCCACTGAAAAGAGGAAAACATTCAACAAAGCATTGATCATAATAGTTATTCTCAGAGTAATATGCACAGGAGGGGGCGCAGGAATGCAGGAGCTTCTGAGAAACTCATATATTTTTCCTTCTGGCCTCCAACTGCCAGATAGATCTGATACAAGAGGGTGGTGGAGAAACTGCTCTAGGAGCTGCCTGGTGGGATGTCGTGGGGCACCCTGCAGAGGGTGGGAGGACTACCTGGAGATAGCTTTTGTGTTTTTTTTTTTTTTTTTTGGAGAGAGCTTTTGGAGCCAAGCCCTACCCTGGCATGGCCAAGGCCTGGGGTCAGGAGAGACAGGGTCTTGGTAAGGGAGAAGCAGGCTTCAATTAACAGCAGGGCTCTGGGGTCAGCCAGCCCGGCTGTCACTTACTAGTCAGTGACCTCAGGTAAGTCACTTGGCCTCCCTGTACCTCAGTTTCCTCATCCTGTAAATGGGAGAACAATCTCTACCTCTTGGGATCGAATGAGATAATGTATGTAGAGCATATGGCACAGGGCTGGCAGGGAGCAAGCGCTGAAGACCACAGCCCTTGGAAAAGAAGAGGACTGGCTGGGAGGTGTGTGCAGCTAGGCCCCCTCTCTCCTTTCACGGGCACAGCCATCAGCTATGTTTCTCTCCTTCCAGCCATCCCACTCTTCCCAGAAACCCACGGCAACACCAGGAGTAGGTCTCAGGGTGCCCACCTGGAGACAAGTCCCTCTACCCCAGGGCTGCTGAGCAAATGCAGGCAGTACCAGGAATAAGGCCCCCTTCCTGGGGCCTTGTTTCTGAGGATGTCCGGGAGGTGGGGTGGGGAGCGGTGATGCCCTCACAGAGAACCGGGCTCAGGGGATGCTGGTTAGTGGCTCCACAGGTAGAGGGTCAGTGTCCACCCCTCTCTGCTGAGTTTTACCCCCGGGGCACTAAAAGGTAAGCTCCCAGGGCAGGCAGGGAACTTTCTATTTTGCTCATGGTTGTGTCCCCAGTGCTGTAAGGAGTGCTGAGCTTTTAGAAGGTCCTTAATTCATGTTTGTGAACAAATGAACCTGGGAACGCAGCTGCCTTCTTTCCCAGCCCCACAGAGACAGCCTGGGGGCCCCCTGGTGTCCTCCTTGATCCAGAGCTGCAGCACTGAGCCAGTCCCTCTTCCCACCACTTCTAAATGCCATCAGGGGGTGCGCCAACAAGGGGCGGCCACCTCCCTCCACCCCAAGAGGCAGGCGCACCTGTGGAGGGTTCCCAACCTCACACAGGGGCTCTGACCCGGAGACAGACAGAGGGGCACTTTACTGACCGCTCTGTGTGCTGACCACCGACATCACCTGCACGCGGGGGAAGTTCTCTAGGGTCTTGGCAGCAGGTAAAGGAGTGCTTCACCTAACCCTCCCTGGTCCTGGACTCTTGCCACAACTCTGCTTTTCTGTTTGCTCTGTCCACCAGGAAGCTCAAGGCTGAACCCAAGCCTTGTCTGCACAGGATGTTGTGGGGTCATCAGCTTGGATGCCCCTTGTTTTCTTGCCTCTGCTCTCCACACACCCACCCAGTGTTTCCTTATCTAGTTTATGAGTCACTCCCAAATGTTCCTTGGAATAATGTAGGATAGAAATAAAATGAAGTAGTAAATTAATGAATAAAAATGCAAAGAATAACAATTTCCTCCTGAAAATCTTTGGGGAATCTTTGGGGATCATCTAGGGAAGTCTTCTGTTTCTAGAGTTTAAATGAGTTAACATATTTTACATGGAAAAGTATATACATAATTATACACACATAAAGGCATGTATAATATGTATACATATACACACATACCCATACATATAAGAAAGAAAGAAAGATAGCACTAAGCCGTGTCCAACTCTTGTGACTCTATGGATTATAGCCTGCCAGGCTCTTCTGTCCATGGGATTCTCCAGGCAAGAATATTGGAGTGGGTTGCCATTTCCTTCTCCAGGCCATACATAATTATGTATATATTCCTTACAACATCTGGATGAGCCAGGTATTATTACCATTCTCATCTTATAGATGAGGAAACTGAGGCACAGAGAGGTTAAGTAATTTGCCCAAGGTCACACAGCTAGAAGTGGCAGAAGCAGGATTCGGACCCAGGTAAATTGGCTCCAGAGCCCATGCTTGTAATCACTTTATTACACTGCTTCCATAAAAATACAACAGTGTCTAACACATAGTAAGTGTTAGCTAGTATTTCAGCAAGCATCACTTTCAACCAAGGCTAGCAGCTGAACATCCTATATTTCCTCAAATTCCTTCAGAGTAAGAGACACGTATACCTCCCTTGGTCACCTGTTTCAACCTCACAGTTGGCATCACTAAGACACTCTCTCTTAAATCTAGAGCCAGAATGGCCAACAACTGTCAGCTGTGGACTCCAGTAGACTGGTAGTGACTGAGTAAAGCTCTCTGTTGAGATGCCTCCTAATCGATTAGCAATGTCTGTCATGGGCAGCGGGGCGGGGGAGGGGGGGTGGTTTCTACCGCTCAGATGATCCCCGCTGCTACTTAAATCCATCCTTCACGGTTGTGTTCTCTTGGTGCTGACTGCCCTTGTGTCCACAGGAACTGGAGTCACCCCAGGAGGCGCCCCTGAGAAACACCCCAAGGGCAGCAGGCCAGCCTTGTGATCAACTGCCATCTCCCTCTCCCTGCCTCTGGCCGGTGGCATTCTTCCATTGTGGGAAGCAGAGAGAACAGGCAAGGGGGTGATTTCCACCCTGGTTGGCTTCCAACTTCCTCCTCATCTTGTGGTTTCAGCCAGGGTTGGGTGAAGACTCAGGCCTCTTCTGTGTCAGGTTGAGAATTCAGGAGAGCCACCTGAGCCCCTGTCCCTCACTCCATGGGGCTGGGGGCTGGGTGGGCAGACATTGGGAGGAGAGAATCATACCCACCCATGCATGCATCCGAGCTAAGTCGCTTCAGTTGTGTCTGACTCTTTGTGATCCCATGGACTGTAGCCCACTAGGCTCCTCTGTGCATGGAATTCTCCAAGCAATAATACTGGAGTGGGTTGCCATGCCCTCCTCCAGGGGATCTTCATGGCCCAGGGATTAAACCCATGTTTCTTATGTCTCCTGCACTGGCAGGCGGGTTCTTTACCACTAGTGCCACCTGGGAAGCCCACTCAACCACCTCCCAATTTGCTTCCACCTTGCAGAGCCCTGCGCAGTGACAGCACCTCCCTGGCTGGGGACCATTGTGGAATAAGGCCTGTAGAAGTTCTCAGGACACTGCGTTCCTGGGGAGCACAGCCCCCAAGTCAGGCAGGGACCCAGTGCTGACTCGGGTTAGCCAGGAAGCCTGGCTGTGGGGACCAGGTACTTGGGGGGAGGTCCCTGGAGTGGGGGAGGTGAGGACTCTGTCTGGCTTTGTCTGAAAAGAAAGGGAAAAGCAGCCCATTTCCAGCAGGTGGTCTGTCGAAGTTTCCTATGCAGAGTTTATTTTGGAAGATTGATGACAGGAATTGAGGTCTGACATCCAAAACATGCATGATAAATCAACCTCCTCCTCTCAGGGAATGACAAGATTTTCCTCTCTCTCTAAGTGAGCAACGAGCAAGCTGGGCGGTATCGTCAGGCTGGGTTCAATGTGCCTTTCAGAACATGGATGCAACGGAACATCATGGTCTCATTACAAACAGGGTAGCTGCTCTCCACGGTTCAGATCAAGACGACTATGGAAATGACTTCTCCGAGGAAGGGCTGGTGATATAGGCTTTCAGGATCCTTGAGAAAGATCTGATTTGGAGGGCTCAGCCCTTTCAACTCCAATCCCCAGCTCCCCAGGGGGTGACCTCTGGGCCTTTTGTTGGGGTATCAAATGCTGTCCTCAGAAGACACGCTCCTGTTCTCTGGATCCATTACTTCGGGGAGACAGTCTCCTCGGGCTCTTCTCAGGTTCTCTGGAAATGGCTCGGCTCCCCCGCCCTGCTCTGGACTCTAGGGCAACGCCAGGGGAAGGAGACCGACCGGCTGCCTCGACTTTGTGTTGCTTCCCAATCTAACCCGCTGACACCACCCTCTTACATAAAAACACCACCACCAACAGCCACCACCTGCCTGAAGTGACTTGGCCAGGTGGAGCTGCCCACACAGAGGGGCGAAGACCACATCCTAGGAGCGGTCCACACTTAGAGCCACTCACC